CTTCCTATTAGTTTAGCCAGAAGCCTAGATAGGTACGATGTTCACACCGGAGAACAAAAGGGAAACCAAGATAGGCACGATGTGCACACGCATTACTGCGGCAACCATCGATCTTCCCACTTATTGTTCTACTTCCGGACATCCTATTGTTTCATGTACGGCCATTTGCTTATACCCGTAGATAGGTAGCTTAGGTAAGATAGCCTGCTGTATGTGTATATAAGACCAGCCATGTACGGGACGAAACCTCAGATTGTTTCTCCTCGTCTACTACCTGTAGCACTCACTAAGCTCACCAGCTCCTTCATATATCTCTCACCCTTTCCTGCGTCTGCCAACATTGACCAGTAAGTCAACAGGCTCTTGCGCCACATAGGGTTCAGGGGGATACCTTTGGGATCAGGGGGATCAGGGCGGCACGTTCCACGTGACTGTCCCTTTTTAGTCTTTTTGATCTCTTGTCCGGTGTTACCGTGACAGCCACTTATCCAGAATGGAACTCTTTGGCCCACAATAGGCTTATCCATGCTCATTAGACCATCAAGCTAGCAAGCACCCAATTCGCTGCTCAATAGCAGCACCGACTACATGGCTGCCAAATAGTAGCACCAGCATTAGAATATGCGCTATGGCAGAACCCTCATTGGCCACTCAATAAGTGGCACCACTTCAGCTACTCAAATAGTGGCACCACCTTCAGGCAATTATCTCATTGGGTAAAGTAGGATTACCTTGGCGTATCCACGGCCTTTATAGATAGTTGCTATAGCAAAGTCCAGAATCATTACTGGTTTTGGCAATATGTTCACATGTAGACAGGATAGGACCCCAGTAAGTACACCATAGTTAGGGTACCCAGGGTCCACCACTACATGTATATAAGCATATGAGGATCTAAGGGAAGACCTTAGATTCATTCATCTATTTCATGCAGCTTTACAAGTCATCACCTCCTCTTTGTGTGATATAAGGCTAAGGGCCCTTTGAGCCCCTTTTTGCAGGCTGCATGTCACTGCATGCCTTTTTGGTCTGACCCTTTGTGGCAGGCCCGTATTTTGGTATTTGTGCAGGTCACTGAGTGCAGCTAGCACCTTGCAGCCATTTCCTTGCCTTTTGGCAGGATCTATGATGTGTTGTGATAGTCATCGACCCGAGCTCAAACGCTGACACAGAATGATGCATAAAGCTTAAACAGACGATGTGAATGACCAGAACAGTGCATGACACTGTTGTGGAAGAGAACAGTATAACACAGCCTGCATAGATTTATTTTTCCACGGGAAACCTGATGCAAAAATGGTGAAAATATCTTATGTCTGGATATGAAAATAGTTTGGAAATTGGGCGGAGACAATTAAATTATGTTATGATTGTTTTACCGAAACGTATCAGCAATAGTGAAACTATTTCTCAAAGAAAGATATTTCAGTTCAAAAATATGTGATACCGATATGTTTCAGTGAAGCAATTGTAACATAATTCAATTGTCTCCGCCCAATTTCCAAACTATTTCCATATCCAGACTTAAGATATTTTCACCATTTTTTCGTCAGGTTTCCCATGGAAAAATAAATCTGTGCAGGCTGTGCAACCCCCTTTTCTATCCGCATGCACTCATCATCTTGCGCAACGGAAATAAAGTTCGGGCAGCTTAAGGCTGACGTCAGCAGAGAAAGCCACTACCGTAGCAAACACGTGACCGATCGTGCGATCGAAATACCGGAAAAGGGTCTTTGGGCAGCTTAAGGCTGACATAAGCAGTGCAAGCCATCACCGTAGCAATAGCCAAATAAACATTCTGTTATTTGGAATTGCACTCAGCATAGGCTGGTTCGCTCTGTTACCATGATGCAGGCAATCATCCTGAATTTCGCTTTCCAGGCAAACATATCTACATCGCCGACACAAGGATACATATTTCTGGCACTTGTGGTATACGGACTTTCTGGGATCGCGTGCTGCAAGACACCGGTCACTGAGGGTGGACTAATATCTTGACTGACGCACGTCTGGGTTAAATTCAATAGACCCCCAGAAAAACAAGATCTCACTTTGCCTGTCCTTGTCATTGATGAGGGCTTTGATACCCTCTTCAACTAGGTCATCCAGGACGATCTTTCTGGTGATCAGCTCCTCAAGCCCAGGGAACTTCCCATCAGCCACGGCTTGAATCAGCTCTGGATGCTCGCGATCGCAAGCCTGACTAGCTGTCGACCCATCATCTCAACTGTCTCTATTTCGAATCTATGCTGATGCTTACCTGTCAAGAGGATTTCTTTTCCCTGCAGAGTCGTGATGTCCAGCATTGGTGACTTGTCCCAAACGGCGACTTCGACTACGTTTCCTCTCGGGCGTACTGCCGCGAGCGCCGTGTCAAGGCTAGCTTGTATACCCGCACAGTCGAAGACGATGGATGCACCACGGCCGCCTGTCTCCTTCTTTGTCTCAAGAACAACGTCGGTCGCTCGCGGGTCGTACGCCGCAGATGCTGAAAATCTTAGCGCCGTTTCTCGACGCTGTGCGGCTGGTTCGGACATTCCTATCCATGATGCCCCTTGTGCGCTGCTCGTTATGTGTGAAGCATAACTCATCCGTTCAGCGTTGGTTATCAAGCAGTCGGACTTACCGGAGCACCTTCAACAACAGCAAGCCAATCTGTTACATGTAATCATTCGCGCTGCCCATCGAGTGTTCTGAAGAAACGTACCGGTCCGGCACCGATGATCAACACGCTGTCGCCGGGCACGAAGGACGACCGCTTCACTGCATGCCAGGCAACAGATAACGGCTCAATCATGGCTCCCACTTCCACTGTCACGATGCCCCAAACCTATCAGCACGAGGAACGTACCGCGACTGTCCACTGTGGGAAACGTACGCACAAGGGATGCTTTCTGGGAGGACGTGTACAGCTTCTTGCCTTACGGCGATGTACTCCGCAAGACCACCGCCCCAACCACCGATGCCCTGAGCAAAATTCGATGTCTGTCATCAATACAATATCACCTAAGACGTGTACCAATACTCACGATGAACGTGGTATGGGGGCAGACGTTCCTCGTTCCGTCGGAGCATGAGGTGCACGTTGGCTGCATGCACGATATTACGGACTCTCTGCGATGAGGAAAAGGGATCAGCCTACAACTCAGAAGTCAGATGCGGGCGGTCATACGCCACCACGTTTTGTCCCACAGCAAGTCGACTTTCGTCTACTCCATCTCCTAGTTCCACGATGGTTCCGGAGAACCTACGTATCAAGGTGAGCCGAGACATCAACAATTGAACAGCTAAGCAAGAGTCGACTGACTCATGGCCCATAACGACGGGCAGCGTCTCCTTGGTCACTGGATGAGGCTTCGTCGCCGTCGGTGCTACTGGCACGGATGATAGATACCAATGGACATCTGAACCGCATACTATGCCGAAGAACGTAACAATCCTCCGTCACTTGAACACACTTTCGGTACTCACTGCCATTCCTGCACGCATATCAGCATTATTAAATCAAAAGAACCAGCGATCCGCTCACCAGGCAACCTATAGGTAAAGCGCCGAGATCATGTCAGTGGAATGGAGGGGGAAATGGACTGCTTTCTGCGACGGCACCTTGATCTTGACGTGACCTTTGCTTGCCACTGGTTCAGGGATGTTCTCGATCCGAACGTCACCAGGAGCGTGATAGCGAGCTGCCTTCATGGTCATCTATCGTCCAACGTGAACGGTCGATCGACATTATTATACCCCACACGTCTAGAGGTTCTCGCGTGCTACCGGAGACAATCTGTGATAAGGATGCTTCTCAGTGTACGAACTCGGCGGATGTTTGCCCAGCTGACTCCGCCGAGGCGTCATGTGCTAATGCTGCCATGAGAAATGTTGTTGAGCATCAAGTCCAGATCACTTTTGGACTCACCAATGCGATGAAGCAGAAAGTCGTATATAAAAAGCTACGGCAACGGGTGCAATCATTGAGCATCGAGAGTCTTGATGAAGCTATAATTTCATGTGATGTATGGATTACCTTCTCAGAGATAAGTGGTCGAGATGCGGGATGACATCAGTCGATTCCGCACAACTTTCCATGGGCCATTTTAACGTGTTTGATGCTATGTTGCCTACTGTATGTACATTACATCAAATGTGAATCAAGAACTGCCACAAATCGGTAGCCAGGCACTGGCATCTGCAGATTAGTGGACCACGTTCAATATCGCTGTGTTCGTCCGAATCCCTTCGCAGTCCGAGCGCGTAGGTCTGTGATATACTATCAGATGGTTCATTTGACATCAGCGAACATTCAAAACAAGGTATGGTGACTACCGACCAATATATTGTGATAAACGTGAGGTGCATAACGCGTCGGTAGAAAGATAGGCGGAGACATGACGAGACCAATGTTCTGTGATGAAAGCGTGTGAGATGGAAAGCACGAAGGCGATTGAAAATGAGATAGGATTAATCTCGTGAAACAGTCGAGGACCTAGACGAAAATCTGTGATGGCACACCCTGTGATAATACAATGAGACATTTTAGCTCCTGCGAGTCGCTAAGATTGGTAGACTCACGAATAAATTCGTCCTGACATTTCGCGCGACCACGTCACCATTGACAGTCCTGCCAATATCATAACCATGAAATCGACGTAGGTTGGAGCATGCCCCCCCAAGCCGAGCAAGCAAACGAGGAGTCTCCTCCTCGTCGAGACGCTGCGGCCAGGAAGCGTAATTATCGACGACTTCAAGTTGAGGAAAGAGGGCGAAAGCATCCAGCACGTGGGCCTTGAAAAGTCCTTTTAACCCACTTGTTAAGCTACTGACCACATATGAGAGACTGACCAGAGAACGAGGATTGATACTTCCGTATATTTCCCGCAGACCTGGGGCATAGGATGAAAGCGCCCGCAAATCATCGGCTTCATACGATGACATTCGCAAAACGCGGAGACGAGGCAACTCTCCAAGCAACATGAAAAGCTCATCGGTCATATGTTCGCTTTCTAACCACCCAATGTCCTCTAGAGCGAGAAGCTTACGATGGGGAGAAGACAAGACCCAGGAGATGAAGTATGAAGGCACACTGAGGGAGCTTAACTCGGAGAATGTGTCCTCGGGGAAGGAGAATTTGTCCATGATGGAGCCATCCTGGACGAGGGGAAACTCATCCGCCTTTAGAAATCGTGCTGGAGTACACGATTCCATGACTCGGAACGAACGCAGAGATCTATGTCTCGTAAGGAATTGCGATAAACTGTCTGGTCTCATATGCGCTCCATAAAGGCCAATTGATTCCAGTTGAGGCCAGTTCGCGAGAGTGAAAAGCGTGTTTAGACCGGTGCTGGTAAAATCAAGCGCAATATCATCATCCTCTTGATTGTTGAACTGAGCAAAGCTAAGTTCAAGCTCCTGAATCATAGATGTCGTTTCACAGCAATTAGCAGGAGCTACAATAAACCACTTACCCGCAGATCCGCGCAACGATTGACGAGCATATCGGTCATGGCCTCTGTAGGAATTCTCTCGGACTGTCCATTGTAGCCGAATGTCGCGTATTTGAAAACTGTTAAGTGTCCGAGCGTGAAGATCTGAGGCATCGTCAACACTCCACTTAGTGGAGCTACGGCTTCAATACTCACACCAGAATCATGCACCCGCCTATGCCACTTCAGCCCAAATTTGGTCCTTATGACGCATTGACTCGGGTCGCTAGCATCTACAACTTCAAGTTCGCGGAGTGTATCAATAGACCGTAGTGCGGTCCACAAGTCCTCGGAGGCATCAACATCATATCGCGCGTCGATTAGAGGCGGCACTCGGCCCCACTTGAAACCTTTTAGGTTAGACATGTTCCGTAGCGCGCGAACAAGCGACTTTTCTGTCTCTCGCAGATGTGGTATGTCATCTTCTTCGGTGACTTTGGAGCCAGGTAGCAGAGCTACTGCTTCTTCCATATAATCTTGAGGAACTTTGGGAGGGTCGGGATCCGAAGCCCATAGCCATACTTCTCGTTGAATCTCAAGGTTTTCCACAACACTTGCGAGAGACCGATCCTCGGCCAGCCGATCCCACAGCCTCCTTAGTCTAAAAGGTGCCCGCATGATACGATACTCTTCGTCCATCCTGTCGCGATCTCTTAGTGCGTATGATCGAATGTGACGGCGCAGGAGGAACCAACTACCGTTCCGTCCAGATACTAGATGAACAGCTTCAATGTCAACCATTGCGAGAATGTTTGAGCACGGACGTACAATACCTGGAGGACACGATGTTCACACTTCCAAGGGATGCCGTTGTAATAGGTTTGAAGATGACTCGATGCGCCATCGTCACCTGAGTGAGGTTAAGTTGTGGCGCTGCTCTGCTCAATCAGATGCAAACGAGCTGTGACAGCGCGCTCATATTGGTTTTTTAAGATCAAGCGAACTCTATACTGTATTCCAAATAGAGTGACTGGGGAAAAGCAAACGTTGCCGCAACACCACAAAGGAGAATCACTTGCAGGATTTTTGCAATGTCGTCTATATCACTCATTTTCGCTACATATTACTATTGTTTTCATGAGCCTAAGCATGAGCATTGTAATACATATACATTGTTGGGCGACATCAATGAACCTGAGGTAATCGCCTGACCCTACAGCCCTCAGGCTGGATAACTCTCCCTAACTCTGCGCGCTGCAACGGTACCACCTAGGTTCCTTATGAGCATGAGAACAGCGCATAATTTGACATTTCTCTTCTAGTTAGAAAGGTGGTGCGGAGATTCTTCGTCATTCACCTGTTGAGGCCAGCAACAGTCAACTCTTCCCAGGTGCCATTGGTTAATTAGCCAGAAGACTAGCACAATGGAGGCCACTTGTCGTGCGCTTGTGTGAGTGCTCCAGATGACATATAAAACCCGTGGGGGTCAAGCGAAGCGAAGTGAAGCAACTGCGAACATCGTCTCGAGGACAGCACTGTTGAGATCTGATCCGTGATCATTTCACACTTGACGTCGAGAATTCTCTCAAACGCGCAAGCTCGAAATTCTGCGAAATCATAAGCAAAGTTCATGGTACGGCCGATAGACTTCTTACTTGAGAATGGTGCACGCGCATATGCTATTCTTACCGAATTTGGTCTCGACATAATGATCCCATCGGTTGACTTGTACTGGCCACATGAGTCCATATGTCGTCAGGCACGTCAAAATCGTAGCGTGCCTCGAGAAGAGGAGCAACTCTGTCCCATTTGAAGCCATCTCAGGTTGTACATGTCCTGTATAGCTCGGATCAATGATTTCTCGATTCCCCCAAAGGTAAGGAACCCTGACCGCTTGAGCGACTTTCGCATCTGTCAACAAACCTGACACACCGTCCGCATATTTTGAAACAGCTTGCGGCTAATACAAACTCGTGCTCCAAAGGCTTCTCGCTGAATTTCCAGGCTCGGAATAGTTCTCACTTCTCACAACAAGAATTGAGTCCTCCGCAAGCGTGTCCCATAGACGTTTAACCCGAAAGAGGGCACACGGTGTATGTTGGCCGTTGTGGACGAATCTGATATCTCTGAGGTGGGCCGTACACGTCCCGACTGCATGGGACAACATTACACCTTGAATGCTAGCGTCCGGCATTTAGCTACGCCTTGACCGGTGCTCTTGCCACGTACCTAGTCCGACGCGAGGAGACGAGAGGCCTGAGAACTGTCACGGAGGGGCCGGTGGAACTTGCATGAACTCAAAGAGTCGACGCCGCTGAGTGTTTGTTAGCCAAATGACCAAGGTAACGAAGACAGAGTACGACTGCAATAGAAAGCTATTTCGATATATGGGGTCGGGACTCGGTTATCGGTAGGGGAGCGCCCAAGTCAAATACAGCGCCACCGATGCTATTAGCGCCCAATTGTCCTCTCATTCCACCACCAAGCACTCGATTCGCCACCCAACCCATTGAATCAGCCATGACGAAACATAGCAAGAACAACACGGCGTCGTCTATTTTCTCGTACGCAGAGTATAAGAAACTTGACTATGGTACCCAACGGGTGCGTAATCGGCTGTTATCCTGCCCTGGAGCTTGACGTAAAGAGCATAACAGCAACGTCTAGGGCACGAGTCAATGAGGCCGTTCGACGCATGTTCCCTTTGTATACAGAAGGCAAGGGATCCTGTAGCGTGTAACAAGGGGCATCTGTTTTGCAAAGAATGCGTATACACGGATCTCGGTGCGTCCAATCTCCCTTCACGACGTCACACTCCTGCTGAGGATGGCACGCACGCAAGTCACACAGATCGAAGACATAAAACGCCAGAAGGTCAAGCTCGAAGTGTTGAAGCGGGAGGCTGAGGAAGAACGGCAGCGAGCGCGGGAAGCAGCGCGGGAACGTGTCTTGTTGGACTTCGAGAAGGGTCAGCTTGGTCTTGCTAGTCAGCCGACTATCACAACATCAGGTGCAGAAGCAAAAGAACGTGCGTGATCTTAATGTTCGCTTGTTTACACGTCACAAAGAGAGTTTTTGCTTCAGCTCGTGGCACGAAGCGGAAATTTGACTTCTCATCGACCGCTGTTGAGACTCTAGCACGCGAGGCCGAGGAAGCGGCGCTCTGTCAAATTGAACAAGAACAAGCGGAGGCGCTTAAGCACAAACTACCGGACTTCTGGCTGCCGTCTTTAACTCCGACATACACGTCTAGCGGGACGCCGACCTCGCTCACTGATGTGAAGATTCAGACAACGTGTCATGGAGGCAGTCCGGTTCATCCGCTAACGTGAGCGGCGCTGCAATGGCCCTATGGGATCGGGAGCTGATGGAGCCATGGTTCAGGCGGAAACACTTGATCCCCGTGAAGTTTTCATTTGATACCAGTAGCTCGTCAGTGTCATCACGGTCGGTTGAGTCAACGCCCGCAACTGAAGATGGCTCTCCAAGAAAGCCGAAAGAGGAGGAATCAATACCAATATGTCCTTCCTGTAAGAAACAGCTGTCAAATAGCACTCTCATAAACCGTGAGTGACTTTCATCTCCGTGTGAGGTTTCAGCTTGGCTGAACCGTGCCGAAGTCATGAAGCCATGTGGCCATGTCGTCTGCAAGACGTGTACAGATAAGCTTGTCAAGCCGGCTAAGCAATGCATTGAATGCGACGTAAAGCTCGGTGATAAGGACATCATCGAGTTGTCACGCGAAGGTGAGGCTCACCATTCAACAACTATCCAGATATTAAGAGAACGTTGGCAGGCACGGGGTACGCAGCGGGCGGGCTTGCGGAGACTTCAAAGAAGGGAGTCGCATTCCAAGGATAACACACGCTCACCTACGTCGCTGGTATTGATGTTATCCTGATTTCCTCCTACTGAACGAATGTTCTCCGAGTAACTGCAGCAAGTTGGCTCGACGGTCATGCGAGCCAATGATGACCGGTCTACATCATCTATCAAACGATGCCAATAATCCATGCGTGAATGATGCGAAGTCCGTGGGTGAGGGATAATGTGGATGATGCAAGTCTATCTTTTCAAGTGCACATGAATGGGCAAAGACAATGCAAGCTTAACCTGCGTATGGCAAGCAGCACGCGGAAACGCCAGCGTCTCCGGTTTCGCCCCGCGGATTCAACGCATAAGTCGTTAGGCGGGTACGTGAATGTCTGGAGCATTTCTGACGTTCTCTCTTGAGCATGTTCCGTGTTCCCGCATGCTGCGTTCTGCGCTCAAAAATTAATGCCACATAGTCCGACCTAAACTCCACATGCGTACCATCTGCATGCTGGACGTCTCTGGCCCCTCATCCGTTTGCACTGCTACATCCTGCTGTGAAGATGATTGAGGGACTTTTTCTTTGTGACGGTGAGGAGTTGAAGGGGTTGGCCGAGGAAGTCTGAAGATGAACGTAGAATTGGGCCGCGAATACACCCTAGAGCGCTGAGTGGGTGTCAAGTGACGTGCTTCATTATCAGCCAGGCGCGCACGTAATTGTGCAAACAGGATAGGAAGATGCAGGGGATGCTGCTGCGAGAGCAGGGCGGCGCGAACGAGCATGAGAGTGAACGATGGCCAAGGTGGGCGAGGAATTGTCCCGCTGAGGGCCTGTGGATCCGCGAGGCGGGCGCGTACGTGTGGGTCCCTCAATGTGGTGTCGGATCGCTGTCGCCGTGAGAGCCTCTTCCTCGTCGCCGCCTGGCGACGCTCCATGCTGGGTTTCCTCTGCATGTCGAGGAGGGCGCATGCGAGGGCGATGCGTGCGATGGTTTGGATCCAGAATGGCCACGTTTGCTGCTTCTACCCGGAGACGAACAGAAGAGGGACATCGAGTGTTAATATGAGTCCTTCGAGATCTCGGCTGCAAGGCGAACACGGTCAGCAGGACACGGTTCCATTCGGCTGTGAACTCGAAGCCCGAGAGACACCATTTAGAACGCGGTCACGTGGGTCGCGTTAGGGAGAGAGAGGGAGACAGATAAGATTAGATGATGGCAGTCGTGTGCTGCTTCGAGTTTCAACTGGGCACTGTGACGCCATGTACATCGTTCTGCGCCGTGCACATCAAATTCTCCATGCAGACAAACCCGACGTTACTTAACGCACGTCGCTTTCTCCTTCATGTTCGACTCTTCTCAATCTTCCGTCTAATCTTATCAGGTTTTTCCCACACCTCATTCACCTTGAGGTTGGTAAGCGCCGGCCATGCATCTTGCGGCTTGAGTCACTTCAACCAAAAGTGGCAGAGAGTTTACATACATGCACTGCAAAGTGTTGAGCAGACGAGGTCCACTTCCAGGAGAGTGATTGTTGAGTAAGCTAAAGGAAGTTTAAATAAGGTCGTGCTACAATGACTAGACTACACTAATCGAGTGAGTAAACAAAGACAAACATACAGCGTGCGCGAGTTGCGATTGAAGACCTCAGCTCGGAAGTCGCAAGACGATCCTTCGTCACATCTCCTTGCTCCCAACTCGTCTCGAAGATCAGCCGCGGGGACATAGCCGTCTGACTTAGCATCAAACAGCGTTGATCGCAGTGAGCGCATATTTCGATGCCCTAAGGTGTGCATCAAGCTTCTCGAATCTCAAGTCAAAACGATACGCCAGGTTGCCCCAGATCTCGCCAGAGTTGCTCCTTTCTCCTGTTTTGGTATCCAATCGTGGCTTCGTGAAGCTCATTAAGATCGGCCAACCCTATGTCTCATGCCGCAGCGGACGTCGACAATGATCCTGGCACGAGTGTCTCCACGGTTCGTGGATTGCAAGGATTGCAGCGATTGAACACAGTCATGCCTCCAGATCTTACTGTCTCGCTGGATATTGGAGGCGGTCGACAGTTATCGCCGCGACAGCCCTTGCTACATAGCCCTCTTCCCTCCCCTGGAAGTCCCTCTGGCGACTCTGTTTCCTCCCTTCCTTCAGTGTCATCATCCTTCCTCTACTCATCAGGGCCAGGAAGCCCTCCGCATGCTCCGTCACACACAAATGATACTCATCAAAGCACTGATACGGACGCTGAGCCACACGACTCTACACAGGGGTTGATCATACCGTCGCTCGCGCTACCCATCCTCACCCAGCGACCGACGCCTTACGGCCAGACACTCGGCGACGTGCGCCTCCTCATTCTCGCCCCACGGCACGCAGCATCATCTGTATCAACCCTTGTCTCGCAGCTCATCGACGAGAATGACGATATAGTCGACGAAGGGGCGTGGGAAGAAGAGGACAGGGGGCACTTCGCGGGCAGGATCGCAGTGCGCCGGGCATCCACGACCTGGGTGGAGCTTAGGGATGCGCATGGGCTGGAGCACACCGAACCCGCGCGCAATATTGAACTCGTCAGGGTACCCGGGTATGATGCCGAGGACGCTGTGCGTGGCACCGTGCTTCCTTCTCGCACGCTGCGGTGTCGCTGAATTGGATTACTTGCTGCATCTGCAGGCGGAAACTATTCTTGGACGCACATTACCTCTTGTCCACGCGCCGTTTCACCAAGTTCTCGAGGCGCTCAATCCCGAGTACGGTCCAAGTACGGTACTAGCCAACCTACTTTCATCTGCATGTACGCCCCTGTACACTGCATTAATATTGCTCTTGACGTCATGTGAGTGTTCTATTCTCAGCGCTGTCGGGTTTGCGCTGTTGTAGCAGGACCTTTCGCCTTTTGCACGAGTGTACATGCGGATCTAGGAGGTCGCTCGTACAGGCCGCAGAGACGATGCCCATCGTCTCTGGTGCTGTGAATTCAGGTCGGTCCAGGGGACGTGATCACCGTTGACCATCTGCACCTGAGTATCAACCCGATAGGTGGCATAGAGTTCTTCGCCCGTCTGCGGCAAAACCTGCACTTTAACTCGGGGCATTAGCTTGCGCGTGTCGAGCAGGACGAGCCGTGACGAGCTTCCGCTTGTCTCAGGCGATTGGAGCCAAGCCAACCTTGATTCATTGATGTATGCTCGCTCAATGTGGTCACCGTCGGATGGCATTTATCAGTGTGGTAGGGGATTAGCCTCCTCTTTGCCGTCGTAGCGACGGATTCGATTGAGTCTGTCCATCGACCTGCGTAGCTCGCGGGGCAACCTGGGCTTGCATAGCGTGAAGATTCCGTCACCTGCTCTTTACTCCTTGTGGTAACCAGCATACTAACTTTTTGTAGCAGCGCCGACGCAAACCGAGCGAAACCTTCTGGATGCGCTTAGCCCTCATGTCCCCGTCGTCGTGCTACCTCCACTCGCGTCTGAGTCGTCTTACCCCTTCTATTCCTCGGGCTACTCATCTTACCCTATCTCGATCGCTTCTTCCGCGTACGCGTCGCCACAGCACCCGGCAGGGTCACACTCGCCTATCACGTCTGCCCCGATCTCCGCGTTCCGTCCAACGTCTGCACATGCCTTGCGGCTCGGCTTGTTCCGCACACCGGAAACGATCGCCCACCTTCGCGGCGAGAGCGCTGCCCGGTTTCTGCGCTGGCGTGAGGTCGAGCGCGCGGTGAACCGCATTAGCTCTAGCAGTGGTGACTACTTCAGCAAGATGCCAAGCACGAGCACTAGCTTGGAGACGAGGGCGGGGTACACCCCGTGTGTGCCCAAGTTCCCGTCAGCGGCCAAGAGCAAGCACGGCTGGGACAAGGCCCGTTGGGAGGCAGAGTGGGAAGGCACATTGTCGCACGATGTCGCAGAGGGGCTGCGCCAGCGCGGTCACGCGAACACTGCTCGTCCGTCAGAGGACCAGCTGCGTGAGCAGGAGCCGGCGTTTGACGAGTACCGATCCCCACAGGGCTGCGTTCCTTCCCCGCTAGATCCATTGCATGTTGGGTCTCTGTTCATGTTCTCGTTGTCCCTCCTAGGGCCGCTGCGTGCGCGCCTCGCTCAGTCGTTCGGGTTCGGCGGGCGTGCTAGTACGAATACGATGGACACCGAGCGGAGTGGAGAGAAGAGACGCTCGCGGACCCTTGGCTTAGGACTGGAAATGGCACTCATGGGCGCCTTCTGTGCGGGCGTAGGTTTGGGGCTTCTTCTAGTAAGAGGGTGAGGCGTCCGCGTTGGACGTTTTGGACGTGAGTCCCCAAACTGCTCTCATCGATATTGCTCCAAGTTGTATTCTACTGTGACTATTGATCTGCAGTCTTCATTACATTTCAATTACAGCTATCATTGGCTTTCGTTCTTCATCGTAAACCCGGTTATGTACGCCGGCTCGATTGCCCGCCTTCGTCGCACGTCTCAACGTAATCTTGCATGCGTAGGTGAGTGGAATCCTATGTTTGATCAGCACAGTGGCACTTCAGTAGAACTCCGACGTGCAGCTACCCCTTACTAATGTGTGTGTAAGTCTCTATGAATTGCACTCCGGTCCCATCATTACTAATGGCACCATCCGATGCTCCTCATTCAAACAGCTAAAGAACTCAGAGGGCCAACGGCAAGGCTACTATTTCGGTTCATGTAACGGTGAGGTCGACTTATTGCTGACGATACGCACAATTAACGCTCCGGTTTCAACAGGCCGGTTTGAGGACGTTAATTGAGTGCCGTATCACTCCGTTCCATGACCAATCTGGAGGAATCCTTGACTTCCCTTCGTCGCCTTCTACAAAAATGCACCGAGACACGTTGACGAAGCAGGACTGTTGAAATACAGGCTATTTCTGATAAGCTGGCGTTCTGGCCTGTCGAAGACGTAAAACGGAGCCCGCTTAAGCTATCGACAACCCGAACGCTTCCCAGAAGCCCCAGCTATGATCCAGTGATTAAGCGCAAGTGTTCTCGGGTATCAAGAGCGTCTTTATTGTAGATCTCGTGCGTTCTCTATTTTGAGAAGCGTCGCAAGCTGTGCCGCATTGCGGATGCATGATCTGCAATGCCGTCATTCCGCCCATCGACGTATTCTGTCATTGTAAGGTATTTACGACACAAAGCCTGACGACATTCGGGGACGCGATGTGTTCCATACCGAAGTACGCTCCGTGCCACAAATTTCAATTGCCTCGTTCACGTTGCGCCGACCACCGCAGGCTGCTATTCTTACACCGCTCAACCGACAGCCGCGCAAGCGTTGGTAATAGCGCGCGACAAAATGTGAAGTCCGCTATCTGTATATGGGTATACGCCGTGTATGCTTTCCGGTCCATTCCCGATTATGAGGAGCGCCGGCCGCCGCACTGACATCGGACTCTACCGCCCTTTCGAGCAAGCGTCTGCAGCGTAGCAGCGTCGCCCGGTGTCAGAGGAGTATCAGACTCCAGTCCTCGTCGTAATTTGACTGCGAAGTCAATTTCATTTATCTCATTTTCTCACCTACGCTCTACAGTGGGAATATGTTAGTATGTGCTGCTGCGCCTGCAGGTCACCTGTTCTTAAGACAACACTACTTTGGCAGCCGGGAGGTGTGTGGCCCCGTTCTTATAGCATTACGGAAGGTCATATGCGGATATCGCTTCACAGCTGTGGAAGTATCAAGATCTTGATCGACGGCTCATGGATCATTGTTCTGCTGGCTGCATGACTATGGAAAAGTTGCTATTGGTGCATGGAGCGCGGGATCCCGGGCAGCCAGGCTCGACGAGTGGCTTTGTCGCTGAGTGGTCTATGTTTTCCAAGTGGGCACTTCTGCAGTTGTTGATGCCAACGGGGAGCTGCGGCAGCGGCGCTATGAAATCCGAATCGCAGACGGACGGCCATTTCAAGGCACTCAATCACCGTTTTGCCATTCTAGGACCCCCGGCTGATACGCAATGTCTCCAGCATTCCGAACTCGACAGACCCAGTGTCAATCATCATATCGTAAGCACCGTTCCATTCTCTACCCCGTCCATGGTCACTGAAAAGGTCCATCACAGCTTGGCAAGGCGCTCATCTGTCGGGGCAAAGTCTGCCATTCATTATGACAGCGAAGCTCTCGCACGAGCGTCCGCATCTACGTACCAGTGACCTTCTGCAACAGCTTCTCTGCTAAGCCATCCAGCGCCTCCGCTGCGGCCTTCAACTCCTGGTTCACTTTCCCTCCTTCGGGCACTGCGATAAGGGTCGATGGCTGAAAATACGACAACTGCGTCCCACGTCCGTCGGGCTTTTCTGCGACCAAGATCCGGAATGGCACTGACAAAGCCGTGCGTATGTCGTGCCGCATCATCGTCTCTGCGATGAGAGGGTTTCCGAGTGTATATTGAAAGATCTTCTGCGTCGGCCTCTCGTAGTATGCACTACGCCAATTGTGGAAAGATGCTGCCCCGAATAGACTGAAGGCAACAGTCAACATTAAAATCGAGGCTGGCACGACGATGGGAGTACTCACACGAAACTGTTCCCACCGGACATATTATGAATACCATCCTCGAGTGCTTCCCGGGTCTTGACAGTCCCCAGGAGTTTGAGGAGCTGTGGCCCCGTCTTCTCCTTGTTGAGCTCCGCATCGAGACGTGCTGTCACCTCCCGGAGGGGCAGTGGTGTCTCGTATGTGATGCGTCTGCCGGTGAACTCTGCGACAGCCTTCGACATGGTTGTGTAAAATGCTCGCCGTCGAGGTGGCGCCGGATCGAGATGTAGGGTGGAGGAGCAAAGAGAGGGCTGAGTCGAGCCTATATAGCAGAGCGTATAAGCATTCCGCACGTCGATCAGCATTCCAATAGCTAAGCCAACCGGAAGGAGGTAAAATGCTCAACTGTAGAACAGAGCGCTGACAGAAGATCGTATCTTCCTGGAAGTGATTAACGAGGTTAGGAGGGGTACAACTCAGAACGAGCCGGAATTTAAGTGTCTCCATGTGATTTGACAAAGTTCTCGGCAGATACCTGTGGAGAATACCCGCGTAATGTATCGAGAGCTCCTCCGCAATTGAGCCTTCCGTGTGTTCGTTCTAGAGTGATATGACATGGGAGTCAGCTGGGAGCAAGGTTCAATGTAACAGCGCCATGGCGTGACGCACACACTGCACGGCGTACTTATGACACGTTCAAGATGCTCTCAAAATGCAACAAATCTGTCTCTTCTGGATGCTTCCGCGAAGCTCGGTTCATCCGAATCATGTTCACGTTATTCGCGGGATGCCGTGCAGTCTATTTCCGATTCCCGAATGGCAGCGTTGTGGCGACATTCCTATACGCGATGCTTCCATCTCCTTCCCTAGCATCTTAAGAAGATCATCGGGCGCCGCCGGAGCAGAGAAGAGACTCCATGAGGAGTGTATTCTGATAACAGACCTGCTTGCTTCTCGATGTCGGATTTGTGTCAGAAGCGCCGGGCGCAGGCTGAAGGATTGGAACATGTATGTATTCTCTAGTTGGTACAAAAGGAACGCTTGCTCTCTCTGAACATGAAACATACACTGCATCTCTTGGTGCTTGCACGCGGAGTGCGCCAAGTGTAGGCTGACCGCATAGCGCCGATCCGCTGCGATTTCCCCACAAGGGTAGACGGCCGTGAAGCACTCCAATCTCACAGGTTGCATCAGAATCTTAGAGTCTGCAACTGCTTCTAGTGGGAAGGATGTATATCCTGAATTTAGGCTCCTGATGACTCACAAACGCGTGATGAGCACTGACTCCCATTATCGACTGACGGCTGGGATCATGCCAGGGACCGATCTCACAAACTGCCACTTTACATCAAACCTCCGCCTATATTTTCACAATAAGGAACTGCTGGCGCACTTCTGGGCCCTCGTACGGCGCAAGGCACACCATCTCCATCGATCGGTCTTCGCGACGACGGACGGCTCGCTTGACCTGGCGTGCGTTTACCAACCCCGTCACGCGCACCCGATACCGTGAGTCTCTCTGACCACGAATAGGCTGACGTACCTGGATTCCTGGAACACGGCTGTGTTGTCCCCAAAGTCAACACACACTGCCTGACCATGGACAGTGCCTTGTCCCGCAAGCTCGGATACGTCCTCGAAGCCGAGATCCAGCAGACGATTGACGTGCACCGCACGCACGCAACGTGCCATAGCCAGCACAGGGTCCAGCGAGCCCTATAGCCCACCAACTGGTGAGAACACCGCTAGCATGACCCGTGTGTGAGTGTGCACAGGTCGGTACCTATCAATGTCGTCTGCTCGACGACGTGACAGAGCTGGCAGATGTCGGCGGTGGACGAGACAGGAGGCTCATGCGCGTGCGATGCATGAAGAAGCGGCGGAGGCGCGGCCCGCGCCCGTCCATGATTGCCGTGCAAAAGCTCGTCGAGAGCTGGAGCGACGAGTCCGCCGACCGTGGAGATGTGAAAGTGCTCGGGCGATGCAGGCGCGAGCAGAAAGAGGGTGACATCGCCCTCCCAATTCCCGGGCTGTTGCTCCTGCACGGAGAGCGTGATGGAGCGCAGGCGAGAGAGAGCGCCTGAGCTGGCGCATCGCTTGCTGAAGTGGGACTCGTCCTGCCGGCTGTCATGAGTGGGTTGTCGCTTGCACAGTGGGTGCACGCGCGAACGCAGGTGAGAGGCTTCCATTCTAAGGGCACGCAAACCATGACTGTTCGATGCAAGGACGTTCTATATCCTTGTACGTGACCTTGGGACACCCGGCAATGTATAGCTGTTTTGGTTTGATCAAGTATGGAGCCGGAGAGCACGAGCGATATCCGGTATAGGCTGGCGAGCTTCCAACATGAAAGGCTGGTATAGATGGTAGTAGTGCTGGCCGTTGATCTCGAGCTCTCCCAGTTGAGGGCAAGTGACACGTTGTTTGACAGCGCAGTATGGCTAGCGAGACCCAATCATCAAGCTTTCGGACATATTTCGCGAGATGAGGGTGCCCAGATAACGTTCGGAAGAGCTGTACCACCTGTTCGCATGAATGAACTCCGATTAGAACCCACGAAGCAGCAGCTGCTGACTCCCTCTTTGCCTTCTTTGTGAGCACCAGGATCTGTATAAAGCTACGAGATTGAAAAGGCAGCATCGATGGGCATCGGATGACCTAAGCACATACCGTTGCAATGTGGACTTCTTACCTCGTGTGCGACGGCAGATCTCAGAGACTCATGAAATCCATGGAAAGACATCAGGATTCTCAAAGCTTTGAGAACCTAAAACCCACCGCAATTTCCCGCAGTTCATTGCGGAGCTTGTTGGCGTTCTGAGTTGACACGTCAAGTGCGAGAACATCGAGTTCAGCGCTGCGCATGATGGCGATGGCTGGTCGTAACGTGATCTAGGCAAGGCATGTTCTTCATACTGAGCGATTCGCAAGCTAGGAAGCTGAAGCGATCCCCTACTTCAAGCTCAAGAAGGGCGGCGTCAACTTGGCCTTGCGCGCAGCATGCCCACCAACTTTGCGCAGATCGATTATGTCGCCAAGAAGAAAGACTTGGAGTGCCACATCGTGTCGACAGGTGTGTTCAATTCATCTGGATATGTAGTGATTGGACACCAAATGTCTTGTTCAGGCTGGAAGTTCTTTGGAAACTTCATTCAATACAGCAGGCATGAGGCCATGATCACAGTCCAGACGTAACCCAGAATAATCCCACTGTAAGCATTTTGTGATAATTTGTATAATCCAACAATCAGCATTGCAAAAGGACCGTAATAATATTCAAAATAATTGAGAACAGAAATTATCCCCTCTTTTAGTCGCTCAAGTAAAACCTCGCCTTCTGTACGGGCGTAGGTGGGGCTTTTTGTAGTAAGAGGGTAAGCGACTTTTTGACGTGAGCGCTTGAGCGCTCACCAAACTGCTCTCAGTGATATTGCTCCAGCTTGCATTCTACCTCAAATTCTTGTTCTGCACTTTCAATCCCATTTCAATCACAGACTCCATCGTTGGCTTTCATTTGTCATTGTAAACGAGATTATCTATGCCGGCTCGATTTTCCGCCTTCGTCGCGCGTCTCAACGTAATTTTGTATGCGTAGGTGGATAAATTTCTACGTTTGATCAGCGGAATGGCCTTTCAGCAGAGTTCCGACGTGTAGCTATGCCTTCCTAATGTGTGGTAAGTCTCTATGAATTGCACCCGTCCCGGCGGTACTAATGACTCCATCCGATGCTCTTCGTTCAAATACTCAGAGCGCCTCACAGTGTGACGGTGATGTCGACATTATTGCTGACGATATGCACAATTAATGCTTCGGTTCCCAGAGGACGGCTTGAGGATGTTGAATGCCGTACCGTTCCGCTCCCCGACCAATCTAGAGAGGACCTTGGCTACCCTCAGCCGACTTCCACTAAAATGCACCGAGACACATTAATTAACGGAGCAGAATTGTTGAAGCGCTGGCTATTTCTGGCAAGCTGGTGCTCTGGCCTGCCGAAGGTAAAACGAAGCCCGCTTAAGCCATCGACAACCGAACACTTTCCAGGAGTCCAGCTAGTATCCGGTGATTAATGCAAGCGTTCTTGGGTATCAAGAGCGTCTTTTCTATCGATCTGGGAGCGTCCTCTATATCGATGATCGCCGCAAGCTGTGCCACATTGCGGATGCATGATCGCGAGGACGCGATGTGTTTCATGCTGAAGTACGCTCCGTGCCACAGTTTTCAATTGCCCCGTCCACGTTGCGTTGACCACTGTAGGCCGCTATTGTTGCTCCGCTCAACTGACAGCCACGCAAGCGTTGGTAATAGCGTGCGACAAAATGTGGAGTCCGCTATCTGCATATGGGTGCACGTTCAATTGCCTCGTCCACATTGTGTCGACTGCTATAGGTTGCCATGTTTGTACTCACTACCGCTCAACTGACATCCACGCAATTGTTCAGAATGTGGAATCTACTAAATCTAATGTATATGGGGGCACACCGTGTATGATTTCCGGTTTGTTCCAGCTAACTCGGTTGCGAGGAGTGCCGGTTGCACTGATATTTTGGATCCTACCGCCTCTTTGAGCAACGTCTGCAGTGCAGCAATTCTTCCCGGAGTCACCGGAGCATCGGACTTCAGTCCTCGTCTCAATTTGGCTGCCAATTAAATTCACTGATCGTATTTTCTCACCTATGCTCTGCAGTGGGAATCGGTAGAAGGTGTTGCGGCGCCCGCAAGTCACATGTTCCTACTAGCCCAGACAACGCTACTTTGGCAGCCACTGGGGAGGTGTGCGGCTCCGAGCCCCATTCTTAACGCATTACGGAAGAGTCATATGCGGATACCGATTCTCAGTTGTGGAAGTATCAAGATCTCGATCGACGACTTATCAAACATTGCTTTCCTCTTTGACTATGGAAAACCCGCTATTGGTGCATTAGCCGCGGGATCCCGGGCAGCTGGGCTCGGTGAGTGGGTTTCTCACAGAGTTGGCTTCGTTGCTGAATGGTCTGTGTTTTCCAAATAGGCATCTCTGCAGCTATTGATGCTCACGGGGAGTTGCTGCGCGCTCCGAGATCCGAATCGCAGACGGACGGCCATCTCAAGGCACTCAATCACCAGCAGTTCCGAATTCGAAGGACTCAACGTGAACCATCACATCATTAAACGAAACAATTATCATAAGCACCGCTCCATCGTCAACCATCAGATCATTATACGAGATAAGTATCATAAGCACCGCTCCGTCTCTATCCACATCTATGGTCACTGAACGGAACCATTACAGCTTGGCAAGGCGCTCCTTTGTAGCGGGAAGCTCTGTCATCCATCATTAGAGTGATGCTCTCGCACGAACGTCCGCATCTACGTACCTAAAACCTTCTGTACCAGCTGCTCTGCATCGGCATCCAGCTTCTCCGCTGCGGCCCTCAACTTGTGGTTTACTTCCCCTCCCTCAGGCACTGCGATAAGGGGCATCAGCTGGAAATACGACAACTGCGTCCCACGTCCGTCGGGCCTTTCTGCGACCAGGATTCGGAATGGCACTGACAAAGCCGTGCGTATGTCGTGTCGCATCATCGTCTCGGCTACCAGAGGGTTGCCGAGTGTGTATTGAATGATCTCCGGTGTCGGCTTCCCGTAGTAGGCATTACGCCAATTTTGGAAAAGCGCTTCGGAGAAAAAACTAAAGGCAGCAGTCAACATTCATATCAGAGTGGGCACGCCGAGGAGACTACTCACACGAAGTCGTTCCCACCAGTGAATTGTTTCATACCGCTATCGAGTTCTTCCCGGGTCTTGACGGTATTCAAGAAGTCAAGGAGAATTGGCCCCGTGTTGTCTTTGTTAAGCTCCACATCCAGACGTGCTGTCACCTCACTGATGGGCAGTGGTGACTCGTATGTAATGCGTCTGCCGATGAACTCTGCGACAGTCTTCGACATGGTTGTGGGGGTTGAGGCGGCGTTAGATAGAAATGTGGGATTGAGGAGGAAAGGAACTGCTGAGTTCAAATCACGAAGGAGGGGCTTATAAGCATTCCGCAGGTCGGTCAGCATTCCCCTTAATGAGCATTTCTACAGCTGAAACAACCGGAAGGATGTAAAATGCTCAACTGTAGAATGGAGCACTGACAGGAGATCGGTTGCTAGTCTTTTTGGAAGTGATCAAGAGCTTAGGAGCTACGAACTCAGCTGTCTCTATGTGGCTTGACAAAGGCTCTCGCAGTTACCTACCCGCGAACTGTGTTGAAGGCTCACCGACCCCTTCGGCTGATGAGCCTTCCATCTGTCCGTTCTAGAGCGATATGACATGAGAGCAGTGCCATGACGTGATGCAGTTTCACGGCATACCTATGAGACGGTGAAGAAATTCAAAATGCGCTCAAAATGCGGTGCACGCCTACTGATTGTCTCTCCTGGTGCTTCCGCGACGCTTACTAGTCCATCCGAATCATGTTCACGTTATCCGCCGGGATGCCGTGCAGTAGTCTATTTCCGAACGATAGCGTTGCGGAGACATTTACACGCAACAGTTCCATCTCGTTTCCTAGCACCCTTGAGAACATCATCGAACGCGGCCGGAGTAGAGAAAGTAAGAGTGTATTCTGTCAACAGACCCGTGGACGCCGCAGACCTGAAGGGATTTGTTATCATCTGATATGTGTAACAAATCTGGTTAGGTATTCTAACTTTACAAATGGATTTGCCGTTATCACATTGGCATTGCATGTCCTAAATATGGCATTCAATGGTAGCATATTTAATATCTCATATTTTAAGAGTTCTTTGGGACAGATTTTGAGTATCTCAAACTGGATATAACAAAAGTGTAGACATTATTACAAATCAGTTCGAAATAAGGTCAGACAATATAGAAAGCATTTTGTTGCAGTGCTACATTACATGTGTGCCATTTTTTCGAATTAGATGACTAAAGGGTAGTTAAAATACCGCACATGATCATGGCCGGTCAAGTGCTATATTTAGAACATGCAATGCAGATTGTGGCCCCGGCGGCGCCGGAGGCTGAAGAGTTGCGAAGCTGCAATGCATGCACCAGTTGGTGCATACGAAGGAATGCTTCTCCCTGAGAATGAAACATGCACTGCGGCTGTTAGGGCTTGCCCGTGGAGTGCGCCAAGTGTTGTAGGCTAGACCAGATAGCGCCGACCTGCTGCGATTTCCCCATAAGGATAGACGACATTGTGCCTCACTGGTTGCATCAAAGTCTTAGGCTCTGAAACTGCTTTCCAGCGGGAAGAATGCATGCGAGATTAGGCCCCTGATGAATTCCAAACGCGCGATGAGCACTGCGTTTCATTACCGACTGACGGCTCGGGTCATGCTACGGACCGATCTCGCAATCTGTCACTTTCTATCAAACGTCCTCCTACATTCTGACAACAAGGAACTGCTCAGGCACCTCTGGATTCTCGTACGGCGCAAGGCACACCTCCATCTCCATCGATCCATCTTCACGACGACGGACCGCTCGCTCAACCTGGCGCACCGCGTGCGCCACCGACCGGATCACACGGACTCGGTACGTAAGTCTCTCCGACCACGGAGCGGGAGGACATACCTGGAACACCGCAGTGTTGTAACCAAACTGGGTCAAAGTCCACACACACTGCCTAACGATGGACAGTATCTTGTCGTGCGCAAGCTCGGATACGTCCTCGGAGCCGACATCCAGCGGGCGATTGACGTGCACCGCACGCACGCAGCGCGCCAGCGCAAGCACAGATCCCAGCGAGTCCTATAGCGCCCCAGCCGGTCAGAACACCGCCAGCATGACCGGCATGTGAGTATGCACAGGTCGGTACGCACCAGCGTCGTCTGCTCCACTACGATGAACAGCTGCTCGAGCTGCGGACAGCGCCGGCAGATGTCCGCGATGGAGGAGATGTTCATGCGCATGCGGTGCACGGAGAAACGGCGCAGTCGCGACCCGTGCGCGTCTACGATTGCCGTGCAAAAGCGCTCGTCTAGAGCGGGACCAACGAGTCCGCCGACCGTGGAGATGTGAAAGTGCTCGAGCGGCGCGGACGCAAGCAGGGAGAGGACGTGGGCGTCCCAATTCACGGGGTGTTGCTCGCGCACGGAGAGCGTGATGGAGCGCAGGCGAGAGAGAGCGCCTGAGCTGGCGCACCGCTTGCTGAAGTGGGACATGTCCTACCGGCTGTCATGAGTGAAATGTCGCTCATATAGTATGTGCACGCACGAATGCAGGCGAGAGGCCTTCCATTCCAAGGGCATGCAAGCCCTGACTGTTCGATGCAATAACATCCCACAGTCCTTTGTCCGTGACTTTGGGACACCCGGCAATGTACAGCTGTTCTAAATTGACCAAGTGCGGAGCCAGTAAGCGCAAGGTGTCGTCATTGATTGAGGACGAGGACTAAACAATAGACGTGTCAGCGTACTATTTTTGCCCCAACTAGCGGGGCCTAGTGCACGTCACCTTGCAGATGAGGCTTAGACTTCTCAGCGTGTTCCCCGTAGCCTTCATCCATGTCGGCAGAATGTCAATAACAGCATGCGAAGGCATGATGAGTGATATCCGGTGTAGGCTAGCGAACCTCGCCAGCACGGAAGGCTGGTATTGATGGTAGTGCTGGCCATTGATCTCGAGCTCCCGTAGCTGAGGGCAGGTGAGGAGTGCCTCGAAGATGTCTGTCCTGACGGAGCCATGCCGCGTCCAGGTGCAAGCGCGGAGGCTTACACAGTTCTTGATGCCATTGAGGCAAAGATGGACCAGTTCTTCGTAATCAGCAGATTGTAACGCTTTCGGGAAGTCGCGGATCTCTGTTCGGTGTATGAGCCAAATGCATAGCTTGACTAAGAGTGATGAGATGATGTTCAAGTGATCGACCCACGGTAGCGTATATATGCTGCGTGGATGTCGACATCGGCCAATAAAGCCTCGTATCGCAAGCGATACGGTCGACTGATAGAGACGATCTACGTGCATCAGGAAAATCTCTGTTTAGAGGTTACGGTGCCTCCTTCAATGTGAATATGACTCTGAGCAGAAGCAACAAAACATAAGAATAAATCCAATAATACAAGAAAGGTTATCTACCTGCCCGAGCTTGAACGGCGGTTTATGAGCATCTCATTTGTTTATGTAAGTAGGTCCACTTTGATAAATATGTCCCCAAGCTAAAGTAAGCAAGTGATTTTCCTGATGCGTGCGTGCAACTCGTGCGATGTACCCTTTGTCGGCAGCAGTGCATTCTAGTGAGATCCACTCACCAAGCTTTCGGACATAATTCGCGAGATGCCGGTTCCCGGATAACGTTCGGAAGAGCTGTACCACCTATTCGCCCGAATGAGCTCGGTTAGAACCCACGAAGCAGCAGCTACTAACTCTCCCTTTGCCTTCTTTGTGCCAGGCATAGATATAGACGCGTTCGTACAGGTAAGGAACGCTGAAGGTGTAGAATGATTTGTTCACCAGACATATGACGGCGATATGGCTCGGGCGAATGAGAAATCGGAGGATCACAGGCAGTAGTTCCGACGGAAGATCCAAGAAATTAGCCATCGCAGCCCCTCTGGGAGCTCTCTGTATAAGCTATGCGATGGTACACCTTATGATACTGTTTTATCAGGATCTGTATGAAGTGACAAGATTAGATATCAGACAACATCGATAGGCATCGGATGACCCAAACACGTACCGTTACAACGTAGCTCGTGTATAGGGGCAGGTTTCAGAGACATAAGCGACAAAGCAATACAGGAATCATCAAAGCTTTGAGAAACTGGAAACCGTTACGTTTTGCCGCGGTTCGTTGCGCAGAGGTTAGAGTTGGCGTTTAAAGTTGATGTCAAGCGTTACTTGAGCTCGCGCGGTCAGGTGACACAGATGTACTAAGTACAGGACAATCGCGCAAAAAATCGTGTCAACTCTGCAATGAGGGCGAGGACACTCGCAATCCGATTGTTTATAAGAACGAGATACAATTCCGTTCTGAAACGAGGGTGTAGCGAGCAGGAGAAGAGGTGATCGCCTTGATAAAGACGCGTGAGTAGTGCGTGACGGTACGCGTTGCGTGACCGCCTGCTACGTATAAGCGAGGCCGTTGCAAGCCGTACAACCACTTCCTCCTCCTCCTACTCATCATGTCCTTCCAAATCAAAGAAATCCAGACGAAGCCGTACGATGGTCAAAAGCCAGGGACGTCGGGTCTTCGGAAGAGGTGAGCGCCAGAGATCCTTCATCAGTTGCCTGGGGGGAGAAGGGGGTCATCTGCCAGCTCAGCCGTGCCGTCAGGATGGGACAATGGTGGGAGTATAAAGATCGTTACGTGTACAGTACTATGGGGTACTCTTCTCATCTGATGCAGTCTCAGAGAGCATCTGGATGCCATCTTGCACTGTTGCCAGCGGTGCGGGACGCGGGATCACCTATTCCCGTATGCATCCCTGTAGGGAAGCAACCCCGCCAGGCGTACTTTGACCAATGCTTGCCGATGCGAACAAAGCCCCGGGTTCTCCGGCCATAGCATGTTGCGCTGGTTTGTCGGGTGAAGCAAGCAGCGCTTGGGTCGCAATCGTCTTTTGGCGATGATGCTGGGAACAATTCAAATGAACTCAATAGACAGATCTTGATGGCCCGAGCTTATTCCGGCGTCATGGTTGAGCATGGGAACGCTGTTCACTTCTGTTCCATCCATTTATGAGTGCATGCGCTAATTATATCACAGGGTAAAGGTCTTCCAACAGGAGGTACGTTCTGATCCATCTGCGAGCTGCAAGTGATTAGGCGTATCTATTCCATGCACCCGATGCGCTCCGCGATGATCACAAGTGACCTGCTCTGGCTGCATGCCGATGGTTCTCGTGTCCATGTTCCGCAGGCCTAGCCGGAAGCCAATGGGCACTGGATGCACCCGCGAGCGACTTGTGCTCACACGAATGCCCGTGTCTCGGATATGCAAGGACTAGAGCCAATCCATGATTCAACGACTCAACGTACGGTATTGACTGTTGCTCCTTGTAGCATTACACAGAGAACTTCATCCAAGCCATCTTCGACTCCATCGAGCCGAAGGGCGCGACACTCGTAATCGCAGGCGACGGTCGATTCTATTCGCCCGAGACGGCGCAGCTGATCCTCAAGATCGGTGCTGCGAACGGTGTGGCAAAGTTCATTGTCGGACAGAACGTCATCCTGTCGACGCCAGCTGCGTCGAACGTGATCCGCAAATACAAGGCGAATGGCGGTATTCTACTCACTGCCAGTCACAACCCCGGAGGACCCAACAACGACTTCGGTATCAAGTACAACGTGTCGAACGGGGGGCCTGCTCCCGAGAACGTGACGAACAAGATCTACGAGAAGAGTAAGACGATCTCTACTTACAAGGTCATTGAGCTGCCGCCTCTGGACCTGTCCAAGACGGGCACGTTCAAATATGGCCCGACAACGGTGGAGGTTATCGACTCGGTCAAGGACTACCTCGAGATGGTGGAGGGCATCTTCGATTTCCCGCTGATCAAGTCGTTCCTGGTGGAGAAGGCCGGCACGTTCAGCGTGCTATTCGACGGCCTCAACGGTGTTACCGGCCCATATGGGCGCGCGATCTTCGTCGACACGCTCGGACTGCCCGCATCGTCCGTGCAGAACGACAAGCCGCTGCCCGACTTTGGCGGTGGCCACCCCGATCCGAACCTCACGTACGCGCACGAGCTCGTCGAGCGGGTCGAGCGCGAGAACATCCAGTTCGGCGCGGCGAGTGACGGCGATGGCGACCGGAACATGATCTATGGCAAGGGCGCGTTCGTCACGCCAAGCGATAGCGTGGCGATCATCGCAGATTGGGCCGCTGAGGCGATCCCCTACTTCAAGAAGGGTGGCGTCAAGGGCCTTGCCCGCAGCATGCCCACCAGTGCGCAGATCGACTATGTTGCCAAGAAGAAAGGCTTGGAGTGCCACGTCGTGCCTACAGGTTTGTTCAATTCAGCTGAATACGTAATTATTGGACACCAAAATCTGTTCTTCAGGCTGGAAGTTCTTCGGAAACCTCATGGATGCTGGCAGGCTGTCCATCTGCGGTGAAGAGTCGTTCGGCACAGGTTCGGACCACATCCGCGAGAAGGATGGCGTTTGGGCTATCGTTGGTACGTTTTCCGTGTCACTCCACGCAAGAGCTGTGTTGACGGCTTCGACAGCATGGCTGAACATCCTCGCGTATGCGAACAAGCAGTCGCCGAACGAGCAGATCGGCATCAAAGAGCTGCTGCAGAAGCACTACGCAGTCTACGGGCGGTCATTCTTCTCCCGCTACGACTACGAGGAGGTCTCGTCGGAGGGCGCTCAGAAGCTCGTAGACGCATTGAACGCGCACATCAGCTCGGGCGACCTCGCGGGCACGTCGCACACGTCGCCTTCGACTGGGCAGACGTTTGTCGTCAAGGACGCGTACAACTTCGATTACACGGACCCGATTGATGGCAGCGTGTCGAAGAACCAGGGCCAGATTGTGCGCTTTGAGGACGGCTCGCGTGTCGTGTTCCGTCTCAGCGGGACCGGTAGTCAGGGCGCTACCGTGCGCATGTACGTTGAGCGGTACGTCGCTGCTGACAAAGGCCCCGCGGAGCTCGGCAAGTCGACGAAAGAAGGCTTGAGCGGGCTCATTGAGGTTGCGCTGGAATTGAGCAAATTGAAGGAGTTCTTGGGCAGGGACAAGCCGACCGTCATCACTTAGAGGGCTGGTGGCGAGGAGAGCAACGTACATAGCAGAATTGAAACATATACGATCAATGATGTACAAGTATTTTCTTTGATACGGGAGGAATTGATCAATGTAGCTCGGAATGACTAGTCATCGTTTCTCATGAAGGGAAGGGGGTAATAATGTACAGCCGCGGCGGCGCAAGTCAGCATGATGATTGTGGTTAATTGAAGTGTTTCACCACAATCCCAGTAATGACTTCCTCCTCCACTTTGTCGTCCTTCTTCTGCAATTTGGTCTGCCCGTATGCGCTTGCCCTGCCCTTGCGCCACGTCTCCATAAGCGGTGCGTCGGCATCCTCGAAGCGACGCTTCACGCCACACTTCTGCAGCATGGGGCTCTCAACGTGCGGGAGCAGCCTCATGTCGTCATCCGGCATCGCGAAGTAGAACAGACCAAGGCGAGGGTAACCGCACTGGTGCTCCGGGGGCTGGACAACACGGTGAATGGTGGCTTTGTAGAATCCGCCGGAGAGGAACTCCATGACATCGCCTGCGTTGATGACTAGAGCATTGTCGATGTGCTTGATCCAGCGCCATTTGCCATCAGAAGACTGCATTTGCAGTGCAGCCACCGGTTGGCTCCAGAGGATGGTGATACTGCCGAAGTCTGGATGTCTCAGACATATCCTGCGAAGGGCATGATGCGTGATAATGCATACCTGTGTGGCCCTTCAGCCAAACGCTTCTAGTCTTTCTTTCTTCCTCCTCGGAGCGGGGATAACTGCCATTACTGTCAATATATATATGCATGTGCTATTCGCAAGGTACTCACTATTTCATCATTCTGACTGTGAACAGCGGGTGTTCGAATTGGCACTTCTCTGAACGATGCTTAGTAATAACACTCACCCCACGTCTCCCCTTCAGCAGAGAAGTTGTGCTGGTTCACAAATGTTTCTTCAGGCAATTCCAAACCCAGCGCGAGAAGCCTGAATTCAGTCAAAAGATTATTCTGCATTCGCTATTGTTTAAATGTGGCGACAATACCGCAAGATAGGATGCAAGACATTGAAGTGGTTGAAACGGGCGAACCGGTCAATTTCCGGCAAGAACGGCAGCAGAGCTTTCGGATGCTCTTTCCTGTTGACATCTCTGTTTACTGCATGCTGCAAGTCAGGCTCTACAAGCATTCATTGTGCTCCCGACGTACTGTTGTAATGTTCGATTTGATCGCGAACACCTGCATCAATGTGCTAATAGCAAGGGCAGACGTAAGCACAGAAACAGAAAATCTAGACTTGACTGACCCAATACTGCCTGAGCTTATAGCCTTGATAGCTTCCCGTCTGTTTGACGCGTGAGTCGTAGGCTCGTTTCTCGTCATCGGAGACCATGGAGAATGGTATATCCGCAATGTCAAACATGCGGTCAGTCTTGGATACCATAAGCGTCATTCGAAAGCACCCATAATCCTGTGGGTACCTCGGCTTGCGTGTAGCCATGATTGATAACATAGAAGAAGCCGTGTGCTGTCATGGCTTGTCGAACCTCTTGAGCAAGGGCCATACGGCCTTCCGGAGTGTCCGCCTTCGATAAGTCAATGATGGGTAGATCCGCATACTCCACTGCACACACAGGTATGCTCAGAGAGTCAGCCAACTGAGCATAGAGCCATGAAGCGGTTGTCGAACTTACAAGGCTCGTTGGTCTTGGGAGCAGGAACGTAGTGAGGGACGAATGGTAAAGTGGTAGCAGGCATTCTCTCTGGATGGGCGAAGTCCTGAGCACGGTAGTAGCCGACCGACAGGGAACATGTCTTTTATGCCGGGGAGACATAGATAGAACGAAGCTGCAGTCGGCCTTCTCCTATTGAAATCCTAGCACGATTGCGTAAGAATAGGATATGTCGCGTTGCAGGGTCAGCTGTGTTGGCCGAACAGACCCCGCTGTTCTGAGCAACATTACAATGGTCAGATAACTTTCCGCTCCACGGCGGTAGCCAAATCTTTCGGCAAGTATGCCATTAGCTTATGCAGCACACCGTACGACAGCTACAAGTTATGTCGCATGCAAACCCGAAAGTCGGATAAATTATATTTGCAAGGATAGAGCCGCACCACCGTGACCGCTATTAGAGCCGCTGTTCCCCAAACCGCCAGAGAGAAAAGGTCCTTACTGTGGCCATCAGCAAATAAGCAGCATTTGAGAGTGTCATCTATGACCCTGAGGCCCTTGAAGGGCAACACCACCGACGCAAGCGAAGTCATTCCTTTCAAGCCATTTACCAAAGTGGGAAGACACCGACAAGAAACATATAGTCCAATTCTTATCAGAAGGGCAGGAACTCCCTCACCTGATCCAACGGCCCCGTGTCTCAACAGAATGCGAGACGTTGAGAACGGCGTTTCCTAGCACCAAAGATATAGATGAAGCGGTATGATTCTTTCCACACCATATCTAGAGTTCACACCGTCAGCCATGAGATTCGCCAGCGCCGTGATATGGGCTTACTGTATGATCGGACAAGTGACCACGTCAGAACTAGAGGGTGTGAAAGATATGTTGACCATCCCTGGCCTGACCAACCTGTCGAACAGGATGACGTACGTACCAATGCCGTCGACATGATAAAGCGTCCAACCTTGATAAATTGGATAGAAAACAGAAAGCAGTGAGATGTACAGCGTGATATTGACACATACAACACTATCATGATTCTTGGAAAACTGCCGCATCCGCACGAACTAATTGCTCTGACCTGAGCTCCTCCACCAAGAAATGGTCGTCAGTCCTCACAAGCACCATCCCGGTCGCCTCCAGCGCCATGACCTTCGCAAGATCGCCTTTGTGGTCACCACCCAGTATGAGTACGTATTGCTGCACGTCGTCCGGCCGCACAGCCTTGAGGTACTGGACAGGTACCTGCAGAACTGGTTGACTTGGATCGATCGGATTGTCGAAGCGTACACGCGCTGTTGCAGCAAAGCTGTTGTTCTGTGGGTCGAGCACCGAGAGCACGACGCCTTGCTTGCCCTCGTAGTCGCCATTGTACCATCCGTTGTCGGTAGACTTTTCAACCTGGACCATCATTCCTTTCTTGTTGACGATCTTGGGTTGCGTCAACCAACGACCATCATCTTCCGCATGAGTGTTAGAAATGAACAAAATGCACAATTACAAGGCTGCCTTACCATCATCCTCCCCATTGTTTGTCAATGCACTCGAGAACGAACCACGTGGATCGGTGGCACCTGGCGTTCTCATATCGGCATACGCATCCATGGGGGCGGGAGTCGGAGCTGGCGGCGTGAACGCCGGGGTCTGCGCGTTAGCTGAAGCGTCACCCTATATGTCATGGTCAGCGTCCAAGTCAGCATTATAGTCTAGTCTCACTCACCCAAGTGCTCCAGTCATTCCGAGCTGGTGTGCTCCAACCCGCACCACTCCCACTTACCTTAGGAGACGTTCCGCCCCAGGCCGGTGTAGTACCGCCCCAGCCAGCCCTAGCAGGAGTTGCACTATTGTACGGATTTGGAGTGCGGGCAGATACGTTCCACGCTGGTGTCCGTCCCCCGTCCGCTGCATACGGATTGGGCGTACGCGCTGCAGCGTTCCAAGCAGGGGTCTTGCCGCCGTCGCCATATGGGTTTGGTGTACGCCCAGACTGATTCCATGCAGGCGTTTTGCCGATATCGTTGTATGGGTTTGGCGTGCGGCCAACCTGGTTCGACCAGCCTGGCGTGCGATTTCCTCCTGTAACGTAAGGGTTGTGAGTGCGGCCAGTGCCGAAGCCGCGCGGTGGCCCCATGCTACTTTCTAGAGGTTCTATCGTGCCATTCGGACTAACAAAAAGGTCATCAGAAACGGTTTGCTCTAAGCGGTTGAGACTACTTACTATCTCCTATATAGCTTAGACTTGTCGATAGTGATCACTTTATTGCCAGTGACGAGTTCAACTCGAGCGATAGGGCCATTGGTGTCCTTGATGGTGCCGACGTAGCCTTTATGGGGACCCTTCACGACGGTCACCGTGACACCTATTAGCCTGTCCCTCGGACCGCGACCGATGTTACCGGAGCCGACCATGCCACCCATCGCTCCGCCACTGAGGGCAGGATTCATCTTGGACAGGTCTGCCGAGCCAAGCTTCATGACGTTGCCCTTCGGCGCGAGTGATACCAAGGAGCGAGCACGAGTGACGAAGACACCTCCGTTCTCTGCATAGTCCCGATTGTGCAGGAAGGCAAAGAATGACTGGTGAGTATGTAGCACACGACCTTTCCGACCCTTTGAACCACTGTTAGTATCGATGAGAATGATATGCAAATTCAGTTTGGCGTACCTCGCCATCGATCTCCTTCACGTTGTCGTTGACACGCAACTCATGCCCCTCAGAATCAGTTGCGATCGCCCGGTTTGAATCCCTCCGCATCGAGATCTGATGTGGCTGGACGAGCCGTACCTGGCCGTTCTGGTCAAGAACGCGGAAGGAATCACGTTCCGTCTTGAATATGACACCAACAGTTTGCAGACTAGTAGGTTGTTAGAACGAAAAGCTCAGAGTGTCAGATCCCACTTACTCCAATTGTACCAGGTCATGCAGCTCGTAGTTCCCAACGACGTTCGTCCCGGTACCCACTTCCGCAGCTTCTCGCAGATCCTTGGAGAACACCGACACCTCCTGCATGGACATGTCCGATAGGAAAGTGACGATGTTATCCACGACTGAGACCACCAGACCCGTTTCGTCCGCGTTCTGCCCTGTCATGACCTTGACGTGGTCTCCAGGCTTGAACCGCTTCTGAACACTCCTTGCAGGGATTTGTATACGCTGCCCATCGAAGTCCACACCGACAGGCTGGATGGACACGATGTCCTGCTCAATGGAGTGGACCGTTCCATGCACACCTGTCTGCTCGCCCTCGAACACCTCGACATGGTCACCTGGCTGCAGCACCGAGATAGCAGCCTTCCGTGACGCCTCCGCGATGATAGACAGATCGACGTTCGACTCGTTCTCATTGCCGTCTTGACCGCGAGTAAACCTGGTAATCTCGTCGAGAGTAGGGTTCACGGTGTCCAGCTGGAGAGCAGACAATCGGAAGTCCTTCTCGATGAACCCATCTTTGTATGTGTCGTTCTGGAAGACGTAGACCTGATTCCGCTTCGAAACGGCCTTACGCCCGTACACTTTTACGACCTCTTCGTAGTTGAAGAAGCGCTGTGGCGGGCGCATGCTGAACGACGACAGCCCAAGAGTGCCCTTCTTCCGCTTCCTACCTAGCGCATCGATAGCACCGTCATCTCGCGGGTTCAGGTCTATCCTGGGGATGAACTTGAGGCCCACTTCCTCTCCATTCTCGGTGATGTCCATCACCTGTGCGAGGTCACCCTGGTACTTCCCTCGTCGAATCCTCACCCAGCTTCCAGGCGTCACCGTCAGGTCTTGCTTCTTTATTTGCAACAGGCTGGCCATCTCCTCGATTGGTACGAGCACGATACCACGACTGGGATAAATACCAACGAGACCGTTGCACGCCTCGCTGACCTGCTTCGCGCTACGTGCCTCGACATAGATCATGCCAGGTAGGGAGTCGCGTTGGAATGCGGAGAGGATCTGCAGTGGACGAGCAGAGTACTCCATATCGATCGCCTTGCGCATGAGACTGAACACCAGATCTCTCTCCTTTCCGGGCTGAAAGAAATAACGACCAACATTAAAGTATGAATATCAAGCATAAAGAGTGTACGTACCTTCACACGGACTTGCCACAGGTTGGCATCGTGAACAGATGGCATAAGCAGTCGCTGGGGGATCTCGCTCATGTCGCCCGAATAGCGCACTGCTGTCCGTCTGTACCGTTGGCTCACGTCCTCTGCAATCTTAGCGAGGTCCTGATCGTTAAGTTCTCGCTCCCTTCGGTCGAATCGTGCGTGATCTGCCGCTCTTCGGGCAAGATCAACTTCCTCGCCCTCGCCACCAACGACGAACTCGTCTGCAAACACGGAATGAGGAAGAATGCAGTGCAGACGACGCAGGTAAACTCACCTCGAGCATACTCATCCTCTTCTTCTTCCTCATCCTCATCTTCGTCCACCTCGGCCTCGACATCAAGGAAGCGATTGACCGCAGGACGTTTCGTCCGCTGAAAAGCGTAAGTAGACGTATCAGTGTAGGCCTCAAAACAACACACCTTTTGCCTCTTCTTCCCTCTCTCAGCACCTAAATCTTCCTCCTCATCTTCCTCCTCCTCTTCGTCTTCCTCCTCTTCATCTCTCTCTTCCTCCTCTTCCTCTTCTTCTTCTTCCTCCTCATACTCATGCCGAGAGGTCTTGCGCGGGCTCTCTTCTTGCTCCTCTTCGCCTACAACTTCCTCGTTCTCGTCAGGAGCTCTGCTGTTCAAGACTGGGTCTTCCTCAATGTCGGACATTATGCGCAAAAAGATCAAGAAACCAGAGAGTTGCGCGAATAGGTGAAGAGAGTGCGAGAAAGAGACGCGGCGTTCGGATTAGACGTGCACCTACCAAATGAAGAGGAAATGTGCTGACTAAGCTCAACGTGTGTGGCCCGCGCATCAAGCGCCCGCCGCATTGACATTGTCCGAAACTTCTTGTTGGCCGTAGCGTGCGAGATTTGCCTGCATTTCTACCCTGGTTACCGTTTGAACATGAGCTATAATTCTTGTTGCTCGCAATGGTATACGGCCTGAGCACCCCGACGTTGTGAGGTGACAAGGCTGTTGATCAGTAATTACTAATCAGTCACAGGGGGCATAAGTCCATGATTCCACCGGGATCATTCTGAAAACATTGCAATCATAGTCCAAATGTAACTAAAGATGTTTCCGCTGTAGGCATTTAAAATACATTTTAAATGACCCAACAACTATCATTGAGAAAGTATTCTGATAATATTCAAAATGATTTCTCCATTGAGAGCATAATGTTGCTACTGCCAGAATTCAAGCAGCAGTTTGAAAACATTACACATGATGCCTGATCATACATTATGAATGATGCTCATGTGAGGTCACAATGAAAGAGAAATGTGTTCAGCATATTCCATGTGGAATCATCCTGAACACATCATTTATGCCCAAATATGACTATTTGTATACCATATTTGGGCATGACATCCATGTGATCACAATGATCCCAGCAGGAACATCTTGAACACATCACGGTTTTACTTGAAGCTCATTCAAAATCAGCAAGTGGGGATCATATGTAATGTTTTCAGAATGTTGCTTGAATGCTAGCAGTAGCAACACCGTGCTCTCAATGGAGAATCATTTTGAATATTATCAGAATACTTTCTCAATGATAGTTGTTAGGTCATTTAAAGTGTATTTTAAATGCCTACGGCGGAAACATCTTTAGTTACATTTGGACTGTGATCACAGTGTTTTCAAAATGATCCTGGTGGAATCATGGCCTCATGCCCCCTGTGAGTACACAGCGCCAACAGCTCGCTCTCGGAGCCACTCTGCAGCATGTTTCATGTCTGGTCGATGCTCAGCAGTACATTAGGAGAGCCCTTCACCTCGACACCCGATCGTGAATTCTATGGGTCATGGTAACTCCCTTGTTCCAATTTCGTCTTAGCCAAGGTACCGTCGCAGCCAATTCCAGGGACTAGCTTCTTTGCAAATTTTGTTCCGCTCACGTACTCACCTACGCCTTCTAGCCCCGTTTCAATGTCCCCACGCTACACAGCAGGCCATCATGCGCTGGTTTGGCATAAACGCATAGCCCAATCGGATAAAGTGCTGTCGCGCCTGCCTGTTGGTGCCCCTTATAATGAGGGCGTAGCCCACCTAACCTCGGAAACATCCTGTGCCTGCTCGATCAACGAGACCGACTCTGCCACTGGACTTGCCGCATGCAATGTCGCTATCAAAGTCCACCGAAGGCGGTATGCTCGCCGCGTGCGTCCTTGCATTGGTTCGGTCCTTCTCTTGAGTGGGTGAACTGGTCGACACTAATGTCAGACCTCTTCCTGCATAGCTCGGACATCAGTATTTCAAGCGATTCGAACGGACTGACACAAAGTCTCTAGCCGTATGGCTGCTATGCGTGCCGGCTTTACCTGTGTTTTTCATGCCGGTCACTCCGCGTACCTTGCCACTAGCCGCGATTGTTGCCTACCTCACCTACTACGCTGCATTGCTCCTTTCCATCGCCGTCTACCGCCTGTCTCCCCTACATCCTCTCTGGAAATACCCAGGGCCTATCACGTGCAAGCTCTCCAAATTCTGGCTGGTCTACATATCGTACAAAGGCCATCAACACGAGTACTTCAGACATCTGCACGATGTCTATGGACCGATCGTGCGAGTCGGTGGGTTTGTCCTGCAACCCGTAGCCCTGCGGTGCGCTGATAGGCTACATTCGTATAGGTCCGAATGAGCTGTCAATTCTTGAGCTCGATCTCATCCCATCCATCATGGGAGCGAATGGAATGCCGAAAGGCCCCAGTAAGCTTATATGACATACTTCTGCATAACATATGTCCGATGATCGGCTCACAGTGTGGGATGGCCGCCGTTCCACGGGCAAGAAGGGTCCCGCATCCAGCACCAAAGGGAACCTAGTCGGAGCTCGAGACCTTCAAGATCACGCTGAAGCCAGACGTATCTGGAATCGTGGCTTCACGATGGCATCAGTCAAGCGCTATGAACCGCTTATCATCCGAAGAACATCGCAGCTCGTCGATGAGTTGAAGAAGCAGTGCACCAAAGACTCGACAGGCAAGCCGAGTGCTGTAGTCGATGTGGCCAAATGGGTCAGCTGCTTCTCGTACGTGCCACTGTTGATCACCTATGCAATCCGTCTTCTGATGGTACCGGCGTCATCCAGGTTTGACTTCATGGGTGACCTAGTGTAAGCCACACCGTGCCAATTTCCCTCCCTATCGGCTATTGATACTTGCTGCGTAGCTTTGGCGGTGCTTTCGAGCTCCTTCGCGATGGTGACAAGAACGGGCTCCTCCGTACGATCGATGCTGGCCTGTTGTAAGTGGGACTTTATCCACTGTTACCATCGTAATACCGTAGCTCAAGAGAACGAACCTCGCAGCCTTCCCGGACTCACGCAACACATCCCATGGTGTGTTGATCTGCTATTCGCACTACCATGGATGGGAAAGTCCCGGGCAAACGTTCTTGGCGAGTTTACCTATAAGCAAGTCGCTAGGCGCATGAAAGAGGGAGCTGTCCATGACGATTTGTTCTACCACATTGTACGTACGTCGGCTTTGTGGCGCACACATGACACTGAAAATGCACTAGAGCGGCGAGTCATCAACCGAGAAGGAGCGTCCAGCGTTCCCAACCATCATAGCGTCTGCGGCTGTGGCCATCGTTGCAGGTTCGGATACCACCGCAACGGCACTCAGCAGCGCAATGTTCTTCCTCTGCTTGCAGCCCACGTGCTACGAGCGGTTACGAGACGAGGTCGACACCGCATTCCCGCTTGGAAAGGCGGAGCCCACGGACAGCGTGAAGCTTGCGCAGATGGACTACCTGAATGCCGTCATGTCAGTCTGCCCGTTGTTCTCTTTGCTCAGGCTGTGCTCATGAAACGTCATGACAGTAACGAAGCGCTTCGTCTATTCCCTCCTGCACCGACAACCTTGCAGCGCGCACCGAGTCGCGGGAGTGGCGGACACCTCCTTGGATCGAGGTACGTTACATTCAAGCACCTCTCCCATGGTCGTTGTGATTAAACGAAATCACTCAGCATGTTCATCCCCGAGGGAACCGCCGTCTACGTGCCACCATACTCCATGCACCACGATCCGCGATTCTTCTACCCCGAGCCCGACCGGTTCTGGCCTGAGCGGTGGCTCGCGAAGGACGACACGGCGTTCATCACTAACAAGGACGCGTTCATGCCCTTCTCGACAGGACCTGCCAACTGTGTCGGCAAACCCCTCGCGCTGATTGAGCTGCGCATGGTCCTGGCCTACATGGTCCAAGCATTTGAGATGCGCCTCGCGGATGGGTACGATCCGGCGCGGTGGTCGAGAGACATGAGGGACCTCCTAGTGATTCAGAAGGGTTCTCTACCTCTTGTATTGACTCCCCGTGTGTCATGTTAATTATTGACTCCTCGATTGCTATCTATATGGTACGGACTCTTGGTAATATTGCTTTCTGGCATGTCGCCGCAGTCCGTTCCCCGCATTGTCGCCACTGCTCGCCCGTTCTGTCACATTCACTTGTCTGGGAACCACTGTGCTTCTCTATTTCAGCAAAGTTTACGTAGTATAACGGCATGTTCTGAAGGAGGCAGCCTGGCACGCTCGTCTGGTGTGGTGAGTGCATGCCCAGGGATAGGGATATCGGCTCTCACTGCTTAACCCCTAGACGACATTGAATTTCATAATGGAGCCTTTTCATTCCACCCGTCTGCATTCCACCTGCAGTTCCCTCCCATTTCGCTTATTGAGCTCCGCATGCCAATTGGCCGATTTGATGAGTATTGAATACCCTGGTCATGCATCATGTCTACACTGCAGGCATGAAGGCATTCATTCCCGTTGCAAATGCTCTGAAAATGTGTTCTAAAGTGTGACCTATGCAACACTATGCCCTAATTAAGCAACTTTACGTCCCAAAAAGGCAGTTAATTACAATTTAGTGTCATTAAATAACAAAAACGAACGGTCGCAAAAGCTTTCATGTCTGCGGTGCTATGATAGATCTAGAGGGCCTCTGTCATGGTTCATTCACGCCGCATGCATTCTGGCGAGAGTTTGCTTCCGAACTAGTGCTATCAGTACGCTAGCATTTGCAGTCAACCGACACTGATACTGACGATTCCTGGGGCCAGTGAAGCCGCATTCGAAAACTGGGTTCGGATCAGAAGAACTACTGCGATTGACTACTGGCCTTCTTTGATGCATATATATCCGATGACATAGTCGCTATCGTCGCATGCATCAGACCCTCATTATCGTCAACTTCGGCAGAATCCGCGTGAAAAGAGGAGCTGACTCGGTTCGAGAGTGCATTTCCTTCGCAGAACATGACTTTGGGACCGGGACTACGGCGATTCCCTCTTAAGATGGAGAAAAAGTTGTTGAAGGTTCTTGTGAAGCGTGATACTTGATGACTCTTTCCGCCGCGACATCAAAGGCTGTCTTGCCTTTCGCATCTCTTGATACATCCTTCGTCTCTCCTACTCAAGACTAAGTTCACTTTTCTCGATTGTTCGCAATAGTATTACTGTCATGCTTCGGCATCAGGAGCGTCTTGAACTGCAAACAGGATTGGCTACTCTGGATCCCAACCTGTAAAATGCAATTCTGCGCCTCTGACATATATATATCGCTGCAGAACCTCCTCACCGCTGAGATGGCAGCCTCACTGGGATGCAAGTGTGTCAGTGATGCACAGAGGATGTCAGCCTGCGTCACAGTGGGGCCGCTCAGGTCCATGAGATGAACTTACCAGCTCCCCGCCCCGATACATATATAGTCTGATAGTCTGGAAGTTCGGGAGCGATGCATGGTGTGACCATTGCGGCTACTTGTCGTAAGTCAACTGACGCCTGCTGCTTAGCAGCATCCGCCAGCGGTAACTTCGCCAAGACTGGTGCTTTTGAGCACGACATGGGCTTTGAGTCAACACATATTACCTCTTCAGTGTCCACTTCGGAATGGACTTCAGGGCGGATGCGGTAGCGACATCAAGGACCGCATTAACCACCCAGTCACCTGGCGATCTATCGCGAACATTCAGCATAGTCCAGCATCCGTCGGCTCGCGCGGCAATCGCCGAAGCTTTTGGCGACTCTAGTCGTACATGCTACTAGCTGAGTCGGTCAAGCTACCGCTGTTCCTGATCAAGACGGAACAAGGCGCCACAATTCGTCTCCAGTCCTCGCATGCATTCAATTTCGCGAATATCTTGCCAGGGTTGCACGGGTCGAAATGGCACTGATGTCAATTTTTTCTATTCGTGACATCGGACAGCTGCTAGCCGTCCGAGAGCGGAATTGCGTACACTCATGAGGTACAAGGTACGCGAACACATCAGTTCTTCAATGTCATCGGGAAAAGCCAGCACGAGCATTTTCTCAGGTTTGTAATACTGCTCGAGTTCATAAGCATCATCTTCACAGCTGGGGCGTTGGATCACTTCCGTGGAGCTCCCGTTTCAATTACGATGGCTCTGGAGTATACTTACAGCCGTACTGCCTCCTCTGCCGTCCTAGCCTTGGTACATGACAACTTTACAATTTCACCAGATGTCGTACTGATCATCATTGTCGTGCCATAGGTTGCACACGTGTTGTTTAACAGATATGAGCCAACAAGCCTGCCCGCGTTGACTGTTATCCTGCTGCTTGTACCTGCTTTGCCCATCGTTCTCTCGCCTCTTACCTCAGGCTACCTGGGCATTCAACTATTCCTATCCTGCCTGACATATTACTCCGTTCTGCTCCTCTCCATTGCTACATATCGCCTATCATCCTTCTACGCACTGCACAAGTACCCAGGACCAATTCCATGCAAGCTCTCGAAGCTGTGGCTAGTCTACGTGACATACAAAGGCAAGCAGCATGAATATTTTCAAAAACTTCACGACCAATACGGTTCCATCGTCCCTGTCGGTACGTACAAAATACTGAGAGATCGCAATACGGTTGAATTATCGTTTACTTCATAGGGCCGAATGAACTGTCAATCTTGGATGTGGGTTTATTACCTCATATTATGGGAACGAACGGAATGCCCAAGGGCCCTGGTGCGTGATCTTCACTCGACGATAATCATATCGATGCGTGTCATGTAGCTTACACCGTTGACCACAGTGTGGGATGGGAGACGTGCCTTAGGGAAGAATGGAGCGACTTCCAGTGACAAAGGAGGCTTGCTCGGCGTACGCAACATGCAGGCACACGCTGAAGTCCGCACCGTTTGGAATCGTGCATTCACGACTAGCGCAGTCAAGCGTTACGAGCCTATCATTATCCGTCGAGCATCCCAGCTCATTGAGGAATTAAAGAAGCGATGCGTGGCAGCCGCATGGGAGGGCAAGAACCCAGAATTTGACATCACGAAGTGGGTCGGGTATTTCTCGTGAGTGTGTGAATCAGCGTGCACATAATAATTCGCATTCTCGTTCGATGTCCGTTGACCGGCTTCGCTTTGTAGCTTCGATTTCATGGGAGACCTCGTGTAAGTGTACAGCCTCGCCGTTGTTCTCGGCATTGTCGTGACTGCTTCACAGCTTCGGAGGTGGGTTTGAGATGCTACAAGATGGCGATAAGAGCGGAGTGATGCACACCATAGAGTCCAACCTCTGGTAAGTGCGTCATAGTGCTCAAGGACGATGCAATGATTTCCGATACGTACGAGCCTAGCCTTCCATCCCTAACGCAACACATCCCTTGGTGTCTGGATATCATCTATGCACTACCTCTATTCAATCAAGGACCCGATGATCTTGTTGAATTTACCTATAAGCAAGTCATGAGGCGGATGAAGGAGGGAGCGGTACATGATGATCTGTTTTATCACATCGTGAGCGACTTTCGTCCTGTTTGTTAGGATCACGTTGAGACAAGGATCGATCAGAGCGATGAAGCCAAATTGGAGAAGGAGCCTCCTAGCTTCCCGGTGATCATGGATAGTACACTCGTCGCCATCATTGCGGGTTCGGACACAGTAGCAACAACTCTTAGCAACACTTTCTATTTCCTCTGTTCCAATCCATCTAGCTACTCTCGCTTACGAGCCGAACTCGACGAAGCGTTCCCTCCTGGAAAGGGCGAGCCCACCAACACGATAAAGCTCGCACAGCTGGGGTACCTCAATGCAGTTATGTGAGACGTTCCGACATATAATGGCTCGTAATATGCTCAATGCTATCATCGGATAGCAATGAAGCACTGCGGCTCTTTCCTCCTGTGCCGACGGCTCTTCAGCGAGCACCAACCATAGGAAGTGGCGGCCACATGCTTGGAACGAGGTATGCAAGCTCTCACCGAAAAGTGCTACGTGCTTTTGACCTTTGCAATAAGCCTCTTCATCCCAGAAGGCACGGCCGTCTACGTCCCGCCATATGCTTTGCACCGTGATCCCCGGTACTTCTCCCCGGATCCGAACAAGTTCTGGCCGGAACGCTGGTTGGTCACCGACGATCCGAATATCATCACAAACAAAAATGCCTTCATTCCATTCTCCATTGGGCCTTCTGGTTGCGTCGGGAAACCTGTGGCGCAAATCGAGCTGCGCATGATACTGGCCTTCATGCTGCAAGCTTTCGACATACGTTTCGCGGAAAGCTACGACAAGGCTCAATGGACGCATGACATGCAGGACTTCTTTATCGTGTTGAAAGGGCCCCTTCCTGTTGTGCTTACACCGCGTACGTCGTAGTGGACACTGTTCTTCGGATACTACTTTCGCCGTACGGGCTCATCTTGGATCAATGTGCATAGTGTGTTCGAAACTCTGTATCTTCTCCAAAGCAGCCTTCCGCCGCATACGACCTCACTGCGCACAGTGTGCCTAAGGTTGCTGGGTGGCTACTGGGAGACCGTTTGCGGAAGATTAGATCTAGGTCAACAGAGCGGCTTACTACATCCGGCGGCCTATGGTGAACGTCGCATATCGAGTTTTTTTGACGTCGTACCACTGGCTGCCAGCGTTTGTCTCCGGACAAGTCTCCGCCGACTATGATCTCGGCACTCTTGATCGATCTGCTGTACTGCCGCCTTGGCCACACGTGTTGCAAGCGGCCATCTTTCGGAAACTCCACTAGAACCCTGCGTCAATGGGAGGAAGACTCGTGTTAGCGCTTAGGGCGTCAAGTTTGCGACTACTGGTGGACTTGGGTTTCGTTCCATGATGGGCTGGCCCACAATATCGGTATACACTCATGAACCCTGCAGTTATGCATCTCCAGCAACTCAGGATGCATACCTGCCACTGGCATTGTATTCTGAGTCGATACATATGAAAGGTATCGTGCATTAGAGGGATGGTAACGGTACTCGCTTTCGAAACCGAAGGCGCATCGTATACTTGGAAATTCTTGTCAGGGGCAGTGCAATCTCGGATACTGCGCTAGCGTCGATTAGTCTCCAACCTCGACCCGGAGCAACCGTCTGCCGCAACCAAACGGAACGCCCAAATAAGGCCTACGACACAACGCATGCTGCCGCGCGATCGTTCCAATCTCCGTACTCGGGTCCAATTTGTCCTCAGCATCCGAATGCTTTAAATACTAAGCTGCGTGTCAACGTCACGGGTCTCCTACGTGTGGACGCGGGTCTATCGTACAATGAATTTCCACTATTCCGAGTCTTGTGCAACCTCTGTCGTCCTCGCATTGGTCAGGAGTGTTCCCTTCTACCCCGAAGTCGGCACTGATCTCTAATGTTGCATTTTAGGCCGCGCATCTCTGCTTCAAGAGATATGAGCCTACAAATCTAATTGCTCTGTCTGTTCTATTGCTGCTTATACCTGCTTTGCCTGCAATCCTCGCGTCTGGTGCGACTGGCCACCTGATTATCCGACTCTTTCTCTCTTACTTGGCGTACTACTCTGCACTGCTGTCATCAATTGCTGTCTACCGTCTATCTCCCTTACATCCATTGTACAAGTATCCTGGGCCAATCCCATGCAAGCTTTCGAAGCTCTGGTTAGTGTACATAGCGTACAAAGGCAAGCAGCACGAGTACTTCCGAAGACTCCATGATCAATATGGACCCATTGTCCGCCTCGGTATGTACAGTTCGCTGAGAATATACATGTATGTCCAAATTTTGACCTGCACTGACAGGGCCGAACGAGCTGTCGATTCTAAAGGTGGATGTGATGCCCGACATCGTGGGCGTGAACGGCATGCCCAAGGGTCCTCGTATGTATTCTGGAGCTGATGTCAGCGCCCTTCCAAGTTTGATCTCGTCTCTGTCAGTGTGGGACGGGCGGCGCGCGTCGGGCAAGAACGGTGCGACGTCGAGCGACAAGGGTAATCTGCTCGGTGTTCGTGATAACAAAGCGCACGCTGAAGTACGCGCAATTTGGAACCGCGCCTTCACAACCGCTGCGGTCAAACGTTACGAACCAATGATCATCCGTCGAGCGTCGCAGCTGGTGGATGAGCTCAAGAAGCGATGTGAGGACGCTTCAAAGGATGGACGAAAGGCGGTGTTCAACATGGCAAAATGGGTCAACTGTGTTGCGTGAGTATCTGATGCAGCGCGTACAAAGTTATCTAGCTTGTCGGCTGATCTTCCACTGATCAATTGGATAAAGGTTTGACTTCATGGGGGATTTTGTGTAAGCTTCATTTCTCTATCGAAAAATATCAGATTTGCTTACTTGACGCGTTGCAAGCTTCGGGGGAGGATTTGAAATGATGCGTGATGAAGACGCGAGTGGAATATTACCCATGATAGAAACGGGTATGCGGTGAGTGCATTATAGAATCAAGCTAATACATAGTGAGTTTAAGTGATTGTACGAACAGCCTCCCAGCGCTCACACAGCACATCCCTTGGTGTCTGGATATCATCTACGCATTGCCATTGGCTCAATCAACCAACGGTCTCGCCGATTTCACATATAAGCAGGTGATGAGACGGATGAAGGAGGGAACAGTTCATGAGGACCTATTCCATCTTATCGTATGCATCATTTCTCATTTGCGCCAGTATGAAGCTGACGCTTCGGCAATTGATCAGAGTGGTGAGGGAGTAGCGGAGAGCGAGCGACCCAGCCTCCCTGTAATAATGGAGGGTACAGTCATCGCCATTGTTGCAGGCTCGGACACGACCGCAACGGCCTTGAGCAACGCATTCTACTTCCTGTGCGCTAATCCATCTTATTACGCTCGCTTGCGAGCTGAGCTCGACTCGGAATTCCCGCCCGGCAAGGGTGAGCCTACCGATACCACGAAGCTTGCACGTCTGCAGTACCTCAATGCCGTCATGTAAGGAATCCCGTCATGTGGCGCTTATGAGTTCACGCTATTCACGCTAACTCCCTGAGGCAGCAACGAATCTCTGCGTCTTTTCCCTCCAGGACCAACATCCCTTCAGCGGGCGCCGGCAGTAGGGAGCGGCGGCCACATGCTGGGAACTAAGTAAGCATGTCCATCGTGCCCGATAGTTGTACCTGACTTCTTCTTCAAGCCTTTTCATCCCAGAGGGCACGGCAGTATACGTCCCACCATATGCTCTGCACCGTGATCCCCGTTACTTTTCCCCCGATACCAACAAGTTTTGGCCAGAGCGCTGGTTGATTATTGATGATCCAACCGTCATTACCAACCGAGATGCATTTATCCCGTTTTCTTCTGGACCTGCGAACTGTATCGGGAAGCCTGTAGCACAGATTGAGCTACGCATGGTCCTGGCCTTTTTGATGCAGGCCTTCGACATGCGCTTCCCTGAAGACTATGACACATCCCAGTGGGAACAGCAAATGGAGGACTTCTTTGTGTTGTTGAAGGGGCCTCTTCCTATTGTGCTTACGCCACGTACATTCTAATGCACACTAGTACTATTCCGATGCGACCCGCTACCTCCACTTGGCCATCACTCTGGACGATGCGGATAACCCCTCGAATGATTGTGGAACGTGTGCGCCGACGCAGGTGTCGGATGAGCGTGCAGAAAGGTAGGGCGCACACAGTCCGAGCCTTCGCTGTAACTTGGCCATATATGGCAGCTTTGCTTTCGTATCTAGGAAGGACATAATTGTAATCGGATTTTCCTCTCCCGAAGGCCGTGCTCGCGTATTCTCTGTCGGACATCTTTCTGTGTCACTAGAGTTGCGAATATAAGGCACACTATCCCTAGATCGATATAGTATGCAGTGTCATGCGCCATTCCAGGGTGAATCTCGATACGCGTGCGTTCAGAAAGAATGAGCGAATGCCCACAACAATTGTACTTACACAAAAAGTCCTACGAAAAGGAGTAAGGGCTAGCTGGCTAGGTGTTTCTGTGCGTCTCCCATGCAGAAAGCCCCGACCTTTCGCACACGAGCGTGGCGGGAAAGGTCTTAGCGACGATTGAAGGTGAGCTGCAGGACGTATAGATTTTCACGAGCCGCGGACATACCAATTCGGATGTATTGAACACGCCAACGAGGCTAGTTGCCTAAAGAAGATGACGGATATCTGACATTCAAAGGTAAGGCAGCATATTTCATCCTGGAAGCTGTATACGTGATATCCGACCTGATGAAGAGATCACCGAGAAAGGCTGCAGTCTTAATGCTATCATTCAAACTGGTTACGGAGTCAGGGTGTATCGGGGACAATTCACGGAAACCCAAGTCTAATAGAGATGTTGCACACAGTGCTACCTATGCCAACCCCATCTCTTCAATTCACAAGATTTCTGAAAGGAGGGACAACGTATACTCGGTTTGATACCAGTGAGGCTGAATAGCCGAACATAAGTCGAACGTGCTATGGGCGAACGTGCTATGGGCGATGAACTGAGAAGGCACTCACAAAATGATTCGCTCCTCTAAAGCTCTTGAATTCGACCTTCCTTCCCTCAGGGGGCCAAGCATTCGCGACTTCATGTGCCATATGCCAAGCGGCATAGACTATCTCGCTGATGGACATATCGCACCAGACCGGGACTGCCCGCACATGCGGCAGCGCTACTAGTACAGCATGAGTCCCTCAGCGCGCACCGAGTGTTATCCTTGTATACAAGTTCATGATTAACGTTCTGCATCAGGTGGTGCGACTGCTCCATCACAGAGGGATCGGTAATCTCCGCGAACTGCTCAGCAGACATAGACTGCTGTGTTGGTTGCCAGTCCGGCGGTGGATCGGGAATGGAGGTCGACGCTAATCCAGTGAGAATATCCTCGCTAGATAATGCTCATTCTGGAGGAATATTAGGATTCGACATGGGGCTCCATGGTCGGTCCTCAGTCGGCAATGGCACACCCCATGGGAAGAGCGGAATCTAACACGGAGTCATCGACTTACCAAAAATAATGCAACGTGCGAACTTGGTGGCGCCGGCTGGCGCCGGTACACTGCCGGTAGGTACTACGTTCCAAGTGGCCCCACAACCAAGCCAGAATCACTAATACGCCATCTGCGACCATCTGACTCGACTAGACACCAATGCTATGGCATCCTCCGAACAGGACCTGAAACACGTCACGAAAGCTACAGGGGACGACGTGCTCGAAGTGCAAAAGCTTGAGCCAACAGTGAGTGGGAAAGCTCTGTGCATGCGTCCTTGACCCTTTATGCGCCGTGCTGTGTTAGGTCAAGGGCAGAGCAAGGCCGGTCAGACTGGCTCGTCCAACAACAGCCAGGAGAAATCTGCCTCAGCTTCCGATTGAGGTGTGGGAGAACGTGATCAACCATCTCTGGAACGCCCAGCGGGCTTTGAGGGAGTGCAGTCTCACCTGTCGAGCGTGGTACCCTCCCAGTCACTTCCACTTGATCGGTTGGGTCGAGATCCGGAGTGTTCAGGGTGTAAAGGCCTATGCGAAGATGCTGAAGCAGACGCCCGAGGTGTCGGAGCGGGCACACGATATGAACATATGGGGTGGTGGTTGGTCAGACTTGTCAGCACTGTCGATGGCGGCGATGCTGCTCGCTCGCAAGCTGCCCCGGCTGGAGCGGCTCACAATCGGGGAATCAAAGTGGCAGCCATGGACGATGCACAAAGACATATTCCTGCATCTCTCCGGCTTCTCTGTCACTTGCCTCAATCTCATTCAGGTCACATTTCCGTCGGTCACTGTCTTCGGGCGGCTCGTCTGCGCTCTGCCGCACCTTGTCGAGCTCCTATGCTTCGAACTGCAGTTCACAGATGACCACTTCCATCGTGATACGTTCGGTTTATATCACAACCGCGTCAAGATCGGGTCCTTGGAGCTCAAGGCAATTGACTGGAAATCTGAGAAACTCGTCGACTTCCTTGCTCATCCTTGCGTCTCGAGTCGCTTGCAGAGACTTATCATCGACGCTCCAGTTGTTGTCTCTGAAACACAATACCAATGGAGGTGTCAGCGCTTGTTGGATGCTGCATCTGGCTCACTCTCGGAACTGCGATTGGACCTTCATCGCTCACGACAACGGACAAATACAATGGTGTCTGCTGCAGGTGTGTACTCTGGTTTCATGTAAGCATTTCTGCTAATCAGAGTCTCTCCAGATCCGGTGCTATCCTTCGCTCGCCTCATTTCACTACAGAGATTATGGCTATCCTTCGACGATACTTCTTTACTTTCACACCTGGACCCATTGTGGCAAGGCTTACTTTCAATCAAGTCAGGTCAGCTTCAAGAGATTGTGATGATGTTTCACTGGGTATCATCCACAACTCTAATCCATAAAGTGAAGAAAGAAGTGAAGAGCTTGTTCAAAAAGTATAAGCCTGTTCACCAAGAAGAGATAGACAACTATCTTTCATCCGATGTATTCAGGATGCTGAGCAAGGTGGAATTGGCACTTGTACCTGGTTTTTACAATTTGGAAGATCCCAATGTGGCAGTTACAGCAGCAGAGGAGCAGTGGAAGCAGACAGTCGCACCTTTATTCCCACGACTGACCGAGCGAGGTATCTTCCGGTGAGCATCCCACATTTTATGCCTAGGCTCATGCATTGATCTGCATTGCGATGTTGCAACTGCAGCTCCACAGTGAGGGAAGAGAGGTATGAAGACAACTTTTGATCACCGCGGCCATTGTATCTTCAGCAGATGCATCTCGCGTTCGCTTGTGCCCATGCCCACTCTGGCAACAATGAAGGGCACCCTCAAGCGGTGCACAAAAATACGTATCATCGTCTCTTTGGCTCTTGGAAGTGTAGTGTGGTCCTGCACGTTCTTGGTTGTGCATCGCAGTTCCTTCCACAATCCCTTACTCCATATGCATCATGTGCTGCCACATAACATGTCTGCCAATTCCGGCATCCAGTTTCCCGCATACCACCATCATCATCCCGACACTCAGACGTCTATTTTCTCCATCTCGTCTCCAGTTCTTCCAAACCATATGCTCCGCCAGCAGTCGCCCATCACAGGATCGCTACCTTTCCCATTCATACACTCTTAAGGACGCGCAATCTGCTGGCTCACTCCAAAGGTCTCAGTAGCGACCAAGCAATCCTGGTCGCAATTCCCCAGGAACTGCTATTCGGCCGTTTTGTCATCTTTGCGGCGATGCCGGCGACACTTATTCTACAGGGCCAGTTCGGAGAGTCGCAGTGGCCCTTGGCTTGGATGAGTGCTCTCGATTGGACACAGCGGATGCATCACATGCACCTCCGCCACGAGACTCCTGAAGGCGAAGCGGCCTGATTTTTATTTCGTGCTATGGTGCATGTTCCCGTGTTCGTATGTGCACGATGTCCATAATCTCTACAGACATTGTCAAGACGCTATATCACACAACCGACCATAGCGATATAACAAGATCAGGCGATAAAATTTTTGCAGCAATCTCACTTCGCAGTCTAGCTGGCGGACACTCAAAAGAGCCCTCACGCTCTTCTCCCTGTGACCCACACAGTTGCTAGATCAGCGCAGGATGACCTCAATCCGCATCTGCCGCTCGTCCTCAAACTGGGACACATGGCCCTCAATCAACACACGCAGCACGACTACCAGCGCCCGCCATCCCATCAACACAGCCCTCAATCGACGATGCACATTCGCTCACCTCGAATCATCGCAAACAGGAGCCCACGCCCAAGACAGATGCGTGATCCACCCATTTGCATGAATGTCAGTGCGTGCTAGCGGCCCTAGATGTCCTATGCACGCAGCGGGATCTGTGCCCCTCGATCCAGCGTTCCATTTCAGATCTCTCACGTCGGAGCCTCTCCCAGCTCATGGGATGCGTTCGTGAAACGGACAGGGACGGTGTCGATCTGGCCGGCACAGATCGAGACAATGTCGACGCACAGGGCGCAGGATGCTGCTCGCACAGGAGGTAGAGAGCGGCATGACGGTGTCCTTGATGGCCCATCGAGCACTTTGTAGACGTGAGGGACGAAGTCGCGCCAATTAGTTCGATTCTGGGTACTAGAGCGGTGCATTCGACGACTTTGGGGTGGAATCGCAGCATCCATCGGAACACTGCGTCGAGATACGCGAGCGGGTGCACTAGCTTTTCCCGGGCGAGCTGTTTCCGGTCGAGTTGGTGCCTCACGAATTGTACGAAGTTCGCTCGCGTAGCTTGCGCTGGATGCCAGGCTGCTTGCAAAGCTCAACGAGCTCGATGAGGCACCACTGAGTATCTTGTGGGTTGGACGTCAGGGCAGCGGAAGGTCTCGACAAGAAGCGTTGCTGGATCAACCGGATCAGGTGGGGTATTGGACGTGTCGTGTATGGATCGGAGTCGTGTTGGCTCACTGGATGTTGTCGCATACCCGGTGGCACGTTTTAGGACTTGGTCGACTGATAGCACGAGATTGTTATCGTTCCACAGCTTGTACAGTATACGACCGGTCCTTTAAACACTCAATTTCTTTTTGGCTCGCATGTCCACGCTGTGGATCCTCCCTTCAGCTTAAGTACATAGCATTATAATGTACCATCTGAAGATCCTAGATAAATTCTTTCAGGGTGATTTGAGCAGAATTACGCTGTAGAAAAACTGAACAAGCTGAAGGGGCCCAAATCTGCATTTCCGCGTCCTCTGAACGGTTGTCACGATCAGTCACGACTTTGTCATGCCTATGCGCGCAGGTCGATGTCCGTCTCGCTCTCCTCATCGCTCTCATCTCCTGTGCTACTCTCCTCATCATCAGCAATGAGGAGCAAAGAATATATGGCTACATTTACCGTGTGCATTCCGTGCTAGTCCGTGCCCAGTCCACTTGATCACAGATGTGATGCCTTGTGATAATTGTGACAGTGTGCCCTCCCCCTGCCCCCAGCAGCAAGCTGGGATCGTATTTCTTCCATGATTGACCTTTTGAGATAGGAGCCTCAGGAGTGTAAGGCTTATTGGGATGTGTCCCACCAAATTTGAAGTGCTAGTTGAGGTTCATATGGTGAATCGGACACAAAATTAGTGCAATTATTTTTGAACAATAACCCATTTGCACCAAGTTGGACAGATTGCAAAGTATCTTGCCCTATTTCCACGCTGGCTGCCATGGTGAAATATACATCTTCATTTTAGCTACATTATGAGCCTAAATTGAAGTTAAACGGGAGGGAACTGCGGGAGATATGGCCAGGTGTTCAAACGAGTAGTGCCGTTTAAAGGACCGGTTGTATACTGTATGTAGTGCAGGAACTGGTGACAGACCTGCAAGGTTATAGCTTCCTTCAGACAGTCGCAGAGAGAATTTGTTGCGCCTTGACATGATTATGTACTATACCCGGGCCCGTTCATCACCGCTCGCATCAGCCCAAGTCAGACCACGCACGCAACAATTTGAAGACATTCTGATTCTCTATCACGCCCTCAACTATATTTAGTACCCTCGAACGTTCTAGTAACCCGTTGGTGGTATACTCAATCTTGACTCTTCTCATCCAGTATTCGAGGAGGTAGAGTAGCGATGAGCGGTGACTCAGATAAGCCCTATATTCCTCTGTCGTCGGTCTGAGCCCCACGAAGCACTCGGTGATGGAGAAACACTTACTCTGCAGTATGCCATGGTCATGTAGGAAGCCTACCACGCTGAGCGTGTCCAGCTTGACGGTCGAGCTCTAAGGTCCAACACGAATACACAGCAGATAAGGTGACTCAACGGAAGAGGTTCGCAGCGTCGAAAGTCATGAGGTAGTACAATCCATCCTACAGGTAGAGACTGTCGTGAGGATGTGACTACCACCGTGCACCAAGTTTCAACAATTGCCGAGTCGCCTGATTCAGAGAGTTGATCATGCCGTCCCGCGTGGCACAGACCCGTCTGCACCGGCCTAGCAAAAGATAGTTGCTCCGCATATAGAGCTGATATGTGGCATCGTTGAACATCTACACCCGGGGTCAGATTGTGGACGAAGTCGGATATCGAGCGAGATTTCTAGTCAGCGCTTCCTTGGCGCCTCTGCCGAGGCATATATAAAGTTACTTATTTGGCTCAACGGGGCCTTGTGGAGGTCACTGAGACTTGCGGGGGTTCACTTTTGGTTCAGTTTGGTCGCTTGTATTCATTTGCTGAGTGGGCAACATGCAGGAAGTGTCAAGTGAGCATAAGTGAGCATAAGTGAAGACAAGCGAGAATAAGCGCCTGACGTCGACAATTTCACTTAGTATGTACGGTACACGATCATCTCCTGACCTTCTTTCACAATCCCGGAGAGACCGACATCTCAATGACGATAAGAGCGATTGTGCTGCTCAAAGAGTACAATCGACAACGATTACAACTAGTAATGAATTTGCCAAACGCGGGCTTCATGCGGGCTATTCATTGCATCTCATTTACTCAGCAAGTACAACCGGAGTTCAGAAATAGTACGTGGTTCGAATTTAGGACACTTTTTTCCGCTTGCCATCACCAAAAAGGACAGAGAGCTCGAGAAAGTCTCAGGACCTTCTTGTTTTGAACCTTTTTTCTGGTTTGGAAGCTTCTTATCATGAACTTATTCGCTTGCACAAGCCAATACCAGCAAGAACAAGTCAAAAAGAACGTTCTCGAGCCACAAGTCGATTTGAGTTTTCCTGATGAACCGAACAGTCTGTCACGAAACAAACCTGGATACAGGCCAGACACCAGTGCACCAATCTCGGAAGGTCGGGGTTCAAACATGCGCGTCCGGGAAGAATCGATGCTGATCTTCGGCGAGGTGTGTTGGCATCAAAGAAGTCATTGTTCATCACCCCCGGCATTTGAACGCCCTTAGACGGTCCTCTTGTGTTATTATCGTCCTCACTGTTGATCATATTCTCTAAGACTCGCTCGCTACTTTCGTCGTGTACACCCGAAGAGAATATTACTGCATCTCGTTCGAGTCTCGATGGCTTCGATTCTCATGCGTTCGGAAGGCGCGTTGGCAGTGGCAGCTGCAGCCATGGTACTGTCCAACTTTATATACGCTGTGGCGCTGCATTTACATCCTATTCTTTTCAGACTTCTTATGTTTGGTTCAGGAAATATGAGCCGAGTGATGCCATTTCGCTTGTCATACTACTTGGTTTGGTGCCCACAACTGCAGCGGCTTTCGCAAAAGGACCAATGGAACCGATTCTCGCGACCCTCGTTGTGGCGTACCTCTTATACTATGGCGTGCTGCTCCTGCTCATCGCTGCATACCGTTTGTCACCTATACATCCATTACATCACTATCCTGGGCCTTTTACATGCAAGCTGTCCAAGTTCTGGCTGGTTTATCTCACCTACAAAGGCAAACAGCATGTGTATTTCCACACCTTGCACAGGATGTATGGGCCCGTCGTGCGCGTGGGTAAGTGATCTAATTCAAATGTCACCGAGTCACCGAGAAGATTATCACTGTCAGGTCCAAACGAGCTGTCAATCGTTGACGTAGAACTGATCCCGTCAATCATGGGTACGAATGGCATGCCTAAGGGTCCTAGTGAGCCCCTATGTCACTATTACCTCTAATAAATCGTTTGATATGTGTATGAATTGTAGTGTGGGACGGCCGCAAGATTTCCAGAAGTAGCGGCCCACCAAATGTGAAGGGCAACTTGGTTGGGGCTCGCAACAAGGAAGATCACGCTGAGATGCGTCGAGTCTGGAATCGTGCGTTTACGACCGCCTCAGTGAAGAAGTACGAACCCATCGTCATTCGGAGGGCTTCGCAACTAGTCGAGGAGCTGAAGCGAAGATGCAGTCAAGATCCGGAAGACGGTCGAGAGGGAATGGAAGTTGATCTGGCACGCTGGGTGAGCTGCTTTTCGTAGGTACCAATCACCTTCATTCTAGTCGCAGCTGCTTAGCGTTATATGTCTTGAATAGCTTTGATTTTATGGGGGACTTTGTGTAAGCGCGTCACCCACTATTGATGCTGAGGAGAGCTATTGACTTCGACGCTGCGCATGATGGCTTAGCTTTGGTGGTGCGTTCGAGCTAATGCGCGACGGCGATAAGGAGGGTCTGTTACACACGCTAGACCAAGGACTTGTGTAAGGTGATCCTTATAACACTATTGTATGCGCTTATACGATAGTACACGCTCAGCCTACCTGCGATGACGCAACACATTCCCTGGTGCATCAGAGCTGTTCAAGCCATGCCCTTCCTCGGCAAGCAGACAATTTTACTCGGAAGAATCGCGTACCAGCAAGTCACGCGGAGGCTGAAAGAAGGCTCGATCTACGATGATCTCTTTTACCATCTTGTACGCCGATTCTCTCTCTCTGATAGGTTGTCTGTTGAGGTCAGTGTATTTTAGAGTGACGAGGCCAAGGTGGAAAAGGAGCGACCTAGCTTTCATGTCATCATGTCTAATTCGATGACCGGCCTGATTGCTGGGTCCGACACCGCTGCAACAGCATTGAGTAGTATCTTCTTCCTGCTGTGCATTCATTCAGGTTGCTTTGAGCGTCTGCGCGATGAGGTTGATGATGCATTCCCACCTCGAAAGGGCGAACCGACTGATACGGCGAAGCTGGCGAAGATGGAGTATCTGAATGCTGTGATGTAAGTGCAGTGGCATGGTATATAGCCCAATATCATTCTTTAATTGACATTCATTATGTTTCTCGCAGAAACGAAGCTCTGCGGATCTACCCTCCTGCCCCAACCACTTTGCAACGAGCTCCAACCCGTGGCAGCGGCGGCCACTTATTGGGTCCAAAGTGAGCACTATACAGGCTTGACAGTCACGCGCAACTGAAGCTTTTGACAGCTTCTTTGTTCCCGAAGGGACTGCGGTATACGTGCCGCCATTTGCCATACATCGAGACCCACGGTACTTCAGCCCTGATCCCGAGAGGTTCTGGCCGGAGCGCTGGCTCCCCGGAGCCGAGGATGCAGGTGCTTGCACCGTGAAAGAGGCCTTCATCCCATTTTCCACTGGCCCTGCCAACTGCGTCGGAAAACCGCTTGCCCTCATGGAGATGCGCATGGTGGTGGCATATATGATCCAGGCGTTCGACTTTCGACTCCAGCCTGAGTACGATCAGGATGAGTGGGAGAGAAAACTTCAAGACTTCCTGGTACTGCAGAAGGGGATGCTGCCTGTCATCCTGTCCGTTCGTCAACCCATGTGATCCCTACGTTCATAGCTGTGATGGAGCATTGCTTCCGATTTATGCAAACTAAGCAAATACTACCACGTTATTCCTCCTTGAAGAGCTTACTTTGCTTTACGAATGCGAAACATTTCTTATTTCTTGGCCGTGTGCGGAGTCAAACCGAGACGACAACATATTAGCGGGCGCACTCGGACTTTCTGATGAACAGCTAACACTGTACTATCACGCTTGAAAATATTGTGTTATTTTGAACGTAGCGCTCAGAACAACAACGCCGCTGAAGATAACCAAGCAAGCTACGCCTCTCGAGTTATTCAACCTCGATCAATATTGTGACGGTCGAAAAGGCTTTATGGTTCCGGGTTCAGCATCGTCGATGCCTTCGTTCGGAACGCGCCATTCAAATTGAAGGACAATCCGTCAAACAGCTTGATGAGAATAGTAAGTTCGATGTCCGTGCCATGTCCTGTGGTATGACTATCGACGGCAGATTGCTGATTTTGCCGGAGAAATTTAGGCCTGCGACTATACAACAGAGAGATACCTCTCTACCTTCACCCGCCATTCACAGTGGATCATGCCATCGAGCGACCATTGGTGAGAGGATGCGATCTGATGGAGGGTTAATGGACGAGATAGCTGACATGATGGGTTTGCCAAGAGCCACTGAGAGTATTGGTATCGTGTTCTGCACCTGGAATCTACTCCTCAACAGAGGGGTACAGTAGGTGCCAAACTCCAGCGCTGGCGCCTCCTCTGTGAATTCGCGGCTTCGGTACAGTGACTACTATACGTGGCCGGCACAGGTACCAATGATATAGTCGATTTCCTGTTTTCCATCTGGCGCCTTCGCCATACTAGCGAGGTCGAAGTGCGTATCACTTCCCTGTTCAGAGAGCAGGGCACAAATTTGCTCTTCTCGTAATAGAAAGGAGAGACTTGATGCGCCCAATGAAGCACTCGAAGCCGGTGACAAAATTACGAAGTTCAAGAAACGCGCCAAAGATATCGAAGGCATCCGCAAATGACGCGCCAGATAATCTGATAAAGAGTAATATCTGTTGCCTTTTGAAAGAAGTCCTGTTGCTCGTGTGAGAAGAGTGTCGGATACTGGAGAGAAGTTGGAGAGATGACATCGCCAGCTGGGGGGGAGGCAACGGAACAAGGCTGCTCAACCTCTCCCCAAAAAACCCAGTTGCACGATTTCGCTATTATTGGGCATGTTCTATCTGTGTTATTCTCACAGGTATATCCTTCATTCTTCCTCCTGATGCCCATACCGCCAAGGTTCAGCGCATCCTGAAACGCATCATCTCGACAAGTACTTGAAGGCCCGATGTATTCTACTGGAGGCTCCAATAGCATTTCTGTGAAGCATGTGATAGTGCATAGTTATCTGCTGCTTTTCAAGATGAGTGGGTGTAATAGACGGCACCATGCGGCGACACGCGCTTATGTCAAAGTCAAACTTGAAGTGCTCCGGCCATCTGCGTGCAACGTGCAGATCGAACAGACCGAGGAGGTCGCTATGCTGAGCGATCCAAACACGCCGTGGTATCATGTGAAATTAAACGTGAAGCCTGTGGACGCGTTCTCAGAAGCCACTCCGATGAGCGAGCAATGGCTTGCGGTGGTCGCGGGCGCGCATAAAAACATCAATCAAATAATGGAGATACAAACTTTATCCATATATTGGCTATCGTGGAGTATTTCTGCTCAGAATACCAGGGAATGCAGATTCAGGACAGCGAACAACAAGAAGAGGCACGCACACGTGATCTCAGCGGAAAGTGCCATGTGTTTTATGTTTCGCCCAACCGCGCGTCCATTTCCGCGCGACGCCGCTTGCCACCAAAACGTGTTTGTTTGTTCGTCTCACTTCCTTTGTCCGCTACTTTCACTGAGCCACTCGATTCATCTCGCCTTTGTGCCGCTCATCATCCGCATCGTTTAGGCGACTCTTCACGGATTAGCCCTGCGTGCCATCGAACAGCGTGCCGTCGAACACGTTGCCGACATCTCGAATCAATCGCCCACACTTTGGACACAGTCAAACCTGATCGAATATTGCATACGCCTCGTGTTGAAGCCATGCAGGTATATAGAGCACTCTCAGAGCTAGCAAGCCTCCCAACAATTTGACCATGTCTTCTCGAGCTAGCTCTAAGGGCCAACCTCCATCCATCAGCACTCTTCTGATTGATTGGCATCTTTCCAAGTTCAAATATGAGCTCAGAGGTGGTGCCAAGCGAGTGGGATGCTCGGTAAGTCTTTTCTTGTTTCAATATTGTGCGACGTCTCACACTGTCGTTGGAACATCCAGGGCACGTGGCAACTTATCTCCGCACGACTGCTTATGAATCCGACTGCTCAGAACGAAATTTCTGATGATCTTGAGTCTGTCATTCTCATTATGGAATGGATGGCACTGAGGTTCCATCGGCATTCCTTGTCACATCGTCAGAAACGCCTGAAGGTCCATGTCCAGCAATTCTTTGAATGGCGTGAAGAAGACAATGAGACTCATCGCGATATCGGTGGCGATGATAAACATCATCAGTGGTTAAACGGTAGGAGGGATTGGGCGCTCTCGCATTCGAATGTGATGCCCGCGTTTGCGAAATTGCTAGATTCCCTTCTAATACTGGCACACAACCATTATCTCGCACTTGAAGCTCGCGCGGTGCAGCCATTCCAGCCAATTAAGCCAATTTTCCAGAAAAGCAAGCAAGTGCGCCTGGCTCAACTTCCTCCAATGCAGCCCGAGAAACAGGCAGCCTGGCTGGAGCCAGACCGATCTTCCGCAGCCGCAGTTCTTTCAGGGAAGTTGTGCCTTGCTACGCACGATGAAATTATCAAGGTTTTCTTGCAAGCTTATCAAGCCCTGCATGGGAGGCTGGCATTTGATAAACTCGGCGATCAGTTCTCATGTATTGGCATGGCCAGAGAGAAGTTCTCTCTGGTGGAGGACACGAAGCAGTTGAAGAAGCACACGACAAGCGATTAGCAAGGTAAAGCACTGATGAGGAGGATTACTCGTATTTCGGCGCAAGCAAGCACTGCAGGAGAGCACGCAGAGGATTCGAGCAAGCCGGTCAAGCGAAGGTCGGACCAGATCGACTAACCAGAGGAGAAGGACGAAGCGAAGCGGCAGGCAACTGGGACAACTCGGAGAGGTCGAAGCTTCATAACTCGGAGATCCGCTCGTAGTTCATTGGAGATGTCTATGATCTTCAGGAGAAAATGTTCGGTAAGTGGAACACGATATCTCTGTGTGCTTGTATAATATTGCTGTCATCGGATCGTAATGTCATGGGCTACTGCCTTCCAACCTGTAACGTAACTACCTCTCACAGTCAGCTGGTAAGTAAGGTTAGTGCCTTTATAACAGGCCTCCAAAAGAAAAAAGACACATCGTTTGATTACAAGCATTTCCGTCTCAATCAACAACAAGCACTTGATCTTATGCCTTGGTTCGCATTCGATGCATGGTATCCTTTATAGTAAGGAGAATGATCTCCCTGTATTGGTCCACACGATGTATTCGCTGAATATGTTTGCAACATCGCAGGCCAAGGCTAACATCAGTGCTGGCACGAGCGTCTCCGAAGCCACCAGCACATCGGGGAATTTGGAACACTCAATAATATGTTGAAGTGTTCCTCATCCATCTCTGCACAGATATAGCATCATCAATACAAGCCGCCGCTCTGCTGCATCCGTGGGTGAAATTGGACATGTCGGTACGTGTCTTTAGCTCGACGTGCTAAATGAAGGGAACTCTCATGCGAGAACAGATTGTCCAGACAGCAGGTACGAAGGCATAAATATATCCTCGAGACATCTCAAAGGGGAGGACGATCCGCCTTTCGGTGAGTGATAGAAAGCAATCAAAAGTTAAAGAGCCGGTCAGATATGATCGTGGAGCTAGCAGCCTGCGCCTGACATTTTCTGTGATGTCCAGACCATGTACACTTTCTGGAGTAAACTGCGTGTGTGTGTTTCAGATCGGCGTTTTTGCGGGAAGTGAGTATGCAACTGAAATGTGGGTGAGATTTTACAAACTAACGATTTCCACCGCTAACGCTTCCTTGAGATCGGTTCCTGTGTGAACGAGATATGTACTCAACGAGGTGCGAATTCTGAATACAGCCAGCTCGTCCAAACGCTCTAAGTTCCAGCAGCTCCACGTTGCGCATTATTAGAACGGACTCACCGTGAAATCACGCGCTGCATGAGAAAGGTGATTTTGCGAAGCACAAAAGTTGATTTAAATGAAACGTGGACAATACATCCGGGTGCATCGCAGCTGTTGGTTGCCATTCTGCAGATCGTATCATCGATTCGTATGTCCGCATGCCTTGGTCAGCTTCCTGTTGAGCACGATGGCTAGCTGGAAAAATGCGGAGAATGATCAAGCAAGTAGCTACCATATCCAGAATCTACCTGATGATGAATTCAGAGTTGGCGGAATGCGAGGACCGGCGAGGGCCAATGCGCAAGCGATGGGGAGAGCGCGCCACGCACACGTGATCTAAGAAAGGACCGCCACATGTTGTGTGTCCACCGTTCCGCCCAATCGGGCATGTCAATCGCGCGACCTTTTCCGCGCCACACTTGCCACTGAAACGCGCTCGGCCTGAGCTTGTCTCACTTCCCTTGTCCACGGCTACCATTCAGCCGCTCGAGTCACCTCGTCTTCACGCCACTGATGAGCACTATCGTTTAGGCGGCTCTTCATCTGGTGGATCTGACGCATTTTAGCGGCTGCGAGTCAAGCGAGTTGTCTCAGTTTGGCAACCACAGACCAGCTTGGAAATTGGGCACGCCTTGTATTCTACCTGCCACTGTAATATAAAAGGAGCCATCTCGTGTCGTACGTTCCCAGCATCTCCATCATGTCTGATCCATCTAACCATCCTCTCTCTCCTGCCTTTTCTGATGACTCAAACCTGCCCATTCCGGGTGCCGACGATATTGTCGACTCTTCAAGCCAAATACCTTCTCCACCTGAAACCACCTACAGTGGTCCTGCTTCAGACCGTGACGAACAGTCCGCCAGCCCTCCTGGTCTCTCAGAGCCCGCAATTGGGCCCGTCGGTGCCGCGCCACACGAAAATCTTCAGCCCGCCACACCTACACCGGGCGAATCTTCCGCCACTCAAGAGCTTCCGAAGACTCCTCCTTCTTCCTTACCCCAAATTGGACCGACTCCACGCAGCGGGAAGCTTTCCAGCTGGCAAGAGAATTCCATCACTCCGATCGCAGGCAAAGCTCACCTGTCACGCTTCCGTCAACAAGAGTGTCAAGAGATGGACCCAATATCGGTCGAGATCCCCGTCGACAAGTTCGCGTTCTACCTCGTTCCTGGAACAGACCCAACGCAACAGGAGCTGGACCGCTTTGATGAGCTCAACCCGGCGATGTTCGCCGTCGCTGATGGTAACAAGCCAGTTGACAATCCAGAGAAGAGGATGTATGCCGAAGTTGTGAGCTTGTGCTTACATAATGTTTCCTACCATCTTGCATGCTGATCATCTTGTTCTTCGTCAGGTGCGAGTGACTCAATCCATCTTCGACAACTGCTCTGCACCGGGCCTCAACAGGCTTGTTGCAAAGGACACAGGTGACCGTGGAGAGTCTTCGCTCCCTAAAGAGGGGGACAAGAAACCTGACGTAATCATCTATCCGGACTTTCCGAGAGCGAGCAAGGACTATGACATCACGGACGAGACACGCGTGAAGAGTGTCTCATCAGATGAGCGGCGACCATATCTGGCTCGCACGTCCTGGCGGTGGGCCATCGTCCCCATCGAGATCAAGGTCGACAACAGCAAGGCACCATACGATTTCGCCGCGACATACACCAACTTCATCCGCGGGTCACTGGCTAGCATGGAGTCGCGTGGCCAGATATTGGAGTACGCGAATGCTATCATGAACCATCAGCATCGTCAACACGTCTTCCTCCTTGTTGTCTGCAGATCTCGCGCTCGTGTGCTCAGAGTGGACCACGTGGGAATTGTCGTTTCCCAACCGTTCGACATCTTCGGCAAGAAGAGCTTCTTCTATGTGTTCTTCTATCGACTGGCACGCATGACTCCTCAGCAGCAAGGATTCGACCCGACCGCTAGGCTTGCTGACGAGGTAGACATCCGGAAGGTGAAAGGTGCTGTTGGTAGTCTCTCAGAGTACCATGCGAAGTGCTTGAAGAAGGCGATGAAAGATGACTATCCTATCTACAAGATTACCTTCGATGCTTCGCAACTCGCCGATGTCAACTCGAATCAGGAAGACCACACATTCCTCATCGGTCGACCTCTTGAGATGAGCTATTCGCTCAGTGGACGTGCGACCAAGACCTTCGCGGCATATGATGTTCATGCCGATCGCGTGGAATTCTTGAAGGATGCCTGGAAGTACGCGTCCCCTGCGGTACACCCTGAGTGGGAGGTCTATAAAATCCTAAACGATGCTAAAGTGCCCAATGTTGCCACCCTGTTGTACGGTGGATATGCTGGTGATCAACGGACGCTGTCGCAGAAGTTCTTACCCGAAGCTCTGTCGCCGTGTGCGCGACTTCACTATCGCATTGTCCTCAAGCAATTAGGTCGGCCTCTGGATGAATATCGGCATTCGGCACAATTGATATTTTTTCTGTGGTGTGTCTTGACTGGTGCGTTTCGATTCGCACTCTCAACTCTATGATATATCTGATGTTATTTCCTCCCATGGTGACCCAGCCCACCGTGATGCATGGGAAGCTGGCGTACTCCATCGCGATCCCGCTCCAGGGAACATTGTTATCAACGAGGTCGACCCCAGAGATCGCGAGAAGCTTGAGACTGATGACGCGAAGGAGCCGGAACACAATGCTGGACTGCTCATTGACTGAAATTTGTGCAAGTACGTTGACGAGCTCAAGAACGGGCCAGCGCAATTTGAACGATCTGTGGGTATCTCATTTCGGTAATATCTGCTCAAGAGGCTGATTTTTTGCATCACGATTAGGGTACCTGGCAGTTTATGTCTGCCCTGCTGCAAAAATATCCTAACAAGCAGAATTCCGTGTCCGATGATATTGAGTCGATCGTCTTAGTCGCAGAGTGGATGGCATTGAAGTACCATCGCCACAACCTCGACAAGGATGAACTTCAAAACTATGTTAGCAACTTTTATGACTGGCGCGTGAAGAAGCAAGGGCATGACGTCGGCGGCGGGGAGAAATTCAAACAATGGACGACTGGTCAGCGATCATGGAGTTTAAAGGACGAACAATCTCTTTTTGGCAGATTTCTTGACAGCCTCCTCAAGCTCGTGAAGGAGCATTACGATGCGTTCGACACGCGCGAGCTAGAGCAACAGGAGCCGGATGAACAGCCGCAACTTGAGGTTGAAGAGTACTCCATTCCCAGGAGATCACGCGCGAAGTTGCAACAGAGCAGGGGAAAGAAGGATTCGCAAGATGCCGCGATTGCAAGTTCCTCTAATGCACATCCTTTGCAGGATAGCCATGCGGCTGTACTTCAGGACGTCACAGAACGTGCTGCTGCCGTCAATGTTGCGGCACTGTCTATTTCCAATGCCACGGCTTCGACTAGCGCGTCAACTCACGAGACAGACGGGTACCCTCAACTGACACTGAACACACACACGGCTATCATCTCTCTTTGTGAGGAATTCCTTGACGAAATACAGGACAACGCCCCACAGACGATTGACAAGATGAAAGAAGACCAATTCAAAGCATTCAGTCAGTCGATGCAACGGCAGTACAGGGTACTGGGTTCGAAAAGTAAACGTGAATCAGAGCAGGCAAGGGAGCTCAATCCGGAAGAGCAGGCAGGGGCTCAGGAGCCGCTGCAAAAGAGGTCGCGTCTTGAAGAATCTGACTCCAATATGGTCTGACCGCTCCACTCGAATGCCATGTCGTCTAGGTGTCTTCAGCTTGTTTAGTTTTCAACGGATGTAATTGTGTTTAATATCATGAATATGTTGCTGCAAAGCTTTTCGGGCCAACACTCTCTCGCTCCATCGATTTCGCTTCTCGCGCGGCGATGTTGTCTTCCGTCTTCGCAGCCGAAGCCGTCGAACGATAAAGGTAGCAAGCACCGTGGTGTACGCGATATTTTACTGCTCAGTACTGCAGTATTACGGTGTAGAACAGCAATGGTTAATCCTCCTGGTCGCCATGACACTGCCTCGCCTCCTCTCGCACTGTCTCCATCTCTCCCTCCACCGCTTCTGGATGCTCATCAGCCTCAACGTCTTCTACACTCGCGCCGTCCACCGGCGCGGGTGCTTCCTCCTGATTCACGAGCCCACGCGCCTTGCGGGGCATCTTGGGCTTGCGTGGGGACTTTGGTCTAGATTTGCGCCTCGTGGATGACTCAGGCTCCTCCTTTACCGGCACTAGCGGTGGCGAGATCTCTATGTCGAGAGCGCCGGTGGTATCGGCACTTCCAGCGACGACATTTGTCGCCCTTCTTCGTTTCTGTGACGAGCGCTTCACGGGCTGCTTCTGCTCCTTCTTCGCTTCTTCCCTCAATGCACTGTTCTTCTCAGGTCTTGCCTTTGCCGTCCCCCTCTTTCCCCTGGCCATTGGCATCCCATCAATGTCCGCCAGCTCACCCGCGTCCTCTCCATCGCCCACCTCAGCCTGAGCCTCTCGCGCCTTCCCACGCACAAACGGCTTCGGCGGCTTCTCGGGGCGCAAGTTCTCGTGGATAACGTCAGCTAGGCCGTAGATCCTGTACAAATGAAATACGGCCTGCTCCTTGTCTTTCGCCTGCAAGAGTATCAGCAATCAGAGCTCAAACGAGAACGGTGGAAGGGGAGGAAAGTGGAACGGCGACACACCTCGATCATCAAATCCACGTCTCCGCCTATGAGCACTTGGGGCAATTCCGCGCAACGGTCGGCATGTGCGCGCTTCTCCATCACCGTCTCTGCGCCGGGACGAGGCTCGCTCAGGTGTTGTTTCTGCCGGATGCCCTTGCGCGTCCACGTCGCCGTGACGCGTGTGCAGAGCTCGGGCAGAGGGAGGACAGACGGCTGCACATGCATTCAGTCGAGACGACGTGCATGCTACTCTGACCGAAAACCTACATTGATCCAATTGTGGTGGTAATCAAGCTGTCAATGTTGGATAATTGGACGTTATGAGTCATGAGTCATAGCATTGAATGGCAACTAACTAACGTACCACCATTGGGATATCAAGCTCCTCACAAACTGGAAGCAAATCATCTGGGTCGTAGCAGATCTATGCGCACGATCCAATCAGCACTGAATTAAAGCTCGACGACCTTGCCATTCACCTCGTCGTTTTCGAGCACCAACCTTGCCTTCATCTCGTCCGTGAGGCGAGTCCGATAGTTCTCTCTGAAGCGTGCGAGTGTGCCCTCTTTATCGCCATATACGCCCTACGCAGTGCGTACAGCATCAGCTGCTTCCAACTGCTGGAGAGGATCCCGGCACGCACCCCCATGTGAATGATAATGACCCCATCCTGATCAAGCTCCATGTAGCGCATCATCTGGCAATGGTCTATCGAGAATGACTACATTAAACGAGAACGACCGTCACGCCAGATGAAGACTCACATTCGAGCTCGCGCACGCTTGCAGCAACAACGTCATCCTTTGGCGATGCGAGCTGTGTGAATTGTCCGGGATGAGTCGTCAGACGGTGACCATACTTCCGTGCAAGGTCACCAGCGGCCTTTGAGATGTTCGTGTGAGCTACGGCACTGCGCGGTGTTCATGATAAGTCGATAAAGTACCTTGAGCTCCTTGCGCGCATAGTCAAGGTCGTACCCATGAACCTTGTGCGATGCGAATGGAAATATCTCCGAAGAGACCCGGAAGAAGCGAATTTTATTCGCTTCGTTCCACTACGAAGCAAGCTCATCGCGCGTACGTGTGCATGGCCTAGTATGACTACGTACCTCAATGACCTGGAGCAGATCAGTGCAATTCTTCAGCCCAAGGTCCTTCGCAAACTCAATCCCGTTCTTCTTAATTGTATCGAGACGGCATGTTCGCGAGCAGAATACCGGGTCGGGCTTTATCGCGCGCAGGAGTGTGTTCAGACACGCATAGCCCAGCCTGCCGGTGAATCGCGTCTCCTTCCCTTCTACGGGAGGTATGTCATACACCACTGGCTCGATCTGCTTCTTCCGACGCTGTCGCTTCTTCTTTATACTAATGACGGCCTCCACGTCGTCCTCGAGCTCGGTGAGCGGGCTCTCCTCTCCGTCCGTGTGCATCTCGATGTACGTGACTTTCTTCCTCATTGAGGAGCGGACGGATATACGCCGGGAGGAGGACACGGGCGTGGACGGGGAGATCGTAGGGACGGGGTCGCTGAGCGCGAGGACGGGAGCAGCGGCGTCTTGAGGGTCAGTCGTTGTTGGCATGGCAGGAACGGCACTTTCAGAAAGCTGATCATCGTTAACCGCAGCAATAGCTTTGCGGGAAGAACGCTTGCGTTTGGGAGCCATAGTCGTAGAATCAGAGCGAGAGGAGTCTAGGGGCGCACTGCAAGCCGTCGACACCAAGCGAGCATGCAGAAGAGCAGGATTAGCACGTGGCAGAACAGTAGAGGAAGTGAGGCGTGAGGCAGCACGTCTTGAGAGGAGGAGAGCAAGTTGCATGCGCGATGGCGCGAGTGTCAAGCGATACCCGTCGGTTACATACCAAACCTCGTTACCCCCTGTGCTTCATCAGGGTCGATCAGCATCCGCGCGATCTCGTGCGTGCTCCAAAGTTGCATCCTCGCTGGCGTCTATTGCCAAAGTGGCTGAGCGCTACGGCATCCTTGGACTAAGCGCCCAGAAATCACCCAATCACGCTCGACATTGCAAAATGGGTGGTTCGAGACGGATACGCGGGACGCTTGGTTTACGACCGAGCAGCAGATCCTGGAGGACAAACTTGCACATCGACATACGAACACTTGAGGAAAGTCGTCCAGAAACTGATACAAAAGACGCATATATTCAGCTTCTTGGGCAGATGAATCGCGATACACCGTGAGTCACAGAGGGCTCAATCTTTAAGTAGCCAACTATTGTTCATAGCCATCCATTTGCTGTGAAATTGGCCAAAGATAACAGTAGAGGAGAAGGCCCAAAGCAGCGTGGAGTGATTCCTCTCGGTGTGTTGCTGTGATTCAGTTGAGCTAACGCGTTTGAGGGGAACTTGAGTTGGATTGTCAAGTTTGATACAGTGCACTGACTTGCTTACCGTCCAGAGGAGCATTGGTAGTGTATGCATAGAACTTTGCATTCACCATAGTCTCCCCTAGGCAGAAACCGTCTTTGAGAAATGAGCATTGCTGGCTTCGGTGATGCAACCTTGCACGTTAGCTTAGCCATTCACAGAAAACCGGACGTTAGACTCACAGTGCATCGTAAACCTGTACTGTTAGGATGTTCGCTCAGATGCATAATCGCCGTGCCCGATCAGATAAGGGGACAGTGCCCACACGGAGCTTGGTGTTGGCGCGATATCTTTAAACTCGGTTGGCGAGTTTCCTGAAGGCTAGAGACATGCGATTGACAAGACGAGCATGAAGGGAATTCATACCCCGGTAGTGCCGCTCGCATGCAAGGTAACTAACTGAGCAGCAGCTGAGAGAGGCGTTATGAGAAAACACATGTAGCGCCGCGCAATGTTGACCCACTGTTTGTTGGTTCAAGCCAAACGAGGTAGATACCATCATTCGATCATGTACCCAGGATCGCCCATTTTCCCAACAAAATACTGCCTCTTCTGCCTCGTATGCTCGTTAAATGCAAGTGGCAGCACTGCGGCACACGGGATCTACGGTAGCGCATAGACGCGCAAAGAGTATCACGTGACATGGAGCGGTTTGGCTATCCTTCCGAAGAAGGAAGGTGTCATAGTTCCCATGCAAATGCTCGTCTCTTCATCAAACTGCCTGCTGTGCACCACCACTCAGAATGTCGCCGAGCTATGTTTTTAACCCAGGAAAGATTGAGGCTAGAAATTTTTATATTACTGCGGGCTCAAATATAACGGAGGGTTTGGGAACAGCCGCGGTCTCGTCCTCATGAGTCATAAGATTCAAGCGTTATAAGGTTTGATGCATCGGCAGTGCGGTCGCAGCCATACCATTATGGATGAAGCTACTTGTTTCCTCACCACGATGAGTACGCTAGTCGTCGAAGCTGAAGTCCCAGTGCACCCGCAGATTCCATGCCGCTTCTATGCGGCGGGCAAGTGCCGCTACGGATCACGATGCAGAAACAGTCATGACTTCAATGCTGCTGTGCTGGTATGTGGTCGGGCCATCGTATCTTTATCAGTGATATCGATGGGGTGTGCTCCTCTCAGAATGAACCTGCCACTCAAGATACGAACATAACAGTCAAGCTTCCCCCATCACACGCGCATCGCAAACCTCGAGCGCAACAGATATCCCAGACATCACAGGATCAAGATCATGGTCACGCACAGATGGGAATTGTTTCTCAAAGTCAGACTCTCCCAGCTACTGCTGCTGGCGTGACTCCTGCCTTCGGAGAATATCCGCAGCCAGGAGTTCGCCAGCGTCCCAAACGCGGAGAGATCGCTTGTCGTGCGTGGAAGGTGGGGGCATGTGCGAAGGGCGAAAAGTGCTGGTTCGGCCACGACCCAGAGGTGAGATCCACATCGGTGGAGATTCTTCGACTGCTTGTACTAACGCTGACGATTTCAGGTTCTGCGCCGCCGTGAACAAGAGGCGCAGGCGCTCTCTGAGGAGCAGGAACGCCAACGCGAGCTAGCTGAGGAACGAGCTAGACAAGAAGAGCTCCAGCAACAACTCGTTGACGCACAAGCTCAGGAAGAGGAACGTCAGCGGCGACTAGCTGAAGAACGCACACTGAGGGAGCAAGAACGACAGCGCCGTCTTGCTGAAGAACGCGCGCGACGAGAGGCTGAGGCGGAGGCCAGGCGAGAGGAGACGCGTTTGCGTCGCGAGCAAGAACGACAGGAGCGCGAAGCAGAACGTCACGCGCGTTTGGCGGAGCTCGCGAAGGAGGAGGCTGCGAAGACGATCCAGCGGGTTGTACTCGGATCGATCATCACGTTCGGTGCCGGCCTCGACATCCATGGAGTCATTACAGGCTTCGAATGCTGTATAATTCAAGTCAAGTCTCTTCCAGCCGACGCACGGGAGGATGAGGTCCACGCACTGTTCACCCAGCAGGGTATTGATCCGTCGCGCTTTCAGCTCGTCGGCATGAAGAGAACTCCAGGAGGAAGGCGAAAGGCAGAAATAGTCATTGACGCTGAGTCTGGACATGCGCTGGCGGTTGGGCTGGAGCAGATCGAGTTTCGGGACGAGACTCTGTCGTTCGAAGTCGGCGCATATAACAACCCCGGTGGGATGTCCGCAATCGCGGGGCACGACACAGACGTGCTCACGCTCTCATGGCGGGCGCCGGCCGCGAGCTATGCGGTTACTTACACTGACGCGGACGAAACGGAAGAGAAGATGCGACAGCTCAACGGCACGCTGTACAAAGGCCGCCGGCTCAAGGTGATGATGAACCAAGCTCTTCAAACACGAGCAGGTCCTCAAACACGAGCAGGTCCTATTCGCCAGCGCATCATCAGGATTTATAATCTGCCAACGGATGCAACAGACTCTGAGATGGTGACGTTCACGGGCTCGCCCTGCGTTCGTAGAATGACTGGGGGGATCTACGACGTGGAACGCTCCCTCACGCTGCTCCAGGAAGAAGTCAATCGCGCTGTTCCCGGCGCACTGAGGAGCTTTGAGCGTTCCTCCGCTAACGCCGAAGGCGTCATGTCAGCTCTGGCGCGATTCGCCTCGTGGAATGAGGCAGAGACGGCGCGTGAACAGCTCGCTAACAAACGGTTCGAATATATTGGCAAATCTCCCATCTGGTGCAAACTCCCGAGCCCGATGCTCTTTACCGTCGTCATCTCCATTGAGCAATACCGAGCTCAGGCGACGCTCTGGATGGCATTGGTTGCGAACATCCCTGACAAGAAGGCATGCAACCTGTCCATTGTAGAGAAAGATACGGTGGTAATCATTCGCGTGATGGGATCCGTCAAGCAGGCGACCGGCGCACTGAAGCTGCGTGTGGAGAGGCTCATTTCTGGTGAGACGGTCGACGGTTGGCATCGTTCGCTCGGTTACCATGAAAGCCCTTTCGCGAGAAGGGTACTGGCGGAAAGTGGCGCATTTCTGCGCACAGACTGGAGGAGACAGATCCTCCGGCTGTGCGGGGAGCCTAGAGCGGTCGACTGTGCACGGCAGATGATCAAGGATGAGCTAGAGAGGTTGGCTGCTGTCGAGCGCTCTGTCACGCTGAAGAGGCAATCTGTGGGATATTTCGTCCGCCATGCGGTCCCGGCGTTGAAGGAAATGCTTGGGGAAGAGAACGTAAAATTCGACATTTCAACTCGCGTCATCACCATCTCAGGCGATGAAGACTCGCGACACGCTCTAGATCGTTTCATCGCAGACTCTCTAGACGAGCTTCATCAATTGCAAAGTGATTCTATCGCTCAGCAAACATGTCCTATTTGCTATTGTGAAGTCTCAATGCCGCTTCGGCTCGGTTGCGGCCACGTCTATTGCACATCCTGCATGCGGCATTTCGTTACGAGCGCTGTTGATTCGGACAACTTCCCTCTGGTGTGTATGGGCGATGAATCTCGTTGTGCGGCTCCCATACCCATCCCAACCATTCAGCGATTCCTTCCGCCTGCGTCATTCAATCGACTGCTGGAGGTAGTATTCAACGTACATATCTCGAGGCATCCTCAGGACCTCAAGTATTGTAAGACTCCGGACTGCACACAGATCTACCGTTCGACGGCTGAGAACACGGCGAGTATCCTCAGCTGCCCTTCGTGTTTCTCTGCGGTGTGCACTTCCTGTCACGAGGAACCGCATGAGGGAATGAGCTGCGAAGAATACAGGATACAGAAGGACCCTGCTGAGCAGGAGCGTTTGAACGATCGATGGATCACTCAGCAGGGAGGTCGGGTCAAGAAATGTCCGCGTTGCAGCGTGTTGATCGAGAAGACGGAAGGTTGTAATCATATGTCCTGTCGGTACGTTTCTCACTCTATGGCTTTTTTCCCGCGAAGACGCTGATGATTTCGCATTATCAGATGCGGAGCGCATATATGCTGGCGTTGTCTGGGCGTATTCACGGCAGAGGAGATATATCCGCATATGAACACCGCACACGGCGGTTACTACGATCAGCCTATCCTACAGGGACTCGCAGTGGACTACGGTGAGCAAGAGCGGCTTCTGAGGGAAGCAGAACAACAGCGACAAGCTCGAGGTGGAATACATAGACGGGACCAGGCCATGGAAGAGATTATGCGACGGCGTGAGCGCTTGGATGAGGAACAACGTCTCCTTCGATGGCAACAGGAACTTCGGCAAGCTCGTGAGCGACAGCAAGAAGAGGAGCGTCGGCAGGCCGACGAGAGGATGCAAGGGGTACGTCGGCTAATGAGAGAACAGGAGCAACAGGCAAGGAGAGCAGCAGAGCAAGTGAGAGTCCAACAAGAGGAACGAGGATGGTGTATGGTCATGTAGTATGGGAGCCATATGTTCTAAGGATTGTTTCTCGTAGGAAATGTATCATTTATGCTGTCAGTATGCTATGCATTCATGCACCATACGTGACTGAGAGAGCAAAAGATTCATAATTCAAATATTCCAGCAACATATCCTAAGAACTCGTTCATTTATGGCCCTGAGGCCTGATTTTTCACTCCAGTCAAGGCAGAACACCTTACTTTCGCAACATCCTTTACACCATAGTAATGTTCATTGGATGCACATTGGGGACACATCAATATAAATACAAGGGATTTAAGTCGAGCAGTTAGACTGCAGTGGAGTCAGAGTCTCCGAGACGCGATCTCTTCTGACGTGGCTTCTGAATCTCTCCCTGCTCATCCAAACTAGACTCCTCTGACTGCTCTTATTCACGTTTGGCTTTCAAACCCACCGCCCTGAAATGCTGCTTCATAGACTTACTGAATGCCGCAAACTGATCTTTCACCTTGTCATCTTCGATATCCTTCGGATGTTTCGTCATCCATCGAATGACCTCCCGAAATATTGCGATCATAGCGTCATATGTATCCAGAGTCAATCGAGGCGGTGTATGCATTGGATGAATCGCGGCGCTGTGTGAAGCCTCAGCATCCGCTGTAGGAACTGGTCCTGTACGAGTGGTAAGCGCACGATGTTGCACCTCTTGGTGTAAGGCCATACCAGTGTCGGACGAAAGAGTTGCGGAAGAGTCACCTGGAAGCATGGCGTCTTGCAGGTCTTCACCTGCCTCGCTGTCTTGCAACATTGCGATAGACCTCTCCGACATGACGAATTCTACTAGGCTATATTGTGGCGGCTGAATTGTCTCCTGCGGCTCTAGCTTGCTCGTGTCGAATGCCTTGTAATGTTCTTTCGCGAGTTCGAGGAGTTTCTGAAGCAAACTGCGGAAGATGGAATTCCTATTCGTCAGCTCCCATGATCTCTGACCAGTTGTCCATTGCTTGAGTTTCTCTCCACCACCGACATCGTGCCCTTGCTTCCTCACGCGCCAGTCAAAGAAGTTACTGATATATGATTGAAGCTCCTCCGGGCCGAGGTTGTGGTCATGGTACTTCAACGCCATCCACTCCGCCATCAGCACAATCGACTCGAGATCGTCGGACAGAGAGTTCTGCTTCTTTGGATACTTGAGGAGCAGTGCTGACATAAATTGCCAAGTACCCTAAACTCGTTGCATTGATCAGCACTCGAAACGCACCATCAACACAACATACTCACAGAACGCTCAAATTGAGCCGGCCCATTCTCCAGCTGGTCGAGGAATTTGCCCAAATCGAAATCTATCAGCAAACCAGCTCCATGTTCAGGCTCGTCTGCATTCAGAGCCATAAGCATATTGCGGTCGCGAGGATCAACCTCGTTAATAACAATATTCATTGGAGACAGATCACGATGTAAGATGCCGGCTTTGTACGCACCCCGGTGAGCTAGTGGGGAACCATGAGTCTCAACTCAGATGAACTAGGAAAGCATCAGAGACTCACCGAGCAAGACACACCATAGAAGATAAATCAATTGTGCTGAGTGTTGGTATTCGTACAGAGGTCGTCCAAGCTGCTTGAGGACCATGCGATAGTGGAGTCGCGCACATGGCGACCGAACTCCGGGTAAGAACTTCTGCGACAGCGTCCGTTGACCGTCGACGTATCCACCATACAGTAAGGTGGCGACATATGGCACTTTAGCATGATTGAGGACCTTGTAAATCTCCCACTCAGGATGTACCCGGGAGGACGCATACTTCCAGGCATCCTTCAAGAACTCCACGCGATCGGCATGAACATCATACGCTGCGAAGGTCTTGGTCGCACGTCCACTGAGTGAATAGCTTATGTTAAGAGGTCGCCCGATGAGGAACGTGTCGTCTTCCCGATTCGATTTGACATCGGCGAGTTGCGAAGCATTGAAGGTAATCTTGTAGATAGGATAGTCATCATTCATCGCCTTCTTCAAGCACTTCGCATGGTACTCTGAGAGACTACCAACAGCATCTTTCATCTTGCCAATGTCTGCTTCATCAGCCAGCCTAGCGGTCGGGTCGAACCCTTGCTGCTGAGGAGTCATGCGTGCCAGTCGATAGAAGAACACATAGAAGAAGCTCTTCTTGCCGAAGATGTCGAACGGTTGGGAAACGACAATTCCCACGTGGTCCACTCTGAGCACACGAGCGCGAGATCTGCAGACAACAAGGAGGAAGACATGTTGACGATGCTGATGGTTCATGATAGCATTCGCGTACTCCAATATCTGACCACGCGACTCCATGCTAGCCAGTGACCCGCGGATGAAGTTGGTGTATGTCGCGGCGAAATCGTATGGTGCCTTGCTGTTGTCGACCTTGATCTCGATGGGGACGATGGCCCACCGCCAGGACGTGCGAGCCAGATATGGTCGCCGCTCATCTGATGAGACACTCTTAACGCGTGTCTCGTCCGTGATGTCGTAGTCCTTGCTCGCTCTCGGAAAGTCCGGATAGATGATTACATCAGGTTTCTTGTCTCCCTTGTTAGGGAGCGAAGACTCTCCACGGTCACCTGTGTCCTTTGCAACAAGCCTGTTGAGGCCCTGTGCAGAGCAATTGTCGAAGATGGATTGAGTCACTCGCACCTGACAAGAACAAGATGATCAGCATCCAAGATGGTAGGAAACATTATGTAAGCACAAGCTCACAACTTCGGCATACATCTTTTTCTCTGGATTGTCAATTGTTTTGTTACCATCAACGACGGCGAACATCGCCGGGTTGAACTCGTCAAAGCGGTCCAGCTCCTGTGGCGTTGGGTCCGTTCCAGGAACCAAGTATAACGCGAAATCGTCGACGGGGATCTCGACCGATATCGGGTCCATCTCTCGACACTCTTGTTGACGGAAGCGAGACAGGTGAGCCTTGCCTGCGATCGGAGTGATGGAATGCTCTTGCCAGCTGGAAAGCTTCCCGCTGCGTGGAGTCGGTCCACCTTCGGGTAAAGAAGATGGAGAAGTCTTTGGAAGCTCCTGAGAGGCGGAAGGTTCGCCGGGTGTAGGTGTGGCGGGCTGAAGATTTTCGTGTGGCGCGACACCGACGGGCTCGATTGAGGGCTCGAATAGACCAGGAGGGCTGGCGGATTGTTCGTCACGGTCTGAAGCAGGACCACCGTAGGTTTTTCAGGTGGAGAATGTATTTGGCTTGAAGAGTCGACAATATCGTCGGCACCTGGATTGGGCGGGTTTGAATCATCGGTAAAAGCAGGAGAGAGGGGATGGTTAGATGGATCAGACATGGTGGAGATTCTGGGGACGTACGACACGAGATGTCTGGCTCCTTTTATATTACAGTGGCAGGTAGAATACAAGGCATGTATCGCAAAGACAGCACGTTACGTCATACATGTTCGTATGTTGCACGTAACACGCGCGAAGCGCGCCACCGCCAACGTTTTTGCAAACGGCAATAACAAAACTTAGGGTTGCACTGCCGCACGTCCTTAGTACATGTTCATTTTATATCCGGGACACACGCGTCGCATGAAGGCTCAATCTATCCCCCGTCTCAGCGCATGGGCAGACTCACTCGTTCGCTGTTTCTCATCACCCTGAGTGACACTCCATACCGCAGTGCTGGCACAGCGAAACCTAGCTGTACGATTGTAGACTGATTGAAGAGAATACATGCATGTAATGCGAGTTACACGAATGCGGCTATTAGAACATCACACGACGGAGCAACGACATGGTGCCGACGGACAATACAACATGATGGAGAGACAGAGTGGGGGAAACAAATTACTACGATGGGGTCGGAGCCGCGGCAGGGAGGTCTTCAAGCAGAGAGAGAGAGCCCGCTATAGATGTACACGTGAACAGGCGGACGCCGGGGCTGCACTCGCAAGCTCAGCCGGTTCCGCACACAGCAGGAAAAGGATCACTTGTAGTGCTTGACTTCAACGCCTGCAATGACCTCCGTATCCCACTTCTGTCCCTTCTTCAACTCCACCACCCCGTAACTGGCGATGCGCGCACTTTCCCATTCTGCTGCAGTGGGAACGTGATCCTTGTCCTTGAATATGTTCACACCCTTTTCGCGAATGATAGGCGAGTCATACAGAGGCAGGAGAGGAGTGTCATCGATGGCGTGAGCGAAGTGGAAGACACCGAGACGGCGAAGGGAAACCTGATCCTCAGGCGGTCGGACGACGCGATGGACCGTCGCCCGAAGGACTCCGCCGGAAAGAAGAGAGAGCTGGTCGCCGATGTTGACGACCAGACCGTTAGGGCGGTGCTGTGGCACGTAACATCAGCGACAAATTTCCAACTTATAGATTCAACGGAAGCGCACCTTCGCATATGCCCATTCTCCGTTCGGCATAAGGATTTGAAGAGACGTGATCGGCTGAAGCAGGTATGAGATCCTTTGAGTGTTCACACGCGTGCATATAGTATACTCACCTGAGAGAAAAGAATAGAAATAGTATTGAAGTCGGTGTGACCCTGCCAAACTCGTTGAAATCGCCAGGCTTCCGCATATAAGATACACCAACCTTCAGATACACTCCGTTGGTCTGCTTCGCTTCCTCCTCCTGCAGCGGGTCATAAACCATGAAGCGGAACAAGTCACGGCCCTCACGACCATCCGGAGCTTTGTGCAACCGCCAAAGGTAGTCTTCGTCCGGAAGCTGAAGATGCAGGGAAATGAGCGCGAGGATGCGCCGCAAAATTTGCTCGCGGCTTCGCGCAAGGAAGGCTGTGATTTCTGGGAGGAACGGACGTAGAGCGGTGGGGTGCTCGTCGGGGGAGCCAACGGAGCCACGCTCGTTGTAAAAATTGTAATGCTCGATCCTGTCACGAACACCGTCTACAATATTGAGAAATTAGAGATGCGTTAACATAAATGCTAGTATTGGCGTACTCTCGATCTCCCAGAATGACGGGAGCTTGTAGCCTCGGAAGGTCCCCTTCTCCTTGATCTTCGCCTCGTACTTGTGCTTCTCGTCATCAGGGACCTCATCGAAAGGCACTTGTCCAATGCTGAAGATACGATCAACCTCTTCCTGAGAAAAGGTGTGATTGATCACATAGAAGAACCCGTCACGGGTGAGTGCGCGACCAACGGTCGCCGCGAGTTCGGCCTTGCCTCCGGGTTTGTCCCAGAGAGAGAGGTCAACTGTCTCGATGTTCGCATACTCGACTATGAAAGTGTAAGCAGCGCAAACGATACATGCGAGAATGGAGGGCGCACCATCAGCAGTGCTAGGCGGAGGCTTGTTCCAGGGCTTGAGGCGAAGTGCTCCGGTGGAGTCCGGAGAAGTAGTCTGAGTCTGAATAGCGATAGACGACATGGTGCAGATACCGTCGAAACGAGGCACAGGAACCTCGCTATAAGAACCTCAGTGGAGCCGTTCGCAAGCAACGCGTCGGATTGCACCATTTGTCTGGGCGCTGATGGATATTCGCGAAAAAGCATGCAATGCGCATCGCAAACCCGAGCAATGGCGGGTAAAATCATTGAGTCGATCCCGACGGACCTGAATGTGTTCTGGGGCGCGGGCGCGATGTCTGGGCAAGATTGCAGCACCCGGAAGGGGTCAGGGCAGACGCGCACCACGTGACCGAGACGCGTCTGAGCACGACGCGACGCCCGCCTAAAGAAGCAAGAAGCGATGATGTGATTGGATTGCGAAGCGACTAATCCGCTTCGGCAGAGACCTGTAGGCACACCACCTACCATCTGGTTCGCACCATGCGGGTTTAAGGCCACTTAAAAGGTGGCTCTAGCGCGTCTGGCCACCGTGCTTGCGTCCCTGGGAGCAACGGACTTCACTGAGCTCGGCACAGTACTTCGCGATCGCCATGTCGTCCACACCGAAGACCGCGGAAACGGACAACGCATCGCTTGAGAAGCACGCTCTCGAAGACTCCCGCTCGATCCGTTCGTTGCCTCAGGACGCAGACCACGAAGCAGCCAAGCCTGGGTTGCTCGACTTCGAGCCGAAATGGTACCATTCGGTCTTCTTCAATATGACGATCCTCGGTCTCTGTAACTTTTCGGCTCCGGGCCTGTGGGGTGCAATGAATTCCCTGGGCGCGGGCGGGGCTGCTTGTAAGTGCTCTGCATGTTCTCTGAAGCCTCTCACACTGACCGGATGTACTATTTTTGTAGCCCCGCACCTGATTAACGCTGCGAACGCATTGACGTTCTGTCTCATGGTTTTGAGCTGTTGGTTGGGAAGTGAGTTGTATTATCCGTTCATACTTCCCAACTGCTAACCGTTGTAAAAGGCGCATTCGTGAATGCCTTCGGCGTGAGAATTACTCTGATGTTTGGCACTGCGGGGTACTGCGGTTAATAATGTTCTCATTACCATCTCTTTCCTTCCGAGCTCATTTCGGCTTCTTCAGTATTCGCCGCCGGCCTGTACACGAACAATGTCTACGGCACTAAATGGCTTGTTCTCTTCGGAGCGGCATGGTGTGGCATTTGTGCTGGGCTCTTCTGGATGATCGAAGGCGCGATCGCGCTCTCGTACCCAGAGCCCGCACGCAGGGGGAAGGCGCTCGGGTACTGGCTCTGCTACCGCGTAGCTGGGCAAGTACTCGGAGGCGCGATCAACCTCGGCATCAACGCGCACCGCTCGGAGGCGGGATCGATCTCACCGAAGGTCTACATCGTCTTCATTGCTCTGCGTAAGCTCTTTGAAATGATGCTTTGACTCACAACGCACTCACGCACATTTGACAGAGGCATGCGGCCCGTTCATCGGAGCTCTGATCTCGTCGCCCAATAAAGTCCAGAGGAAGGATCGCACCCCGGTCGAGCTGTACATCGGCACGAACTTCGCTGTCGAGATGAAGGCGACGTGGGCGATGTTCCTGAGCCCAAAGGTACTGTGCCGTATTCATCAGCTATTCATAGCTTGCTTAACCACTGTCGTCCGTCCCTAGTTCCTACTGCTCATCCCGCTCATTTGGCAAACGGTCTTCTCGGAGTCGTTCACGGGAACGTATTTTGTTGGTGCGTTTCGTCTCTCTTCTCGCTCTCCTTCACGATTCTGAGCACCGTATAGATTACTTCAGCGTTCGCTCTCGCGCACTCGGATCGTTCTGCAGCGCGATCCTGTGCATGATCGTCGGCCTGGTGGAAGGCGTACGTTTCTTTCTTCCCAACCATTCTTTTGATGACACTAACGTGTTTCATCAAAAGCATCTGCTTGACAACCAGCGCTGGTCCAAGAAGCTCCGCGCACGCTGGACTTACGTCATCGTTCTGTCTTTGCAGGGCGGATGGTGGATCTACAGCCAAATTATCCAGGTAGAAGCCCCCGTTGTTCATGACGTGGAGCCAACGGAACACTCACATCCCCAACAGCAAGATTACGTGCGCGGCAAGCGATCGCCCGACTGGCAGACGATCGACTGGGCTTCGCCGGGCTTCGCACGCGGCTTCGTTCTCTACCTCGTCATCACGATGGGCTTCCAGATGAATTATCTGTTCATGTTCTGGGTTGTGGGGAGCCGTGAGTCACAGCACCATCCGTATCACACGCAGAAACACTCACTGTATTTCATTTACCAGTCGTCGAGCACCCGCGCGACATCATCCGGATAGCGGCGTTGTTGCGCGGGACGGAGAGCGCGGCGCAGGCCGTCTCGTACGGCATTAACTCGACGTCGCTCATCATGACCGGCGCGTCTGCGATTAACTTCGGGCTCTGGGGCCTCGCGCTGATCCCCGGATGGTTCGTCGTACGCACGATTGGGGTCAGCAAACCGAACTTGCGCGAGCTGGACGTCGACGAATTTGATGAGAAATTCCCGGAGGACGACACGTCAAAAGCTGTACAATGAGAAAACCGAACGAGATCGTTCGCTGTATTAGCCACGACGTTAGACGACTTGTGATACTTCCCTTACGTTAGTCGCTCGTTGAGCATTTCTGGGTTTGACTGTACGTAGAACATGTAGACATGTAGAAGGTTACTTACAGGTAAAGTTGGCCGAAAGTTGGCGTTAGATTCAGGACTGCGGCCTTTCGTCCGACGTTGATTTCCGTGACTGTGTTGTTGCGAATATCGTCTGGTACTGCATTGAGCCTATTTTCGACATATCTTCGTGCGCATCACGCACAGCTGAAATGAGGAAGGGGATCGATCAGATATCAAATTGGCCATGAACGCGGCGCGTTGATGGCCGTCGCGTTTGCTTATTTGGGAACTATTGATGCGCCCGATCAGGATCGGAGGCAATTCATGTGGCGAGCGGAGTCTTGTTCAACTCTTACTCTGCGGGCCTTGATCATCCTCTGCCCTCCTTGATTATCTTCTGCCCTCCTAGTCTCTCGCGCCTGCAGGTCTCGAGACCCACATATATCCAACGCTCCGAATAGCTCGTGGGATCTGTCCTTTTCCTGAGTATCAGCCAGAGCTTACTTTCCTAGAGCGTTACTGCCAGGAAGCAACAAACCGAATGCCACCTGCACGCACCACGGCTTCGCCCGCTCGGAAGTCCTCGAATATGAGCACAACGAAGAAGCAGGGGCCCAGCCTGTCTCAGTCACACCGTTCAGAAATGGAGTCAGATATAGACCAGAATGAGGAGGCGACCAGTGCAAGTGACGACGGCTCGGATGATGGAAAAGCCAAACGGAACCGGAAGACGGGAAAGCAGAAGGGCACGGAAGTAATGTCAGGGAAGAAGGATTCCTCCTCGAGGAAGAAGAAGAATGTCACGTATTACGAGAAACAAGATGAGGACGAAGATGAAACTGAGCTGGACAGTGATGCGCTTGACGAGGATTCAGATGGCCCATCAAGGAAGCGGAAGCGAGCGTCGAAGTCATTGGTTAACAAACGCTCTCCTAAGTCTCAGAAGGCCTCACCGAGGAAGCGGAGGATGAAGGCGAGACATGAGAGTGAAGATGAGGAAGATGGACTGGATCTGAAGGAAGGGCAAGAGGTGGTCGGCGTGGTAGTGAAAGCTCCAAAAACTGGACGAGGTATGCTTTCCGATCCTTTCGCCGCAGCTCCCTCTTTCTGAACCAAAGTTGATGAACCTTAAATGTAGTGCCTCCTGGCCAAATATCCACAAACACGCTAAATTTCCTCGCTCAGCTCCAGAAGCCAGAGTGCAATGATCGGGAATGGTACGTTCATTCTCCTGATGGTCCCTTCTGCCATACTGTTGCGCAAATGCTTACTATGAACCTGTGGGACCCTATTATAGGTTCAAGCTGCACGGTACGCCTCCAGGCCCTATCAACCATTCACGGTTCATTCGCTCATATCTGCTTAGAGCCTGTCTATCGCCTCGCAGAGAAAGAGTGGAAGGATTTCGTCGACGAGTTCACGCCATTACTCATCGAAGTTGATCCACAGATACCTCATCTCCCGCCGAAGGATGTCATTCATCGCATCTATCGCGATGTGGGTCATGATGTACTCTCCTGCGATGCAATCTCACGCGCGTTCACCGTGTACATAGATCCGATTTAGCAACGACAAGACACCGTACAAGACAGGACTGACTGCAAGTTTCTCGAGGAGCGGGAGGAAAGGCATCTTTGCGGGCTGTAACTATGCACTTGTTTGATAGCCAAACGGTTCGCTAAACTTCAATGTACTGTAACAGATCATGTGTAAGTATAAGCACTTTAGACCTCCGCAGTTGAGCGATTGCTTATTGCTATCGAATGTCATGACAGCGCCAGTACGTCCCATAATACGATATGAGTGCGACTCAGATTACGACACGGTTATCTAGTTGAACCAGGAGGCGAAAGCCTGATCGCTGCTGGGACGTGGTGTCCAGGCAAAAACGAACTGGCTACTATAAGGTTTGCCTCGTAACTACGCGTCTCTGTTCCTCCAACTGATCAGATATGCATAGGAGCAACATTCTGCGCTCATCAACACGCCTTCGCAGCCTAATCTCCTCGCCTGAGTTCGTTCGCTACTTCGGCGAGCCTCGGCCGCATCCGCGAGGAGAGAGGCAAAACATTTTTGGGATGCAGGACGAGCTGAAGGTCGCACCGAAGGGAATTGAGAAAACGCACAAGTAAATTGACGAACAGCTCTCTGCGCCAATAATTTCTCACGTATGATATGACGCTTAATAGGGACATCGATCTGCTGAAGTGTCGGTCCTTTGCTGTTATATATCGGTGAGATTAGCTCAGCTTCCGCGAATCCGAGATCACTCTGCTGATGCACTGCTATACGGTCGCAGATTCATGGATAGCGAGGTTCTCGAGCCAGACTTCAAGGAGACGCTTTGCAAGGTTATCAAGATCGTCCAGCCGTTCGTGCATTGGTGAGCTGGTGACAGGTTACTTATCTACGACAGCTTCTTATGATAGATCCTGTGATATAGTTTGAACGATATGATGACCATACAAGATGCAGATGATTCGCAATCTGGCGAAGGAGGCGGATCTAGCAGCGAGGACGACTGAGAAGTCGTTGTGAGTCCCTTGTTGAGGCCGTGTCCATTTAGCTATTATGCGTGGGGTTTCATGGTTGTCTTGCATACTTGTTGTTGCATGTAATATCGTCTGTTGTAACATACGTACCTATCTGGCGTTGAGCTTCTAGGCTGTACAATGTGTCGTCTTGCGATGTTGCGAAGAGCGGCCGATTCACGTAGCGGATTGAATCAAAGTCCCGCAGCTACTCGTGAGGAGCGTCGGATGTCGAAGCAAGTGAAAGCTTTCTTCCAAACACATGCGAATCGAGCATTATCGCGCAAGATATTGAATCATGTTTCAAAAGAACACGTCTTTTACAAGACGAACACAGGGTCGAGTGGAATGCAAACAGTTGCTCGCAGGGCAACCTCATAGGATACAAGAGCAATTCTTCTGAAGGATGGATCTTCCCTATAAGAGATAGCCCAAGGCTCAACTTTCCGTTACTTTCTTTTCCTGATCTCTGTACTGCTTTGCCCACTGTGACATGCAGTGAACATCGGAACCTGCACGGAGAGGGGATGTGTGGGACCTACCAGCATCGATGGAATGGGACGAGTTGGCTGTATGTATCTCCACTGAAAAGAGGAAATAGTAAACACGGAATCGTGGCATGGATGACATCTTCACGCACCTCCTTGTCTGCACTCAAGTTCCATACTCCGTATGTGACGATCAGGATCCCAGCAAAGGCAAATGCGGTATTGGTTTTCCAATTGGATGGCTGAACCCACCAGCCACCTAAAGATGCAGAAGGTATGAGACAGAGAAGGATTGCAAGGATTCCGGTCAGCGACAGTAACCCTTGAATCCACCCGAATGCATGAAACGCACCGGCTGGCGACCACACCGTCTTTGGGTACGGATACCTTGGTTGTCCTCCCTACGTTCTTCTGGTGAAGCTGATCGTAAAACGATAGTGCAGTTTGCTCACCATTGAGACAAGTCGTGTGGTAAATGGAACTGAGTACAGGCCGCGGAGCACGGCGTGCGGTAATGCGAGCACCACGTGGCTTGCTCGGGCCTGAGGCGCGACGGCGCGTCTGCCTCGAGTCCCTCTTGCTTTCACCATGCTGCATTCTGTCGCCAACTACTTCCATGTCCGTCGTAGAGGTATAAATCGTGCTGCAGGATACATTGGGGGCGCATATTTGCTGGGACAATACGTCCTCGGACGGCTCGAGGATGTCCGCGACAGGTTGATGCAGGACAGGATGGCGAGGGAGAAGTATGTCCACATCGAATGCCTATAACCATGCAGCAACCAGGATAATTGACGCACAGCTTTCCCATGAATTGATGGTAGCCTCCGAAGGAGGTTTGAGCAGAATCAGCAAGACGTCGACTTCACCATTATGGCGCTGCTTCCGACGCTTGGCAAGTACATCCTCGAGGGCATGGACGTCGAAGGCGTCACCTACGAGCTGCAATCATATTCGAAGGCGACAAGGCCCCATATAGAGCTGCAACCTCCAGCACCACCATCGGAATCGAGCTTGGCATCGAGCATGGAGTTGCTACTGAAGCCAGCACATGACGACCGCTCGGAGAATGGGTCACTGTCTGTCATATCCTCCGCGCACGAGAATGGCTCGCCTTCAGAGCTCTCTTCATCTTCGAGCTGGATAGACCATTCACTTCAAGTCTCCCAGGCGTCTGCAGAACTGGTGTCGCCTATCTCCAATTCCAGGTCGAGCAAGTCACCGGACTCGAGACAAGAGGCGGACTTGTCCGAATCTATGGTCTCTTCGAGCACGACATCTGGTTCGAGCGTTGCGCAGGATATTCTGTGGTCGGTAAGTGTCGACTACAATCATGTGACATTGCCATTTGCAACGCCTATGCTCATCTTCTAGTCTCAGCCAGGGAGTGCTAGATCTGAGATTGTGAACCCAGTCACTAGAAGCAAGGCAGATCTATGGAAGGAGGTCAAAATACTCAGTCAGTAGCTTCATCGTGCGGGCGACAATGCTCTGAACCATGGAATGCAGCATTCACCCGGACACTAACCATCATCTACTCCATTACGCTACTATCTATCTTCACTCATATTCAGCTCAACATCCTCGGTCGCTTGAAGTACATTCAGTCTGTCGTACAGGCGGAGCGGGAAGAGCGGCGGCGGGAGCGGGTGCAGCAGGACGTGTCCATGCTACTAGCCGGTGTGGAAGAGGCGTTGTCAGAGGAAAATGAGGACGTGGATGAGGATGAGGACGAGATCATTAGCGAGGAGACGGAGCGCAAGTACCTTACGCTCAGCTGGTGGATTCTGCATGTAGGGTGGAAGGACGTGGGCGAGCGGGTCAGGCGAGGTGTCGAAGAGGTCTTTGAGGGGTGAGACTTGCAGTTTCCTGATTTGAGTAAACTCCTTGACGCAGAGCAGGGTGTCACTGAAGACAAAGTTCACGATTCAGGACTTGTTCCGGCTCGTGAGCGATGTCCGGCGCAGGGTAGAGTATGAAGTGACGTTCGAGGGGCGCGAGCGACGTATAGAGTGCGTCCCCTTACGTACACGTTTCTTCATCTCATGTCGACCTTCACAGTTTCCTTTCAACCCTCCTTCCGCCAACGTCCGAGACCCTCACCCACGTTCTCATCCAAGGCGGGATCCCGTCCCGGCTTGCCGGCACCGCCGACCCACACTTCGACGCACTTCTTGCTGAGACACGCATACACCTACAATCTGCATCGTTCCAGCGCGTGCTGGAGGTGTGCCTTGACCGTGCGACGGAGGTGCTCTTCGACGGGCTGCGGAAGCATGTATTCCACAGCGCGGCGTCGGAGAGTGGGCTGGACGAGCGCGACGAGGAGATGCGTGAACGGCTGGCGGCGATGCTCCCTGGCTTGGCAAGGTGGTGTCATCTGGCGCTGGAGGGGCTGCCGAATGAGCTTGTGGATGTGAGTCCGTGTGTCCCGATTATATCATACCTTGATTGCTGATGATGGTTTTGCGAAGCATTTGGCGAATGTCAGGGAGATGTCGGCGTTCTCTGCCATTATATACTCGAACTATGATGATCGCTTTCGGTAATGACACATACCCTATTGATGACTTGCAGTAGCAGAACCATCGGCAGATAAACCGCATGACATGATCAAGAGCGGAACATTGCATACAGACAGCAGACTGGGCTGGATCCGAGATCTGATGCTTGTCTAACGTACAAGATCATAATCCCTTGCTCTATACTGAACTTACGTCACTGCGCATCAGTACGTCAATATCAACCGGACGGCCATTGCTGTTAAGCCCTGCTTGGATGAATGCCACATCCTTCAACGCGCCCTGCGGGTTTCCGAGACCATTGTCATCTCCCCGAATCGCGTTGACGAACCCCTCGAGCTCCTTCGGCACGCCGTCCATCGTCCGGTCCAAGATCTCCTCTACCTCGCCAAGGTCACGCCCATCCTCATCGCGCTTAGCGATGTGGACCGTTGTGCGAATGCCTTCGACAGGATGGCTCCCGTCGACGACCTTGACCTGGTTGACGGAGAGCCAGCCGTCGGCTCCGGTGACCGTAATGCCGCTGAAAGCCAGATTGGAGCGCGAAGCAGTCGGTGCACCCCAGGTGAGCTCGACCAGTCCATGCGAGCCATCTGCGGAGCGCACGGCAGCGTTGATGGTGTCGTGCGGTGCGAGGTAGGACTTAGTGAGTGAGGCGAAGCCGGAGACAGTCTTGATCGGGCTGGGGAGGAGGACACGCAGGGCAGCAATGGTGTGCTATCAGGCGGCATTTAAGTCCGAGGTGCGCTTTACGATGAGGGAAGATACATACCACACCGCCGTCTAGCTACGTTGGTGGAAGAAACCTCGGTCAGTGAAGTTCCTTCAGCCTTAAGCGGGATTATTCACCAAGAAGCCTCCTTGATACTGCGCATCCACCCCAAAGTGAGTAGGAGTAATCGGCTGATCGTAGTGCTGCTTACGTCTGGAATCGTTCTCCAGGGAGTGTTATACCACTTCGAGTTTTTGTCGATGTAGTTCACAACCCGTGCGTTGTAGATTTTGACTCGTCCGATTTTCCCGTCCCTAATAGCTTTTGCAGCGATGTGATATCCGGTCTCCGTCTCGATGTTTTCAGCCACCCGCCAAACGAGTCCCTTCGGCTTATACTTGGTCTCGTACTCCGCGATCAGTTTTAGCCCTGAACCGACGTCCGGCGCAACTGGTTTCTCGCTGATCACATGTTTGCCTGCGCCGAGTGCCTTTAGAACAATGCTGGGCTGTATGGTGATTGGGAGAACGACAATCACAGCGGTGATGTCAGGGCGAGCGAGCAACGTGTCGAGATTGCGAGAGGAATCGGCGTCGAAGTACACGTCGGGTTTAGAAGAGAGCTTGAGCGTGGATTGTGCCTCTCTGGCAAGCTCTGCTGCGCTCTTCTCAGAGCGCGAGTAGACCGCCTTGAGGTCGACAAACGAGGGGCCGATGGTCGCGATGGCCGGGAGATGAGCTGATCATGCGCACACGATGAACCGTAAGTGGTTAGCGCAGGCTGGGATTTCAATTTGAGGCAGCTGCCCGAGGCTCACCCTCTCTGGCGAAAATTCCTGAGCCAAGGATGGCGATCCCAACAGGGGCCATGATGGGGCCGCAAGTGGGTCCAATGTGAGGTATGCGTATGGACCGCGGTCGGACAGCAAGTTATGCAGAAGCAGACCCTCTATAACGACATTCTCGGGGCCCCGTGAGCAGTGAACCGTGACTAGCTTTGGCAATGTCTGACACCCGCGGGGGTTCTTCGGGAGCATTGGGCTGATTACATTGATGCCGGCCTTTGTCAGCGGTGGCGTCGCATCTCGTTCAGGCGGATACTCGGCACGCCATTCCGAGGCCAGTAAGCTCTATTGGTGCAGGCAGCTGCAGCAAACAGCAAGCGCAGACAGAGGACGATCAAGTGAGTGTCAAGGTATCAGGTGCGAGGATTCCCTGCAATGCACGGGTACCGATGCATCGAAGAAGGCAGGTTCGACTCTGCATCACAGACGAGACGGCACGCTGCGGATTGGCGCTTAAAGATTCGGAATCGTTTCGGTAGGTGGCCGTCGCACACATTTTGTGTGTCGGCCATCTCTATGCATTCTTGCTGAATGTTTTTTGATCCATATTGACTGTGTGACTTCACAACAGAATGAGATAGAGCGCGCATTTTACAACCGAGACGCATTCGGCTGGACGTGATGTTCTGCCTTTTGGCGCGATGAAGTCATTCCTTCTGCTGCGACAATTGCAAACACAGTCAATAGCTGCAGGGATCGTAAACATATTGCGTATGGGTGAGTTTGTCCCAGCGGATTGCTTGCACTGTGTCTATGTTGCGGAGAACGGGCGGATGCTAGCGCACAAGAACATGCAGATGCCACCGAAGCCCTGTCACATATTTCTGCGCCGGAACCGAAGAGACGCAATGGAACCATTCTTGTGCTTTGCTCCGTGCACTTTCCCAGGTCGAAAAGGTCCTCACTCGCTTTCATTTGTCAAGTAGGCAAGGCTAAACTCCATCCACTCCTCGGACATGCTCTCGACGGACTAATCTCGGGTCGCTGTCGTCGGTATTGCCGAGGGGGAAGAGATTGCATCGGCATCTCAGCTGTTGCAGCTATATAAAACACCGTTGATGCGGCACGATAACTGTACGACCTGTTGAATCCTACCCGCCACCATGTCTTCCCCAAGTGCTATTTCGCGCAAGTTATCCAAGGATTTCCTGTGGGGCTTTGCTACAGGTAGGACCAGGTCTGTTTGCTGCAGACGACCATGGTCAACTGCCGGTCCCTCAGCTCTTTCTTACTGACGCGGCATCGCTCGACATCACGTAGCTAGCTTCCAAATTGAAGGCTCGACGGATGTTGATGGACGCGGCAAGTCCATCTGGGATGATTTTGCTCGGACGCCTGGCAAGACGCTAGACGGCAAGAATGGGGACTTGGCGACTGACTCGTATCGCCTTTGGAAGGAAGACCTTGATCTGCTGGTATCCTACGGTGTAAAAGCATACCGGTTTTCCATTTCGTGGTCCCGGATTATTCCCCTTGGAGGGCGAAAAGACCCCGTCAACGAGAAGGGAATACAGTTTTATTCAAATCTGATTGACGCTCTTCTCGCAAAGGGCATTGTGCCATTTGTCGTATGTCTTAGGAATGGCGCATCGTTATGTCAGTGTGCTGACTGCTTGAGTTTCTTTCGTTAGACACTCCACCATTGGGATTTACCCCAGGAATTGCACGATCGCTACGGTGGTTGGTTGAATAAGGGCGAAGTCGTGCAAGATTACGTTAACTATGCAAAGGTCTGCATCCCGGTCCTTCTGAAAGGATCCTCCCCTGAATCGCGCAATGTCCAGATATGTTTCCAACGGTTCGGTGACCGCGTCAAATACTGGTAAATACGCATTTCACAACGAGCTGGAATCTATGCTGAATGTCACTCAGGCTCACCTTCAACGAACCGTGGTGCATCGCTGTCCATGGATACGGCCGTGGTGTCTTTGCCCCTGGCCGCAGCAGCGATCGCACGCGCAGCGCCGAGGGAGACTCATCCCGCGAGCCATGGATGTACGTTCGAACTCTCCTTCTCGTCTTCTCGCCCTCGTTCCTGTCCATGAGGTTCCCTCACATCTGACCTTCCTCCCAACTTAGTGTCGGGCACAACCTGCTTCTCGCACATGCGCACGCGGTGAAACTGTATCGCGAGGATTTCAAGCCAAGCCAGGGCGGCCAGATTGGCATCACGCTGAACGGAGACTGGACATTGCCCTACGATGATAGTTCGGAGAGTGAGTTGTTCGTATTGTGCTGGCGGGCAGATAGTGTTGCCGGGTCGCACGGGTTGAGCGGACGGGCCGTGTGCGACGTTACTGACGAGTTGCTCGTTGCTGCAGATATCGCGGCCGCACAACAAGCCATGGATGCTGCGATCGGTACGTGTCCTGCGTTGCTTCACTTTTCGGCTTCCATTGACAATTCTCAAATTCGCATATCATCCACGAATCTTGTATCGCTATCAGGCTGGTTCGCCGTAAGTCTCTTCTCCCAACCTCTTCCTCGAGCGCACCCATTGCTGTTTCCCATCTGTCGATACGACATGGGTATCTTCCTCATGGCTGTCGATCATCCGACGTCGGGACGCTAATCTACTCTTCTCCACACAATCTCTCCGCATGTGTCATCTGCACAGGACCCAGTCTATCTCGGGCATTACCCGGAGTATCTCAAGGAGATGCTGGGCGAGCGGCTGCCCGAGCTCACGCCCACGGAGTTGTCCGTCGTGCTCGGGTCGTCGGACTTTTACGGGATGAACACGTACACGACGAATCTCTGCAGTGAGTGCATTATTTGTCTCTTGGTATATTCGTGGACGGGCGGAGAGAAGGGGGGTCATATGGCATGTACTGACTAACGAATTGTATTACGCAGTCGCGGGTGGGGACAATGAGTTCCAGGGGAATGTCAAATATACGTTTACGAGGCCCGATGGAACGCAGCTCGGCACCCAGGGTGGGTTAAGGGTAATATGAATGGTGGTCTTGCTGCTGACAGATTGTCTAGCACACTGTTCATGGCTCCAGGATTGTGAGTGCTACGCAAGCTGTTTATATCTCGATCTCATGTTCTTGCCTGGCGTCCGCACAGATCCGCAAGGTTTCCGCCAATTGCTGTCCTACATCTGGAACGTAGGTGTGTTTTAGCTTACATCTCATACCCTAATTTAACGTGTCTCGCAGCGCTACCGAACGCCCATCTAGTGCGTATCACTTCCGGGTTGTACAAGTTGCAGCCTCTGACTGATCCCTGCAGCTGCACGGAGAATGGATTTGCCGTGAAGGATGAGAACACCAAACCGGTTGAGGAGGCGCTCTCGGATCATGATCGAGTGCAGTACTTCCGTGGAACGACAGCATCGCTGTTGGCTGCCGCTATAGAGGACGGCGTTGATGTCCGAGGATATTTTGCGTGGAGTAGGTGTTCGGTGCAATCTCAAAAGGTCATCTGCTTAATCTGACTTTATTCATAGGTCTTTTAGACAACTTTGAATGGTGACTCGACCATGGAAATGACCCGTGCAGTGCTGATGCTTGAATAGGGCGGACGGGTACCTGACGCGCTTCGGTGTCACTTATGTTGACTATGAGACACAGAATCGCTATCCCAAGGACTCGGCACGCTTTATATGCCAGGTAAATTCTTATATATAAACTTGTTTCTTCTAAAACGCTAACCGTATTTCTCAGTGGTTCAAGGAGAATATCGAGAAGGATGGTCCTACAGAAGTTGAGGGTATACCTGTTGCTGCGAGCGGCCTCCGCGCCGCTGATGCGCATCTCGTGCACGCCGTGATGGCTTGATGGTCAATGGCCACCGTTGATGAACCCCGTTCTTGGAATGTGCTGATATCGACGGTCAATGAGAACTCCCCTCCTCTTCCCTATCTCCGTATATGCACCCTGTAAATTATATCGCCGAACATCGCTGTTATTTACGCTGTAACCGCGTTGACCGAAGTCCGCCGCACCTATCACCGACGAGGAGGGCCAGGGACAAGGCGGCTAGCGTGGTGACCAGTAGGAGTGCGTGCAGAGGGGTGATCGGGGTCAAAGTGCCGTAGAGGTCCTCTGGCTTGTATAATCGAACGCCTTAGTAGCTCACGCCGAGCACTCCCGACTTCGTACCATGTCTAGCTTTGCGAACGATCCGGGCCACGCCGATAATGCCACCCCTCCTGATTCTGCCGCAACCGACTCTGTCCTCCAGCATCACCTCGAGGGCAGCACGAACGGCGAACACGAAAGCGACGGCCCCGGGAAAAAGAAAAAGGGCCCAAAACGCCGAAAGGTCAATCATGCCTGCCTCTACTGTCGTCGCAGCCATATGACCTGTGATGAAGGCCGCCCATGTCAACGTTGGTGAGTTAACCAGCCCATGCTATGCTGGTGGAGGCACGGGTCCAGGTACTTAGCCGCCGCCTACCCGCCTGCAGCATCAAACGCGAGATAGGGCACCTTTGTCACGACGAACGGCGCTCCTCCACTAAGGACAAAACCCCCACTGCGAGCAGCGCGATACAGAACCCCCCGGTCGAGGTCGCAAGAGCGTTACCTGGCAAGCTGCTTTTGTTCCAAGCCATCGCGATGAGCGCTTGACAATCTTTGCCCAATCATGATATTCTCAGGGACGTCGCAGTACGGCTCGTCGACGATGCCCCCGACACTGAACCCGGCCTGGCCCGGACTGGGCATGAGCATGGCGCAGGGCGCGTTCCTGTATCAACCAGAGGCCCTCAACGAGTTCTCTGTTCTCTCGTACGTCATCACTATCGTCACACCACTCGCGGGGACTGAAATGTGCCTCGCATAGCGACTTCCTCGAATCGCTAGACGAGAGTTCATTTTTCAATCAACCTACTGCTGTCGCGCCCAGTCTGATGTCCCCGACTCCCTACACGAGTTCAGTATCGCTGGGTGTAGACAACCCATACATCCCCTCTTCGCAGCCGTCTGGCTCTACCGATGCTGCTCCTCCTGCGCCAGAGAAACCACCAGAGGAGCCAGCCCCTGTCGTCCTCCCCGCGGCCACGAAGACGGAGAAGTTCTTCCTCACGGCTGCTGACCAGGCCTCCGGCTCCCGTAACGAACGTCTCAACATGGTCATCCGGAGTAAATACGAAGCAGGCCTGTTAAAGCCCTATAATTACGTCAAGGGCTACGCGCGTTTATCCCGCTGGATGGACAGGAAGTGCGTTACCTATCAATGAGTTAGTGATTCCTAGCTGATCACTGGTTGGCCAGTGTCTCGCTTGAATCGAAACAAAAAATTCTGCAGCCACTGTCGGTCCTCCGGCCGAAATTCAGAGTGAGATTCCGGCTTCGGTCATTTTCCTGCTCTAACCTTGCTGGTATAGGCGATCGCTCAATCGGAATCTTTGACAGATATTGTAGGCATATATGTTGATGAGGCGTGTCATTATATTCGAAGCTGACGACCTGTATAGGATCTCGTGTTCATCGAGGAAGCATTTGAGCGACTATTGCTAGACTATGACAGAGTCTTCTCTGCGATGGCTATCCCGGCTTGCTTGTGGCGCCGCACAGGGGAAATCTACAAGGCCAATCGAGAATTTGCCGAGCTGGTCGGTGTAGATGGGTTCATGCTGCGTGACGTGAGTTCTGTTGTCGTTTGGTTTGAGAGTGGCGCTTGAAGGATGCTTATGCAGGGTCGCTTGTGCATATATGAACTTATGGCTGAGGACTCCGCCGTTAATTACTGGGAGGTGCGCGTCAGCATCGTTACTTACGCTGCCAGACTCTCACGTTTGCGTCTACGATTATTCAGAAATATGGCAACGTAGCATTCGACTCGAATCAGAAAGCTGTTCTCACTTCCTGCGTTCTTCGTTATAAGCCGCTCCTGCCTTCCTCTGGATCATCGACTCCTGCAAAGGGCAAAAACAAGCAGACACTCCCGAACGAAGAAGGATTTATCAGCTGTTGCTTCTCATTTACCATTCGCAGGGATCCTTATGGTATCCCCACTTTAATCGTGGGCAACTTCATCAAGTGCTAGCCTCAAGCTTTCTCTGTTGTGTTTCTTTTTGATTAGATGTGTTGGAGGTGGCTGTAACGCTGTCGTTGATGACGGCGCACACTTGTGTCAGACTATGCGATAGGGCTAGCTCTCCGTATGTATTGTAAAGTAGTGCACAGTATTATCAGGCCCGTTAAGTGCATGTTGCGTCCTTCGTTCGTTGAGCGAGACATTCTTAGTGATTCTCCCCAAGGATCTTTCGAGTACGTTGTGGCGCACCGCTTCGATCAGCCGAACCATCACGAAAGATGGCCAACACATAACCTGCCCCTCGTTTCATCTCACTTCTCGCTGCATTCACTTCTGTCATCGACATCCTGTGTTGATAGGGTCAACACCGCATTGAAAGCGCTGCTAGCACGGCGGCAATCACATCCTAGCTGCGGGGATCCGACAAACAGTCGTTGCCTCTAAACGGATGCCTGGCGCCCTGAAGTGAAGCTATCTCCCTTTCACGGCCGAGAGCCAGTAGCGCATGCAGTACCGTTCGACGACATCCTTAGCAGCGGGCAGTTTCGAGGTCAAACAAACGGAAGTGCCTTCGCCTCCTGCACGCGGGCGTACACAGGCCGCTGCTGATGCCGAGAGCAATTCAAGTCAGGAATCCCTTTTCCTCGATACGCGCTCAGTCCTGATAACTGTATAGGCATTGGGGGTTCTATCCTGCGCAAGCTGCAAGGAGTGAAGGACGCATCTGCTCAGATTGCCCGTGCGCGCAGCTTCAAGCGCTATCGTTCTGCGTCCAGAGGCCCAAGTACGGCGGATGGACCTTGGGCGATGGCGCCGGAGACCTCTCTGTCGGGATTGTCCGTTGGCGGAGGCAGGGATTCAGAACAGTGGGCTTCCGAGGTGCGTTCGGTGCGGCCGTCGGTATTCCATAGCAACAGCGAGCCTGTGTGGCCTGTGGCTATTGAAGACAGAACACCTGCAGCACCCCAGCTCGTGCCTGCAATGAGCGCGTCACCCGAACCGGACCCGACTGTTCTTACCGTTGAGCAGCGATGTGCTTCGTCCACCGCAGAACAGCCTACGAAGGAAGAGCCCGCTTCGCCAGTGGCGCAGGACTCGTCCATGCTGGACGTTGTGGTGCCGCAATTGTTGCAACAGGGCGTGCCGATGCTCAAAGTCTCGGCGAAGAAGCAGAAACGGTACATCTTCAAGCTCGATCCGGACCAGGGCCAGATCGTTTGGGAATCAAAGAAACACAGGATCAGTACGTGGCGAGCTTCTTGTGCGGATCGGATAGCTTGTGCTGATGCGCGATATTACGCAGTCCCTATTGAGAACATAAAGGAGCTTCGAGAAGGCGCCGACGCGCGCTACTATCGCGAGCAGTTTCAGCTATCGCCGTCGTTCGAGGACCGGTGGCTCACGATTGTCTACGTGCTCGATGGGAGGTACAAGACGCTGCATTTAATTGCAGGCACGCGTGACGTCTTTCAAATGTGGGACATCACCCTGCGCCGGCTCTATGCCATCAGGCAGAAATTGATGAGCGGCCTCGGCCACGCCGACATTCGTCAGGCTGTCTGGGAGAAGCAGTTTTGGCGCAGTGCAGCTGGCGAGGTTGCTGAAGGTGCAGACAATAAACTTGACTTTGAGGAAGTCGAGCGCATGTGCAGGCGACTGAATATCAGCCCATCGAGAGAGGACTTGATGATACGCTTCAAGGTATACACTTGTTGTCTCATGTGCGACATGTGTATGTTGACTACGATACGGGGAATAGCAAGCCGACACCCACAACAGAGGATATCTTGATTTTTCCGACTTTCAGCGCTTCGTGAAGGCACTGAAGGCGCGTCCAGAGGTCGATAGTCTCTACTGGAGGCTAGCATCGGACGGTGGAGGTGCGATCACCTTCGAAGCCTTCGAGCGATTCATGCGTACCTCGCAGAAGGTGGGTTCTTACCGATGCAGCTTTCCTCGAACCAGAGTTATCAACTGCGCACATTTTAGTTTGATCAAAGCGAGGCGGAGCTACAACGCATATTCCTCCGTTACGCCTCGTCTTCATTTACAGTAGGATATTCTTCCGCACCTTCATCTCCGCAGCAGGATATACTCGATCTTGGCGTGCAGTCTTCGTCTCAGACAGAGATCAACGCACTTTCGACGACATCACCAGAAGCCGACGGATATTCGCCTCCCTCCTCGATCGCCCCTACATATTCTACCAGCTCGACATCTTTCTTGACCGTCGAGACTGCCGCGATGACTCTCAAGGGCTTCACCACCTTCCTGCTGTCTACTGACAACTCGGCATTTGTGGACCAACACGGGAAGATCTATCACGACATGACGCGCCCCCTACCTGAGTACTATGTCTCGTCCTCTCACAACACGTATTTAGTAGGGCATCAACTTGTCGGAGAGAGCACCATCGAGGGCTACATTCGAGCACTCTTGCACAGCTGTAGGAGCGTTGAACGTCAGTACTGAATTGCCGGGTGCAAATATCCGCAGGCACTGATTGACTCATCATTGTAGTTGATATCTATGACGGAGACGTCGAACCAGTGATCTATCACGGCAGGACGCTTACCACTAAGGTTGCTCTACGCGATACGTGTGCTGCTATTAACAAGTATGCGTTCGTCTCGTCTCCCTACCCGATCGTCATCTCCGCCGAGATACATTGTTCCTTGCACCAGCAAGACATGATCGCCAGCATCATGCGCAAGGAGTTTGGGGATGCACTCATTAATGCTCCTATTGACGGACGACCGCGGGTTGATGTGCTGCCGAGCCCAGAAGACCTGAAGGGTCGGGTGCTGCTCAAGGTGCGCTCGGAATGAATTTTACCATTCACTTTCCTTGACACGTTGGTTTCCGTTTGCACAGGCGAAGAATCTGTATGTCTCCGAAAGCGACGCGTTGCAAGAGAAAGAGGTGGTCGTGGATACCGAATCCTCATCTACAGACACCTCTGCTTCCGACATGGACCCAGGGGATGAACTCAAGCAAGGACGGCGAACGGCACGAGAGAATGAGGCGGACGTCATCAAAGGTGCTTTGCTCACGCATACTGCCATCTTGCACTGAAGATAGAGATCTGACTCGCCTACACAGACCTGAAGTCCGAGTTCCGCAAGGCGCGCAACGTCCTAGGCCGCGTGCGGTCACCTCGCCGGGAACTGACTCGAGCGCTGTCTCTCTCGCCACAGGGTGATGTCCTCGACATGTCCATGCCCCGCCAGCCGGCGCAGAAGGTGAAGATGTCATTCGCGCTCGTTGCATTGCTGGTGTACACCGTCGGCGTGAAGTGTCGCGGGCTGAATAAGAAGGAGATCTACGCGCCGGAGCACATGTTCTCGCTGTCAGAGAAGACGGCGAACCGGATGATGCGCCAGGGCATGATGGACCTGATCAAACACAACCGCACGCATCTTGTGAGGATCTATCCTAAGGGCACGCGGATTGGCTCGACGAACTTTGAGCCGCATCGGTACTGGTCTGCTGGTGCGCAGTTGGTAGCGATCAACTGGCAGACTTTTGGTGTGTTGGCCAGCTGCTGAGCAGTTTCTTGCGTGCATGACTGATGCTTAACCTGGTAGATTTGGGATATATGATCAATCGTGCGATGTTCCAGCGCAACGGTCGTGCGGGATACGTGTTGAAACCTCTGGCCTTGCGAAATGCGGACAAGCAACTACTGAGCAAGCGAACGAACTATTCTCTTGAAGTCACGGTGCGTGCCAGAATCGAGCTCGTTGAAGCAATATTGACGCAGCTTACTTCGTTCAGATCATTTCTGCACAACAGCTCCCGCGACAGAAAGACAGTTTGGGTCGGGAGATCGTGGACCGGTCCACCCTCGATCCGTTTGTGGAGGTATCAGTGCACGTCCCCGACTGGACACACGCCCCCTATCAGTCTCAAGGCTCTGCTGCCTCTCGGCCCCAATCTCCCTCGCGCGACGTGCCGTCTTCCGCATCTGCGAGCACCTCGCAGCCTGCAGCGATCTCCGCACGGACGGTCACCTGCCGCACAGGCGTGATCAGGAACAACGGGTTCAATCCTGTCTGGGAGCAGCACCTCAGTCTGCCGTTCGACCTCGTTGGCGATATGCGCGATTTGGTATTCGTACGGTTTGCGGTGATGCATGATGGTGCGCTAGAGGACGAGCCACTTGCGGTGTATTGCGCCAGCTTGGGGAGCCTCAATATGGGTGCGACACTTCTCGTGATCAATTTCCTTCAGGATTTAACCATGGTTGTTTTTCAGGATATCGCCACCTTCCGCTTCACGATGCCCAGCTGTCGCAATATCTGTTCTCTACGCTCTTCGTCAGACTTGAGATCCGCGATCGTTGATCTCGACTGATGGCAGAGTGACTTGGTTTCTCGCTTCTGCATCTGTACCTTCGCATTATCCTATCCTCGCGATTTTTAACATCTTCACTAATTATATTCCACATCCATGTATCATCTGGCTTTGGATTCGCCGACTCATTCCACTGCTCTCCTCACTAACACATTTGACGTTATCTCTCATCTCCATCCTCAATTCACTTTCGCATCTCACACGCAATCATCTGCAGATATAAACATACATACATCAAGTGCTCCCTTCATATCATGTATCAGACCCTAAACTCCATCACTTAAGCATATAAGCCCAAGGAAACAGCATAACGAACAACGTGTACATCGCTCCAGATGGTATAGTGCAATTTATACAGGCGGCCAAGCGGTATACAGTGACGATATGACGAGTGTGGTAGCAAGAGAGGAAATCAAGAAGAGCGATCGATGGTGATAGCACGCATAGAGAGTATAGAAGGTGATCAGATCGACAGGCGTCATACATAGTGGACTATCTCATGAACAAGCCGTCACTTCGGAGGGGGAGACGGAGGTCCTGCGTTCACGGAACCAATGAGAGCAATTGCCTACCAGTGCGAGGGGGACGTACCAAAGAGCCCCATACGAGGTGGTGCAGCATGCTCCGGCAGTGGAGAAGCAGAGGTACCAACCATCGGCTGTGGTGACAATAAGGCATTTGCTAAGATCCAGTGGCAAAGCGGTATTAGAATATTAGCAGACAATCAGTAGTCAGTCACACACGCTTCCACTGCGCCCATGCAGGTAGATTCGGAGTCGGAGGTGCAGGTGCGGGCGGTGGCGCGGACGGAGGCGGACCCAGGGCTTTTGCCTTGGCCTTCTGGCGGCGTTCCTGTCGCACATTTACTACACGCCATGCCGGACGGGCAGGACCGTCACCAAGAACACTTGAAGGCGGCGGCGGTGCAGGGGAGGGCATACGAGGAGGCTCTTCAGGTGAGGGCTATAGATGAAATGGCGGGATTAGCGGGATGAGACGCGATCGAGCTCAGGACACTCACCGCTGGTCTCCAATCGGCAGTATACTCCCCACCCGCGCCATGCTTTGACTTGACACTCATAAGCTCAGCTATTTCACTGATGGACACGATGTGGGATCGATTTTCGTGGAATGAGCTGAGATTAGCGTGAGTGTAAAGAGGATCGGATGAACGCACTATTGCAACGCCCTTCGCTCATCACGCAACTTGCCTACTTCCGCCAGGAGTATGCGCACTTCATTGGCCAACGCCTTGCTGAAGTCATTCAGATACCTACAATCCGACACGAGGGAGGCGGGGCGCTGTGAGCTGATCCACGCTCGACAAGAATGCCTCTCAAGCGCACTTGGGCGTGGCAGCGGGATTGCCCTTTGATGATGACATTCTCAAAGATATCGGATATGCAAGTCTGTAAGGGGAGAGTTGGGGTCTGAACAGTGCAATCCTGAGTCTGAGTCAAAACAAGAGAGTTACAGCGTGAGCGGAATAGGGTCGGAGGCAACACGAGGCGCTCTCAGACTCCATGTTCCGGATGGAGGGTGCCATCTCGTTCAATGGCTCAGCTGCCAGTGCCGAAAATCGTTCGTCTTGCCACCTAAATCCAGGCGAATTACAACAACCAGCCTGAAAAAGACAAAGTTGACACCAAGCAAAATAAAATGCTGCCCCAGTGAGGCTCGAACTCACGACCTTCCGATTTAAGAAATTACCGATTGAATAATAACAGTCGGACGCTGTAACCAACTCAGCCATGGGGCACTAATCACTTTACACATAGCAAATAGTAATATTATATCCACAATTATCAACAAATCAATAATATTCCACCCCTCATGGGGGGACAAAAGTATATCTCCAAGGGAGACGAGCTCGAATGGATAAATAATACATCACTGGCTACAGCCTAGCGGATTATTTGATTGACTTCCTAAGAGTACAGTCTAGGATACTAACGAGTAAGTTAGTCAATAAAAAAGTCGATGTCCAGTCCATTCCTACTGCTTTGCAGAGGTGTCAGACGCTTCCTGCTTCTCGGCCAATTTCTCGAGAGTCAAACTCCATTCAACGACTCTCGGATGCGCCTTGACCTAATCGCTCAATTTAGCAGCCATCTGGGAGGTACTTCACACTGCTCATTACCTTCTTCGGATCAAAGCCGACAACCTGCAGACCATCAAGAGAGGCAGCACGGGAGAGAGCGACATAACTTTGGCCTGCGAACACAAAGGAAGCGTCAGTATGTGCTGCAAGCGAGGGGGAATTGACCCTCACCTTTCTCGAAGACGCGGCCCAGGTCTATCTTAACACGCTGAATGGTCTGCCCTTGGCTCTTGTGTATCGACATCGCCCAGGCGAGAATCAAGGGGACCTAGAAGGTGGTTGATAAACCGTCCTCATCTCACTCCGACCATTCAGAAAACGGTCATACCTGCACACGTCGGGCAAGCAGCTTGCCCTCATTGTTCTCGACTCGGAACTCTTCTCTTCCGATGAGGACGATCTCTGTTCCATGGGCGGTGCGGAACTCTACGAGGGGGAATAGCTCTTCGTCTTTTGCTACGCTCTTGTTCTTGATACCCCCATTACTGGGAGACGCAGCTGACGCAGGCTTCGCCGATGTATTGCCCTTTACCTCATGGCTCACAGGTGGGGCCGCGAGGTTTTCTTTGTTTTCCACCTTAGGCTCAACACAAAGTCCCACCGGCGTTCTCCCGTCAGGTCCCACCTGCACATTCCGTACGAATCCACCGCCCTTTGTGTTGCTGGTGAGCGACTCCTGCGACGACGACCTCGGCTTCTTCCCCGTGCTCGCACCCAGGACACCATCCATGCCCACAGACGCACCGCACGCCGCCGTCGAGAAGAACCCGAGCACGCGCCCGACGCAGCCATTCACGAGGCGCTCATCGACGTTCTTGATGAGCATCACCTGCGCATCCGACTTGAGCACAAGCTCAACCGGGGCGACCATTTGTTCCAGCATCCGCGGGTTGCTACCCGAGTCTCGCGCAGCATATTTGCGCATGGGCCCGGACAGCCGCGCAAGGCGCCCATTGTTGGCGCTGTCGACCTGCGCACGGAGCGGGTACAGTTCAGTGGGCAGGAGGCCGGTGGGTGTGGGCGGGAGGGGACGAGAGAGGGAGGAGAAGGTGCGCTGGGCGGAGGGCGAGATCGTGCCGCGGCGAAGCTCATTCAGGAGGGAGACAAATTCTGGAGGGTGTCAGCTAAGGCGGAGGTCGTGAGGATGCAAGCAACTCACGATTGTCTGTTTGTCGGTAGACCTTGGTGAGCATGACGGTCTGCTCAATGCATCGTTTCCACGCCTCGCACTCAAAGGCAAAAAATGGTTCTGCACCAGACTTTGTCACAGGCGGGAGTTGGAAGAAGTCGCCCGTAATCACGAGCTGTGGGTGTCAGACATTAGGTAACGGATGCATGAGTAAACATCAGAATCTTACCTGGATGCCACCAAACGGCCGGTCCGTTTTCTTGTGCAGTCTGTCTGCAAGAGTCGCCAACAGCTCAAACAGCTGGCCATCAACCATGGAGACTGGGAATGAGTTAGCATCTGGTTTAGGAGCGGCGTCCGATTATTCAAATGAACTACCTTCGTCAATGATGAGCACCTTCGTTGTTTTCCAACGCTGATGAGCCGGTCTGCATGTCTTGATGCAGCTTATTTGCCTTTCGATGTTGGTCATACTGGGTGTGACCGCTCCCCAAGAGTGAATGGTCATACCTGCAGGAACATGATTAACGATTGAACGTGAATGCCGAACGGTGATTGCAAGAAGCAAAGACAGAGAAGTAGCCCCACCGACGGCGTCTCGCAATCATGTATGAAAGTTTTCGCATATTGTGAAGATGTGAGCAGGATGGCATACGAAGACACTACCCGTTTGAGTTTCAAGATATCTGAACGTCTATGAAAGTGGCCCGAGGTCTTCCATCTGAAATCATCGGATGTGAAAGCATTCGCTGTCCATGGGATAACACAACTTGGACATGAGAAATGGAAAGACCCTCAAGCAACATACCTCCTATATTCGACGCGGCCATCCCTGTGCTCGCCGTTACGGAGATAACCTCTGGCTTCTTCGCATGTTTCTTTCGGAGCGCCGCAATTATTGCACGTAATAGCAGGGACTTTCCTGTACCTGTAGTAATGATATATCATACGTGGCAGCCGGACAGCCACAGAAGCCACGCACCAGCGGCTCCAGTGAAGAACACATTCTTCCCCTCATCTACCACCATCCTCATAACGACCCTCTGCTCATCGTTCAAAGCTACTGAACCCCGATTTCCACGGTCATCCTTCGGGCTGCCAGAAACGGGTACTTGGGGCGAGAAGAATGCATCGAGCGTGGTGCGAGGTCGCTTTGCGTCTTTGACTCGGTCGTCTGATGCGCTCCCGGTGGACTTGCGTTTATTGCTATTGGTCGTCGCTGCAATGGAGAGCGTAGTGGCGCGAGCCATATGTCTCGCTTTGGGAAGAGGCTTCGTATGGAAGCGCTTCCGCACGCGGTCTCGCGTCGCGTTTTTAAACTGTCGCGTTTGTCACGTGTCCGTTGTGGCTGCGGACGTCCGTCTGTATTGAGCTTTTATACGAAATCCTCAGCGTACTTGGCTCCTACAGGCGGAACTGGCATGCTGAGAAAGATATTATGGACTCGGGTGGCAAAGCATCATGATTCATCTCCGTTGTAGGGTAGCTGTGAATCCTTAACGGGTTGAAACGCGGTCACGGTATTCGAAGTGTTCTGGGTCCATGTGCGGACCCAGAACACTCCGTTCCGACGTCACACGGAATATGCGAATCCGAGCCGCCCGTTCTCTGTTATTTCCACACGGCACAGCAAGTGTACTGTTCTATGCTCTGCGGCCTCAACAGCTGACATAAACTGCCTGCAGCCTGTCTTTGATCATCATCTCACCATGTCGAGCGAACCGACGGCGAAGCCCACGTCCAGTGAGAATATCATCGCCCAGAAGGTGCGTATTTGTCCCAGTCGGAGTCGTGCGACAAAACTGAAGCAACATTTATCCATACACTACAGTACGATCGTTGCTGTACGTCTCTTCAAGCTGAGGACATGGATATGCGCTGATTTTAGATCTGTGCTGCGTCATGCGACATCGTGCGATGGACGAGCAGTGGCGGATCTCCTCGTAAAATCGTGCGTCTCCGAGCGCTTGCCATCTGTTGATCCTTCTCTAACTGACGCAACATGTACCCTTCTTTTATCGTACTCTTTTCTCTGCACACGCGCACATTGTCGGACCACAGAGGTGTCGGCTTCAGCGCTGGAGTTATCGCATCCGTGATCCTCTTCCGCCGTGAGTATATCTTCCACTAATCTATTCACAGAGCTATGAGCTAACTATCCCAAAGGGCGCGCATGGCCTATTGCCCTCGGCACTGGCTTCGGTGCCGGTGCTGCTTACGCGGACTGCGACCGTTCCTTTAACCCTGCACGGATACCGGGAACGCGAGTCATCACGGCAGAAGAGCTGGCAGCGCTCGCAGCAGGACAAGCGAAGTAGGTGGGCGGTTGCAGAAGGATACTTAGGTGGTAAATGGAAGGACGTAACCATTGAGTGACGGGCCAACGAGGATGCGTAGGGTCTGCTTAGGGTTCGTAATAGATATCATTCGCGTCTGTCAGGCTGATCCACGTCGCCCATCGACCGATGATGAGCATGCTTTGGTCATAAGTCGTCTGCCTCTTCCTCCCTCCCACCCGTGCTGCCAACCGCGGCACCTCCTGGATGCATCATCTCAGGAGGCTTGAGTTCAAGGATGCGAGCATTCATTTTCTTCGCGGTCTCAGCGGGGTCCTCGCCAGGCTCAAAGCGAGGTACCGTACGCTGCGGTGCTCCGAGTACGAGACGTTTGTAAAGAACGACTTCACAAGCAAGGTGCCATGGTTTCGAAGGTCCTATCAGCGCTTGTATGTCATGCCAGGGAACGGACTAGTACATACAGGACGTCGCTACAATGACCGGCAGGGTTACCATGATAGTACGCACGCGTCGTGCTTGCGGTGAGAGTGGAGGCGACATGTCGACACTTCTATATCTCAAGAAGCTGTGATGTTAAGTGGTCAACCCAGCGATAGCGGAAGCTCCTGGCTCGCGAGAGATCACTTTTAAGTTCAGTCAAAGGATGCAGCTGACGCAGTTCAGATGAAGCAGGTTTTGCGTCTCGTGTCCACAACCACGAAGGCCGCGAATTCGGGGCAAGGAACGTTCTGGTGAAACACTCGACGAAGGTGTCGAGAACTCGACGCAATTAAAGCGCCCGTTCGCCACGTGGTTTCTGACAAGCTAATCCTATTGGCCGCTGCTAGCGACTAATCAATTTACATCTTCTCTTTTCTACCATGTAGTAAGGAAAGCTCTGCTCCTGACTCCATCCATGAGACAAACTCATGTTTACTTCTAGTGTCAGGTTTGTCCACTCGTGTATGCCCTTACTAAGTTCAGAGAATGTCACACCTGAAATGCGTGCGTGACGGTATGTTCATTACATTCCGGTGAAAGTGCATGTAAATGTACGATGTTACTGAATGAGAGGGTAGAAGGCTACAACATACTACGTATGTGTTCATTTTGTCCGTTCTCTCCGTCTTCCGGCTCATATTGTTACAATTAGCATTGAATGAGACGGTATGTCATTCGAGCCTGTCACGGCAAGTGCTCACGTCTCGAAAGTATATGCCAATACCGGCATTTGTGCTATTCAGATGCCGGTCTAGAATGCAAAGTTGACTCCGCCGTGTATTCGGATGGCCGCGAAAACATAGTACAATGATAAAGCTTAACCTCCTCTCGGGAATCACCTTCGACAATCGCGTGATCACTCAGCAGCTTGCATGAATGTTAGATTCACAGGTATGCTTTTCACTCCTTGCCTTATGCTGCCACTGTGAGATTCATTGTATCTTGAGATGCATCACCTCCACAAGCCCAAGGCCAAACATGCAGAGTGGCATTTTCTTGGCGGTTTCATTAGTACGCATGCAGAACGCCAGATAGCACACGGTCTCCTGCTATTTTCCAAGCAAACCGCGCATGTAAAACATGGCATAAAGAAGCGACACATGCTTGTGTCACAACGTTGGATGCTCCTGCGCAGATCGAGCAGACACAGGAAGTCGCCACTAAGATCAAACTAGTCGCCATCACAAAGCAAACATGGCATTATAGCACATTCTTCTATGAAGTCCTGTCGACACGCACTCTTGGGATGGTGCCGGTAATATCTGAGCCACTCCGGTGAGTGGCGGCGACCCGGAAGGGGTGACAGTGCCGCGCTTTGCCCACAAAACATCAAGCGGATCATGGGAGGAGAAAATAATGAGTAAATCGGTTGAAATGCAAACTTTGCTGCTCGAAATATGAAAAACGAGAACGCAGAATAGGACAGCAAGCAATGTGAGAACGATGGAACGGACAAAGGATGGCGGCGAGGACGAAGTATGCGACGCGCACACGTGATCAACGTGAAGGCAGCCACGTGTTGCACGTCCATTGTTTCACCCAATCGGGAACGCCAATCGCGCGTCGATCTCCGCGCCACACTTGCCACCGAAACTCGTGTTTCGCTGTCTCACATCCTTTGTCCGCTACTTTCACTGAGCCTTTCGACTCATCTCAACTTTGTGCCGCTCATCACTCGCATCGTTTAGGCGACTCTTCACCGATTAGCCCTGCGTGCCGTCGAACACGTTGCCGACATCTCGAGTCAATCGCCTACATTTTGGTCACGGTCAAACCAGATCGCATATTGCATACGCCTCGTGTTGAAACCGTGCAGGTGGTATATAGAGGTCTCTCAGAGCTGGTAAGCCTTCCAACAATTCGACCATGTCTTCTCGAGCGAGCTCTGTTGACGATATCCTTCGTTCAGAAAGTGACAACCATCCGTTCTCCAGGTCTCACTCTCAGAGCGTTGGCCCACAGTCTCCTCCACCAGCCTCAGATTTTGACGCTGACGATACCGATACCGTCGATATCGGTGACGACGCGTCTTCCTCTGCCAACGGTGAGCTTTTTCTCTCTCTGTGATGAGGTCCACATCTTAAGATAGAACCGCATTAGAATCTTTGCACTTCCAAGAGACTCAGCCAAGTGTTTCAGACGTCACTCGCGACATCTCTGCACCCTCAACTGCGACTGAGCTCACCGAGGACACAGCAGTCACCGGTCCATCTCTCGTTAGTCAAGGTCCACCGAAGACTCCTCCGCAGGCCGCCGTCCCACTTGGGTCTCAGCTACCTACCACTCCCCGCGTCCACAAGGCATCCAGTGCGCAAGTCCATTCTATTACCCCAACGACCGGAGTAGTCAACCTGCAGAAGTATCGCATGGATCTCTGTGAAGAAGTTGACCCTTTTCTGGGCATTATCGACGATGAGAAGTGGTTGTCGACCTATTCAAGCAAGGTAGATCCATCATCGGCGGTGCGTGCGGAGTTTCCGGAGTTCAGCAACAGCAAGTTCAATGTGACGGAAGAGAATAAGATGCATGCAGAATTTGTGAGTATTTCGCCGTCACCGTGAGCGATCTTGAGAATGGCTTCTGACGATAGATCAATGTAGACACGCGTCGCACAGGAGATACTCGACGCCGGTAGTGCTGCAGGTGGAAGAAAGAACAGTGTGCGTACGCTAGTCGTCAAAGATACCGGAAATCACCCGGATATCGAAGAGAGGAAGAAGCCTGATCTGACGTTCTATCCCAACACACCGGAAGCACGCAAGGCATATGAATTGAGTGAAGATGAGCGGCGCGACGCGAAGGTGACTCCGGAGGAACGCCGTCAGTACTTGGGCAGAGCGGCTTGGCCTCACGCTTGCGTGTTCGTCGAGTTCAAGGCGGCTGACCACAAGAATCCATTCGAGAAGCGGAAGGACGAATTTATGCCTCGGGACACTGACGATGCGAGGAATGCGAGAGGACAGATGTACGAGTACGCGACGGCAATCATGAATGCGCAACCTCGCACGCATGTGTTCTTCATCAACATTTGGAGGACTCAGGCGACTCTGTTCTATGCTGATCACTCGCAGTTTGTTTGCACGAAGCCCTTCACTTTCACCGGCAAGCCGAGCGCTCTGTCGACGTTCCTCTATCACCTCGGACAGATGAACCCGGAGGAACTTGGCTACGATTCTTCCGTCACACTTGCCACCGTCGAAGAGCTCGCTGCAGTGAAAGACGTTGAAGATCAAATGACGCCGTACCACCAGAAGTGTGTCGCGAGTGCATTCTTCTCCGAGTCAGGGTGGCCTGTCTACAAAGTGATCATGCCGGCAGAGCAGGCCGGTTTCAAACAACCACGGGAAGACGGCGATTTTCTCATCGGACGGCCGTTGTACAAGATCTATTCACCTACCGGCCGGGCTACGAAAGTGTACGCAGCTTACAATATGAAGACCGAGAGGATGGGCACTGTAAAAGACTGTTGGCCGGAGGAATGGGAGGAGGGTGAGCACACCAAGTACGAGTGTATTCAGGAGGCCAAGGTACGGTACACTGCAACGTGCCTGTATGGTGGCTATGTAGGCGAGCAGAAGACGAAGACATGCGACGACCTGAAGCACAGGCGTCCCGTCCGGAGACATTACCGCATCGTACTCAAGGAGCTTGGTCGACCCCTGGATAGCTACACCAGTTCAGGTGAGCTAATTGTTGCGGGCTTCTGCGTGTTAAAAGGTGAGATGCAAGTCGCATTATCTAATCCATTATGTTCTGATCTTGTGATGGCAGCACACCAAGACGCGTGGAAGAAGTGCGGCTTGCTACAACGGGACATGAGTCCTTACAATATGGTCTTCGATGAGGTCGATCCCCGAGACCTTCCTGAGGGCGAACAACTTCCATCAATCAGTGCTCTTTTGATTGATTGGCATCTTGCTAAGTTCAAAGACGAACTCAAAGATGGCGCCAAGCGAGTGGGGCGGTCGGCAAGTCTTTTGTTGTCTCCCTACTGCCCATTGTCTCACGTTGTGATTGGTCGTCCAGGGCACATGGCAATTTATCTCCGCACGACTGCTCCGAAATCCGACTGTGCAAAACGAAGTTGCGGATGATCTCGAGTCTGTCATTCTTATCATGGAATGGATGGCACTGAGGTTCCACCGGCACTCCCTATCACATCGTCAGGAGCGCCTGAAGGTCCATGTCCAGCAATTCTTTGAATGGCGTGAAAAGGACGATGAGACTTGTCGTGATATCGGCGGCGATGATAAATACCAACAGTGGATATCCGGTAGCAGGAGCTGGCAACCGAAAGGCACAATGGATGTGTTCGCCAGATTACTTGACTCTCTTTTGAAGCTCGCACATGATCACTACAGGGCACTCGAGGCTGGTGCATCCCAGCCACCTTCATCAGCCGAACCAACCTTCGAGTCGCATTTCACTGGGACGGTACCGGACGATTCCGAATCGGATTCTGAGGATGAGAGCCTTCCTGAGCCAGGTCCATCTACTGTGAAGACAACTGACCTGGGGGCCTTGTCTCTCGCCACGCACGGCAAGATTGTCGCAACTTTCCGGGAAGCGATGAAAAGCCTATCTTCAGTATTTAAAATTGACAAAATCAGCGACCAGTTCGAAGCTATTGGCATGGCTACAGAGAAGTTCTCTCTGGTGGAGGACACGAAGCAGTCGAGGCAGTTGAAACAGTCGAAGCAGTCGAAGAAGCGAACAACAAGCGGACAGCAGGAGACAGGACTGCTAAGGAGGAGCACTCGTCTTTCGGCTAAGGCGAGCACCGAAGGAGATCAGGCAGAGGGTTCGAGCAAGCCGGTCAAACGCAGGTCAGGCCAGATCGATGGACTGGAGGAGAAGGACGGAGCGAAGCGGCAGGCAACTGGGGTAACTCGGAAAGGCTCGCGCCTCCGCAAATCTGCAGCCTAGAGTTTTGGTCGAGTATGGTAGCGCAAAGGTCTTCCTGACGATCTGTTACGGTTTATACGGTAAGTGGACCACGATCTTATACATGCTTGTATAGTATTGCTACGGTCGAATTTGGAATGGATTATTCTATTGCATATAACTGTTGCGATGACCTTGAACAACATGTTGGTGGGCATGCGGCTTCAGTCAGTATACATTGCGATGAACATGAAAGTACTGGCCTGCGAAAACTTATTGTGCCATATTCTCAGACGATCCCATACTGCAAGCGTACGGCTGACGTGCCATGCATGCATGCGAGTATAACAAAATATTGCTACAGAAAACATCAAGGTAACCAGAGTATTCCGCCCTCGCCTGCCAGATCCCCATCACGTCCACACCCTCGGGTGGGCAGAGAGTTGTCTCGAACCCCGACATAGGTAACAATGCCACCGGTGATGGTCCGTGTGACACGTAGATGCATCTGGGTGCCCGTGTTCGGAATATCAGCCAAGGCATGTTGCAGTGAGATAATTTATACCGTTGTAACGGCAACGGAAGTTCGATCCATCCCGGGTACGTGTAGCGCATATACACCAACACTTCGATCGCATGACCGCACTCCGGTGTATTCACAAGTTCGTCGTTCACTTCGTCTGATCATGGAACAAAGTGAAGGCTCAGCACTGGCGAATCACTGGCGTGAGCTAACCTTTGCACGAACCGACGCTGTCATCGTCTTAGAGGGTACATCTCGCTCGTTCCCTCCCGCAAGTTTCAACCCTGAGAAATTGAGATTGCACTGCAGAAGGCAAAGCACAAGCATTTCAGCATGAGATTACAAGAATCGCAAGTCGGAGCAATGTGATGTTCACAGAATTACGTCGGATGAGGGCCGTTGAAGGTCGCATGCGCTGTGTTCCAAGCGAGAGATGCATCGCGCCCTAGCAGACATGAGCAAGCGGTACAGTCTTGGTTTTCCGTTCGCAACCTCACTGAGACTAATTGTGATGGGGGAAGGGGAGGAGGTATCGAGCATTCGCGTCGTCCACAATGCGCTGAGCCTGGCCATGGTGATTGCGAAACATCGTGTCGCTGCAGCGGAGATACCGGTTCTTAGAGGGTGCATACAGGCAGTGTGCCGAATGCCATGTCTGGGGTCGTAAGTTGAGCGCGTGATTCGAATTGATGGGAACAACTTAATCTGGTTGAGAGAAGGGCGCCCCCCGAGATGGTTGTGTATCCTATATGCAGGAGAGCGGAAGAATCTGGGGACAGAGCGGAAGAATTGATTCGTTGTGACATTGTTGTCTGCCTATGCAGCACAGCGTGTCACGAACTGGTGTATAAGTATTTATTGCCTGCAACATGTCGAAAGCATATTTGCACACTTATCGATGATCGCCACTGAGGATGACTGTCGAGGGTTGGGTTGGTGCATGGAGTCGGACCCGAGCAGTCGGACGACGTCATCGGTACGAATTGCGTTTCGGAGCCGTGGAAGCTTCGGAAATGTAAGGATTGTCAGAGAAAAGCAGCTAAACGCTTCCTCAAGACCGAATGTCAGCGCTCTGCAGCAATCGGTACACAAGCAAACGTTTCACAGCGACGAGAAAACAGCCTGACAAGAGAACCAGAATAAAGGCGGTGAACATTCCGATAAATGCATTATTATGGGCGTATCGTTTTCGTTATCCATGCCGCCGACCATGCAAGACACCTTGAACTTCCACATACCAAATGCCAGCGCAGCCTCGTTTCAATTCAACATGAGAAATGCGACACAGATCATTGACACGCGATCCCAGACGCTCCAGCGGCGGAGTAGACGAAGGTCATCCATGAGCTGGATCAGTTCCCTGGTGCTATGATCGCAGGAGGGGGAAAGTGGTTAGGGCGACGTAGTTCCTGGACATCCCTGGGCAGGATGGGTGGTGGAATAGGAGTGCTACTGCGCCTCGCCCGAAACTCCTGTTTTCCTGAGTCGAGCGATCTGCGAGAACGGATAGTCGCCAGTTGCGTGTATGGCTGGGATGACCTCGCCCGTGCCCGTCACGGAGACGGAGCTCCGGGCGGGCGTGCACAGCGAGGGGGATGAGGGATCAGCGCTTCAGCGCTCAGCTAGGCAATCCGCAGGGCGCTCTGGCTACACTGATCGAACCGGAATTCTATTGATGTTCGAATGATGGCATCCCCGCAAGCCAGCATGCGCACCTTCGTTACAGTCCAAATCGAGGAGGCACGACGGCGACAGATCAGAGGCAGACAAGTCAGCCAGCTGGTTGGGCATGAGCTGGACGTACCGCCAAAGTCTTGAGCACAGACAAAGCGACGAGACAGAGCACGACAGTCAGCAGTCCGAGCACCTCACTTGCATGATCATGGTTCAGTCTCGAGAACAATTCGGATCATAGCTGAGCAGCCGTGTTTGGCGCCGCGGATATAGACATCGTCGCAGGCGCTAGCGAGTCTGGGGAAGGCGATCCAAGCTACAGCGGCATCGATCAGCATCTTAGTGCGCACGTCGAGTGATGCGTCGTGGAGGATGTTCAGGGTCCTCGCATTACAGCGCCGGGCCGCCCGTCGGAAGACGACCCCGTAGCTCTCTCCCCGATCGACTCGGAGCATGTACACGACTTTCGGTTTCCAAACAACCGGTAGCTTCTCCGCAAGGGACAGCTTAGAGACCCAATCGGACGTGGTGAATTGCGGCCGAGGACGTGCTCCGCGAAGTCGGGGCAAGGAACGATCTGGTGAAACACTCGACTCGGAGCAGTTGCAGGAATGAGCAACCGTGTGGCAGCGTGTGGCCGGGAAAAGCTCGATGCAATGAAAGCGCCGGTTTGCCACGTGGTTTCGTAACTGGCAAGCTACAGTCGTGGACAGCCAAACACGACAATTTTAAGAAACATTTCAAAAATGTCCGATATGTATCAGAATCGATCCGGATTGATGAGAGGGTGTCTGTAAATAAATTTGAGGCAAATCTGTCGAACCGTTTGCCCACAAAAGGTGATTTCCGAACCAAAAACCCCCAAAAATTGGCCGAACCCCAAAAAGAGGCCTAAAAATCACGTAAAATGTGCCAATCGACTCCTTTTGAGTTCCTGTACATCATTCCGTTAAAAATTTGCCAAAACTAACGATGGAAATTCAGCAAATAATTACGCAAGTTGCACATCGGGAGTTTTGTCATTTAATCCGGGACAAAAGTACAGACAAAATTTGAATTGACCAATGAGATTTGCTACAATAGTACTTTTGTCCCAGATTAAATGACAAGACTCGGCCATTGTGACTTGAGCTCAAGACCAACAAATCCTACATGGTACCTGATCTGTATGTTTGTGGCTGAAAAAATTCTGATTTTTGCCTAAAAATTTGGCAGATGCCAAAAATGCATGGGAAAAATACAATGAAAGCGTTTTTGGACGTTTCTCGACACTTTGAGTCTGTATCTGCACTCAAAACCGGAAAGTCACGAGCCGTTCGGGCGGAATAAATTGATTTTATTTTTGTCGTGTTTGGTTGTCCACAACTGTACTCCTAATAGTCACGGCCGCTGCTATCGACTAATCAGTCTACATGTTCTCTTCTCTACCACATAGTAAAGAAAGCTCTGCCCCTGAGTCCATTCGAGACAAACTCATGTTTACTTCTAGGAACAGACCGCTGTGGTCAATCTTAGCCGCTTCAGGTTCAATGTCCACTCGTGTATGCCGTTACTAAATTCAGAGAAGGTCACACCTGAAATGTGCATGTGATGGTATATTCATTACATTTCGGTGAAAGTGCATGTAAATTCACTGCAGACACGAAGCGATTTGCACACGTGGCAAATGCTTAGCAAATGTGTACAGGTTTTTTGCCTTTGTGATCTCGATTTGCTACGGTTCCTTCCCACATTCCATATTAAGTATTTGCATATAATATTTTAGAGGAAGAAATTTAATTTATATATTTTAAAAAATGACACCATTTTCAAACTCACCAAGGACATTTGAAATTTGAATGCCGTTGAATGTTATACATACGTTTTTGAATTCCAAAACATCGCACATATAAAAATGCCCAATAGCAAATAAATTTAAATTTTGAGTGCTGTTGAATGTAATCATACATTTTTGAATATAAAACCATCTCATATATAAAATACCCAGTAGCAGATGAAGGTGACCTTCATAGTAATCTTGGTACGGAGCGAGACATATGAAGGTCACCTTCATCTGCTACTGGGTATTTTATATATGAGATGGTTTTATATTCAAAAATGTATGATTACATTCAACAGCACTCAAAATTTAAATTTATTTGCTATTGGGCATTTTTATATGTGCGATGTTTTGGAATTCAAAAACGTATGTATAACATTCAACGGCATTCAAATTTCAAATGTCCTTGGTGAGTTTGAAAATGGTGTCATTTTTTAAAATATATAAATTAAATTTCTTCCTCTAAAATATTACATGCAAATACTTAATATGGAATGTGGGAAGGAACCGTAGCAAATCGAGATCACAAAGGCAAAAAACCTGTACACATTTGCTAAGCATTTGCCACGTGCGCAAATCGCTTCGTGTCTGCGGTGAAATGTACAATTTCACTTAATGAGGGAGTAGAAGGCTACGACGTACTATGTGTGTGTACATTTCATCCGTTCTCTCCGTCTTCCGGCTCATATCATTACAATTAGCATTGAATGAAGCGGTATGTCATTCGAGGCTGTCACAGCAAGTGCTTACGTCTCGAAAGTCAATGCCAATACCGGCATTCGTGCTATTCAGATGCCGGTCTAGAATGCAAAGTTGACTCCGCCATGTACTCAGATGGCCGCAAAAACATAGTACAATGATAAAGCTCCCTTCGACAATCGTGTGATCACTCAGGCAGCTTGCATTGTTATTAGATTCACAGGTATGCTCTTCACTCCTTGGATTATACTGCCACCGTGAGATTCATTGTATCTTGAGATGCATCACCTCCACAAGCCCAAGGCCAAACATGCGCCGTGAGTGGCGTTTTCTTGGCGGTTTCATGAGTACGCATGCAAAACGCCAGGTAGCACATGGTCTCCTGCTGTTTAACACGCGCGTGTAAAACATGGCATACTAAAGAAGCGACACATCAAACAGACACAGGAAGTCGCCACTGGGACCAACCTAGTCGCGATTACATTCTTCTGTGAAGTCCTGTCGACACGCACTCTTGGGATGGTGCTGATAATATCTGAGCCACTCCGGTGAGTGGCGGCGACCCGGAAGGGTGACAGTGCCGCGCTTTGCCCACAAAACATCAAGCGGATCATGGGAGGAGAAAATAATGAGTATATCGGTTGAAATGCAAACTTTGGTGCTAAAAATATATGTGGGAATGCAGAATAGGACAGCAAGCAATGTGAGAACGATGGAACGGACAAAGGATGGCGGCGAGGACGAAGTGTGCGGCGCGCACACGTGATCAACGTGAAGGCAGCCACGTGTTGCACGTCCATTGTTTCACCCAATCGGGAACGCCAATCGCGCGTCGATCTCCGCGCCACACTTGCCACCGAAACTCGTGTTTGCTGTCTCACATCCTTTGTCCGCTACTTTCACTGAGCCTTTCGACTCATCTCGCCTTTGTGCCGCTCATCACTCGCATCGTTTAGGCGACTCTTCACCGATTAGCCCTGCGTGCCATCGAACACGTCGCCGACATCTCGAGTCAATCGCCCACATTTTGGTCACGGTCAAACCAGATCGATACTGCATACGCCTCGTGTTGAAGCCGTGCAGGTAGTATATAGAGGGCTCTCAGAGCTGGTAAGTCTGCCAACAATCCGGCCATGTCTTCTCGAGCGAGCTCTGTTGACGATATCCTTCGTTCAGAAAGTGACAACCATCCGTTCTCCAGGTCTCACTCTCAGAGCGTTGGCCCACAGTCTCCTCCACCAGCCTCAGACTTCGACGCTGACGATACCGATACCGTTGATATCGGTGACGACGCGTCTTCCTCTGCCAACGGTGAGCTTTTTCTCTCTCTGGGATGAGGTCCACATCTTAAGATAGGAACCGCATTAGAATCTTCGCACACTCAAGAGGCTCAGCCAAGTGTTTCAGACGTCACTCGCGACATCTCTGCACCCTCAACTGAGTCTGAACTCACCGAGGACACAGCAGTCACTGGTCCATCTCTCGGCAGTCAAGGTCCACCGAAGACTCCTCCACAGGCCGCCGTTCCACTTGGGTCTCAGCTACCTACCACACCCCGGGTCTATAAGGCATCCAGTGCGCAAGCCCACTCTATTAACCCAACGATCGGAGTAGCCAACCTGCAGAAGTATCGCATGGAGCTCTGTAAAGAAGTTGACCCTCTCTTGGGCATTATCAACGATGAAAAGTGGTTGTCCACCTATTCGAGCAAGGCGGATCCATCATCTTCGGTTCGTGCGGAGTTTCCGGAGTTCAGCAACAGCAAGTTCAATGTGACGGAAGAGAATAAGATGCATGCAGAATTTGTGAGTGTCTCGCCGTCACCGTGAGCGATCTTGAGAATAGATTCTGACGATAGATCAATGTAGACCCGCGTCGCACAGGAGATACTCGACGCCGGTAGTGCTGCAGGTGGCAGCAAGAACAGTGTGCGTACGCTAGTCGTCAAAGATACCGGAAATCACCCGGACATCGAAGAGAGGAAGAAGCCTGATCTAACGTTCTATCCCAACACACCGGAAGCACGCAAGGCATATGAATTGAGTGAAGATGAGCTAGGCGATGCGAAGGTGACTCCGGAGGAACGCCGTAAGTTCTTGGGCAGAGCGGCTTGGCCTCACGCTTGCGTGTTCGTCGAGTTCAAGGCGGCTGACCACAAGAATCCATTCGAGAAGCGGAAGGACGAATATATGCCTCGGGACACTGACGATGCGAGGAATGCGAGAGGACAGATGTACGAGTACGCGACGGCAATCATGAACGCGCAACCTCGCACGCATGTGTTCTTCATCAGCATTTGGAGGACTCAGGCGACCCTGTTCTATGCTGATCACTCGCAATTTGTTTGCACGATGCCCTTCACTTTCACCGGCAAGTCGAGTGCTCTGTCGACGTTCCTCTACCACCTCGGACAGATGACCTCGGAGGAACTTGGCTACGATTCTTCCGTCACACTTGCCACCGTCGAAGAGCTCGCTGCAGTGAAAGATGTTGAAGATCAAATGACGCCGTACCACCAGAAGTGTGTCACGAGTGCATTCTTCTCCGAGTCAGGGTGGCCTGTTTACAAAGTGATCATGCCAGCGGAGCAGGCCGGGTTCAAACAATCAAAGGAAGATGGTGCTTTCCTGATCGGACGGCCATTGTACAAGATATATTCACCTACCGGCCGGGCTACGAAAGTCTATGCAGCGTACAATATGAAGACCGAGAGGATGGTTACTGTAAAAGACTGCTGGCCGGAGGAATGGGAGGAGGGTGAGCACACCAAGTACGAGTGTATCGAGAAGGCCGGAGTTCAATACACTGCAACATGCCTGTACGGTGGCTATGTGGGCGAGCAGAAGACGAAGACTTGCGACGATCTGAAGCACACGCATCCTGTTCGGAGACATTACCGTATCGCTCTCAAGGAGCTCGGTCGGCCGCTGTATAGCTACGATAGCTCGGGTGAACTCATTGTGGCAGGATGGTGCGTGTTGACAGGTGAGATACATATCACCTTTTTTTAGTTCACTACATGCTTACCTTTTACTCCAGCGCACCGTGACGCCTGGATCAAGTGTGGCTTGCTCCAACGAGACATGAGCCCTGGCAACATGATCTTTGACGAAGTCGATCCAAGAGACATTAAGGACGGAGAAACACCAGAGTTTCGAGCTTTGCTGATCGACTTTCATCTTGCCAAGTTCAAACACGAGCTTCAAGATGGCGCCAAGCGAGTAGGACGCTCGGTAAGCCTTCGTTGTCTCAATAACATCAACCGTCTCACATTGATGCTGGATTATCCAGGGCACATGGCAATTTATCTCCGCACGGCTGCTCAGAAATCCGACTGCACAGAACGAAGTTGCTGATGACCTCGAGTCTGTGATCCTTATCATGGAGTGGATGGCATTGAGGTTCCATGAGCATCAGTATATCCTATTGGATCAGTTAGACTGGCTTAAGGCTCATGTCGAGACTTTCTTCGACTTCCGCGGCCGTGATCCCGACGAACGCCACGTCGGTGGTGCTGCGAAATACCGACAGTGGATGTCCGGCAAGAGGGACTGGGAGCTCTCATATTCGGGTACGATGCCTGTGTTCGTGAAATTACTCGATTCCCTCTTGAAGCTCGCAAATAACCATTACTTGGCACTCAAGGCCAGTGCACAACATCCAGCTCAGCAAGCTCAACTAGCTCCACCAACTTTTCAGAGAACCAAGCAAGTGCGCCTGGTTCAACAGCCTCCAAAGCAGCCCGAGATCCAGGCAGCCTGGCTGGAGCCAGACCGATCTTCCGCAGTCGCAGTTCCCTCAGGGAAGTTATGCCTTGCTACGCACGATGAAATTATCGACGTTTTCTGGGAAGCTTATCAAGCCCTGGGTGGGGAGCTATCGTTTGACAAAGTCGGCGATCAGTTCGAAGCTGTTGGCATGGCCACAGAGAAGTTCTCTCTGATGGAGGACACGAAGCAGTCAAAGCAATCGAGGCAGTCGAAGCAGTCGAAGAAGAAAACAATAAGCGGACAGCAGGAGATAGGACTGCTGAGGAGGAGCACTCGTCTTTCGGCTAAGGCGAGCGCCGAAGGAGATCAGGCAGAGGGTTCGAGCAAGCCGGTCAAACGCAGGTCAGGGCAGATCGATGGGCTGGAGGAGAAAGACGAGGCGAAGCGGCAGGCAACTGGAATAACTCGGAAAGGCTCGCGCCTCCGCAAATCTGCAACCTAGAGTTTTGGTCGACTATGGGTGGCGCAAATGTCTTCCTGACGATCTGTTGCGGTTTATACGGTAAGTGGTTCACGATCTTATACATGCTTGTATAGTATTGCTACGGTTGGATTTGGAATGGATTATTCTATTGCATGTAACCGTTGCGATGACCTTTAACAACATGTTGGTAAGCATGTGGCTTGGGTCTGATTCACATATACACTCCGATAGACATGAAAGTACTGGCCCGTGAAAGATTATTGTTCCATATCCTCAGACGATCCCACACTTCAGGCGTATGACTGACGTGCCATGCATGCATGCGAGTACAAGAAAATGTTGCTACAGAAAATATCGAGACGTTTCACCGGAGTATTCCACCCTCGTCTGCCAGAATCCCCATCACATCCACACCCTCGGTCGGCACAGAGTCAGTGATGGTTCGTGTGACACTAATAGATGCACCTGAGTGGCCTTGTTCGTGATATCAGCCATGTTGCACGTTGCAGTGAGATGATTTACACCCTTGTTTGAACGACAGCGGAAAGTTTGATCCGTCCGTACGTGTGCATATACGCCAACACTTCGATCGTATTACGGGCTGCACTTCGATGTTCACTTCTTCGTTCTTATGGGTGTATCGTTTTCGTTATCCATTCTGCCGACCGTACAAGGCACCTTGACCCTCCACACCCAATGCCCGCGCAGCCTCCTTCCAAGGATGAGAATGCGCGAAAGAGATCACTGCTCCACGCGATCCAAGGTGCCGGAGCGGCCACACGAAGGTCATCAACGAGCTTGATCAGATCCTCGGTGCCATGAGGGCAGAAGCGGTTAGGTTTAGGTACTTCCTGGACAGTCCCCTGGGCAGGATGGGTGGTGGAATAGGAGTGCTCCTACGCCTGGTCCGAAGCTCCTGTGTTCCTGAGTCGACCGATCTGTTAGAACGGATGATAGTCGCCAGCTCGCGTGTATGGCTGGGACGACCTCGCCCGTGCCCGTCACGGAGACGGACCTCCGGGAGGGCGTGTGCAGAGAGGAGAATGATGAAAGGTCAGCGGTGAGCGATCCGCAGGGCGATCTGGCTATGATATGATCGAGTGCGGATGCGTTCCGATTGTACCGGAGTTCAAGTGATTTTAATATTCGAATAATGGGCGTCCCCGCAAGCTAGTATGCGCAGCTTCGTTAGCTACACGCCAAGTCGAGTCGGCAGGGTGGCGACAGCTCAGAGACAGAAAAATCAGCCAGCTGGGGAGCATGCCAGTGAGCTAGACGTACCGCCGATGTCTTGAGCATAGACAAAGCAAGTCACGGTAGATAGAACACGACAGTTAGGAGTCGCACCTCACTTGCATGATCATGCATCATGATTTAGTGTCTCTAGAACAATTCGGATCATAGCTGAGCAGGGGCGCTTGGCGCTGCGGATAGACACTGTGACAGCCGCTAGCGAGTCTGGGGAAGGCTATCCAAGCTACAGCGGCATCGATCAGCATCTTAGTGCGCACGTCGAGTAATGCGTCGTGGAGGATGTTCAGGATCCTCGCACTAGAGCGCCGGGCCGCCCGTCGGGAGATGTCCCGTAGCTCTCTCCCCGATCGTGCATGTACACGGCTTTCGGTTTCCAAACAACCGGAGGCTTCTCCGCACGGAACAGCTTAAAGACCCAATCGGACGTGGTAAATTGCGGCCGAGGACGGGCGAGTGCGGGGTGTGGGGAGAAATCCGGAGAGGTGCACTAAGACTGCGGGGTTAGCGCGAGGTTGCTCCAGCATAAAGGCCCGCTGAGGTTACACGGGCACCGGTCTCTCGAGTCCCCGTTGCGCGTTCGCCCCACTGCAGTAGACTGCAGTCTGCCTCATCGTTCCGATCCATCACTTGATGACGGATGTTTCGCGCTTCGTGCTGCTGTGCCATGTGTGAGGTTGTGGGTGTCTGCTCGGGTGGACTTCCTTCTCGGGGTCGAGACGGGTGCGTATGTTCTCCCCTGGTGCCAGTTCTCCCGGCCGGGCCCAACTATCGACACAACGGAGGTGGGGTTTCGGCGTCGCTCGTCCGAACGCGTTCCGATGGAGTTGTGGCTGGTGGAAGGCGATGGCGTGGCGGCTGACGGCGGAGGAGAGCCCTGGTATGTTCCGAACTCTACGCGACGTTTGGCATGCTGCATCTAAGTTTTACGTTCGCCGGCGTTTGTACAGACTAGATATTGCACCATTGCGCTGTATGTTTCAGGTAACAAATGGCATGCCGACACCTTTACATCGTATGACCGAGTTGGTCCAATTACCGCTCTATGACCCCTCTCCTCCGCAGATTTTCTCCTGTTCGGCCTGCAAACTTGCATGGCATCAACACCGCTTTTCGCTCGAGGATGGGACGAGGCCAGACAAAATTGGTTTCGGAGGGTCGCCCGCCCGCCTGCCCGCCAAGAAGGAATACCGCCGATTGGTCTTCCGTAAACAAATCGCATGATCACGCTCCATTAGCGCCCGCCAGCATTAGACGCCGGCAGCGACTAGCGCATTTGCGAATTATAAGTACAGGGTCCCTCATCTTAACCCGCCACGCTCTCTTTCCCCTGTTCCCCACCATCACCATGTCCGAGTCTGTCTCCGTCCCCACCCACCCTATTGCCCCGCGCCTCAAGAACGGCCCCAAGGAGCCCCATGTCGGCCCTCACATCCATGCTTACCGGTGAGCACTTCCCCCCGCTCGGGCCGACGCGCTGGCACTCATAAGCACATAGTTCTATTCACCAGCAGACGCTCGGCCATGAGAGCGACAAGTGGTGGGCAAAGGTGAGTTGCGCCTGGAGTATGTTCTCCACAACGGCACTAACAGACTGGCCCAGATGGCCCGCGAGACCATCTCTTGGGACCGCCCCTTCCACACCGTTCGCGCAGGCAGCTTCGAGAATGGCGACATCGTCTGGTTCCCAGAAGGTGGCCTTAACGCGTCGTACAATTGTGTCGATCGCTGGGCTTTCAAGCACCCGGACAAGGTACGCTCGCTGGCATTAGAAGTCGTCTCATAAACTCATCGCGCCTTGTTAACACGCTTATTCCAATCTCGACCTCGATGAAATTGATGTCGATGCCCTCTCCCATTCGATCCATATCCGGCATTCCACGGATCTTCGACGTGATCTGCTCCACTTCCCCACATCGTAACGCTTCTCGGATGCCCCACCATAGACCGCCATCATCTATGAAGCCGATGAGCCCGGAGAAGGCTGCGACATCACCTACGCTGAGCTGCTTCGCGAGGTTTGCGGTGTCGCAAATGTGCTCAAGGAACTCGGCGTGAAGAAGGGCGACACCGTCTCAGTCTACCTTCCTATGACCTGGCACGCCGTCGCCGCTTTCCTCGCGTGCGCGCGTATAGGCGCAATACACAGCGTCGTGTTCGCCGGTTTCTCCGCGGAGTCGTTGCGCGACCGTGTGCAGGATTGCAAGTCGCGCGTGCTGATCACGTCAGATGAGGGACGCCGCGGGGGCAAGACGATCGCCACCAAGTTGATCGCGGACGCAGCGGTTAAGGAGTGCCCGAGCGTCGAGCATGTGCTCGTCCTGAGACGGACAGGCAACGACGTGCCGTTTACTCCTGGACGTGACAAATGGTGGCACGAGGAGATTGCGAAGGTGCCAAGCTACTGCCCGCCAGAAGTGATGTCTTCGGAAGACCCGCTCTTCATTCTTTACGTGAGTACGCGCGAATTTCGCTACTTGATGATGTACTAAATTTACTACAGACTTCTGGCTCGACGGGCAGGCCGAAGGGTGTCGTGCACACGACAGGGGGCTACCTGCTTTGCGCGGCACTGACTGTCAAGTACGTGTTTGACGTGCACCCCGACGACCGCTTCGCCTGCATGGCGGACATCGGCTGGATTACGGGCCACACCTACATTGTGTATGGCCCCCTCATGAACGGCGTGTCGACGATGGTATTCGAGTCGACGCCGGTGTACCCGACCCCGTCGCGCTACTGGCAGACTGTCGACAAGCACCAGCTGACACAGTTCTATTCCGCACCGACGGCGATCCGCCTCCTGCGCCGGCTGGGCGACCACCACGTGAAGGAGCACGACCTGGGCAGCCTGCGCGTGCTTGGCAGCGTTGGCGAGCCAATCAACCCCGAGGCGTGGCACTGGTACAACGAGCACGTTGGGCGCGGGCAATGTGCCATCGTTGATACATTTTGGTGCGAACGTTGTTGTTTCTCCTCGATTGCGCGGCAGCTGACACGATGGGCGGGTGTTTCAGGCAAACGGAGACTGGCTCGATCGTCGTGACACCGTTCCCCGGTGCGATCGAGACGAAGCCAGGGGCTGCGACGGTGCCATTCTTCGGCATCGAGCCTGCGATCCTGGACCCCGTAACAGGCAAGGTGCGTCGCGTCATGCCTCCTATTATGCCCGCCAGGCACACCGTCTCATGTGATGTTTGGTGATACAGGAGATCGAAGGCGAAGGTGTAGAAGGTGTCCTCGTGCTCAAAACCCCCTGGCCGTCGATTGCGCGCACTGTTTACCAAGATCATAAGAGGTACGTTCCGCCGTGTGCCTTGTGTCCTTACGAACCTGCCGAGGCTGACGGATGCTGTCACGTGCGCAGGTACCTCGAGACGTACATGAAGGTAAGCTTAGATGGTTCGGACTGCGCGTTCATGAGCTGATGGCGCGATTGTGCTTGATATCCGTAGCCGTACCCTGGCGTGTTCTATACTGGCGATGGCGCGGCGCGTGACGAGCACGGGTACATTTGGATCAAGGGCCGTGTTGATGGTGGGTCATAAGCTTGCGCTATCCCTTGTTGAGAAAGGCCAGACTTGACGGTATTATCTCTGCTAGATGTCATCAACGTCTCTGGACATCGCTTGTCCACGGCGGAGATCGAATCCGCACTCATTACCCACACGGGCGTAGCTGAGACGGCGGGTGCGTGCTTATCTTGACGGCGATATCAAATGTGTCTGATCGGTGTTGGGTGTTTGCTCCATTAGCGGTCGGCGTTGCGGACGAGCTCACGGGCCAGGCTGTGTACTCGTTTGTCACCTTGAAGCCGTGAGTAGCATCCGATATCATCTCGTAAGAATGGCGGGCGTGCTCACGTGGGGGATTGCTAATTAGGGAGTTCTCGTTCGACCACAACGACGAGGCCGCGCTTTTGAAGGAGCTGACGCTCCAGGTGCGCAAGGTCATTGGTCCCTTCGCCGCACCAAAGAAGATCTATCTCGTCCCTGACCTGCCCAAGACGCGCTCGGGCAAGGTGCGTTCTCCCCGATCTCGCGTAATTATAAGCGTGCCTAATGGGCTTAATGTTGTGCATCGCAGATTATGCGCCGTGTGCTTCGCAAGATCGTTGCCGGCGAGGCCGACCAGCTTGGTGACCTCAGCACGCTCGCGGACCCGAGTATCGTGGAGGTGATCAAGAGCAAGGTCGCGTCGGCATGACCATGAGGCGTGTGGATGATGTGCTTGTTGGGCTCTAGGGGAGTGAGAGGAGTGCTATTATCTTATTGTTTGCTGTTGCGGCTGCGGCTGCTGCTTGGATACCTGAGGATGCTGTAGAATGTATTTGTACTTTCTTGAAATATTGAGCTGGTCGTGTCACTGTAGAGAGACGGGCATTGAGCTCGGGACCACGAACGAGCTCATCAAGCTGGCACGTCTTGCGGTGGCGCGTACTTCATGCTTACCCGAGACGGTTTGCTGATCACCTAGCACAGATAACACAATACAGCACTCACTATCGCAGTGAGCTCAAGACGACTGCACGCACCTATGTCGAGAGTGTCTTCGGCTTCCAGACCAGTGGCAAGGAAGCCATTCAAAGGTGAAACCGCACACTTGCGGAGAAGCTTTTAAAAAATGATGCTTTCGTCTACCGGGTGAGTCATTGATCAGGTACAAAGAATCTCGTCGGCTGGCTACCTCCTGCGTCGGGCTGCCGGCACTATTATACCTGTATGGTATTCTAATTTTCCACTTCGTTAAACTTGTCCTACTCAACGCTAAACTCCTCGGAGTTTGATAGTCTATCAGAAATTGTTTTACCAAAGTTGCTATATATACTCGTATCATGGAGAGAAAAATATATAGAAAAATACATATACAATGTGAGGCACTTGTGAATGTCACTATAGTCCAGAACAACCTTACAATTTCCAAAGAAAGAAGATTACACTGCTTGGTGAGTTTTCTAGTGAGTCTTACATGCAGAGATATGCAATTAATGAAAGATGCTGCTCGGGCCAGATGAAATGTCTCGCCTATATTCTGAACAATGGCCTGGCATGCCATGCGTGCTTCTCAATTCTTCTTTCTGAGCAGCACCAGCGAATGCTGACCTCCACAAGATGGCAGCACCGCAGACCACGATCCGCCCTCCCTACGAACGACAACAGCAGGTGTGTGTACATCCCTGTCATGTCCTAATCCAAGTTCGGAACAGACCTGCCGACCCCAGGCGTAGAGTGCTCCTGCCTGCGTGACTGCCATATTGCTGTGAGTTCCACACGAAACATGCACGACTGGGTCATCGGCATCAGGGAACGAGATAAGCTCGGGATGAGGAAGGCAATTCGGATAGTCCCGATCAACGAAGGCGCGGTCGTCATATGCGATTCCCAACTCTCCCTCGTCCGACTTCCCGCATGCGTATACCCTTCCATCCGACGTCAAAAAGAGTGTGTGGAAACTTCCTCCTGCAATCTCGACCACGGTAGCGCCACCCAAATCAGCTTTGCTTAGGCCAATGACAATCTTCGGCAACTGGACGATCAGGTCGGCATTTCCACTCCGCTTTCCGGTCCCCGTCTGACCCAAGCTGTTCAAACCCCAGCCCCAGACATTGCCCTGATCATCGACAGCAAACGAGTGATCTCCGCCGGCACCGACGACCACAGCTTTCCTCTTGCGCGAGCCAAGGACAACTTTCTCGGGAACCGTGCCGCTGATCCGACGTCGTTCGATGACCCGTCGGCCTAGCTGACCGACTTCACCGACGCCCAGCGTGTAGACTTCGCCATGGGTCGTCAATAGGACGAGGTGGTTGTTGCCAGCGGCGGCAGATACAAACTTGTGGGCGCCAAGTTCAGGTATCGGGCTCGGATGGTACTGGTACAGAGTCCCTTTCGAAATCCCAATGACCCCGCTTGCAGCCTGTTGGATATACCAGATGAACACATGTTGAACAGACGATGCGTGATAGACACTGACACGAAATGTACCCCATATTCGCAGTTGCCCATGAGCGTCGATAGCGGCGGACACACTGTCCCCAGCAGCAATTCTGACAGTGCGGAAACCGTCATACACCAAGCTCTGGACAGCGACAGGGACCGTCGTCGGTATAGAGGTCAAATCATCCACTGTCCGTCCATAATTCTTATCGAGAGGATCTGTGACCTTTCGTGTGACCCGACCCAAGGCAGCCTCGTCGTTTGACCCGCAAGTCCATATCTAAAGCCGAGCGGTGAGAATAGCACGGCGTAATGTGTTCGAGCAGACAATTACCGTGCCGTTCTCGTCAAGCAGCAAGGAGTGCATACCACCTGCAGCTATAGACTCCAGGCCGGCGTCTTTGCCTCCGAATGCGCCTTTCTCGATCAACTGATCAATGTAATGGTTTCGTCTAAGTTTGTCGACTTCCTCCTCGAAATCTGTTCCCATTCCAAGCTGACCGCTGTCACCCTGGCCGCAACCAAACAGGTGGAGGCAAGGTCGTTGAGGTGGAGGAGGTTTGGGTAACGGGTTGATTACAGGGGCAGAGGGGGAACAGGCTGAAAAGAAGGCTCAATGATTAATTGTTCGATGAAACGCTCTCCGATGAACATACCAACACGAGTCTTTAAGGACGCGGCACCCTTCGTTCGCGTACGTGATGGAGGAGAAGACGGCGATGAGGGACGCTTTCGAGTGCGTTTACGTGCAGCACCAGCAACTTTTCTCGTCTTGCGGGGAGCCATGCTGCCAGCACATCAAACATTGTCCGTAATAGTTAGGTCGTTGAACACAAATTGAACATCGACTTTGGTAGATCGATCGAGAGCACGTGACTCATCACCCACAAAGCCAAATAGCGTTCAACAGCCGTCAGTCTTCGGTCACGTTAAGTCCAACGCTCAGTGAAGGTGCACTGAAAATGAACCCTTGAGATGCCTGTGTTACGGCAGTGTATGTACTCAAGCATCGTATCAGTCACCACTCACGATGAATGACCGTTCAGCGCAACAGACAACCGAGTGCGGTACGCCACAGTCCAGTTCGCTCCTGATTATGCGATATACTATTCAATGATACATCCTGTACAGGAAGTGTCCCGCAACTCCTTCAATACATTCCGGATGCTGTCCATGCCCCACGCTCCTCAAGGCGTTCATTGGAATCATCCCCCCGCTCCTCGCATCCTCAACGTCCTAGTCACAAATCCTCGTCAGGCTGGTTCTGCTTAGGAGGCTTTGGTATCGTTGCGAATTTAACCCTAAGCGCGTCCTGCATGTCCTTGTGAGTCCAACCGGCAAATTCCTGCACAGGGGTGAGGACTGTGGAGCATGCCCATCCGGCGGATGTGGTGAAGGAGACCGGGAGTAAATTCTGGGTTGTCCTCAGCCCAGCGCATATAGAGGACAAGGTCAAAGACCTGCTCCTTCAAGTTTCGTTTTGGGATGCTTGCTATGGCATTAACTCCCTCTGTATTGTGGAGGATACGGAGCACGAGCATCCATCGTCCGCGAACGCAGTTGGAGGCGGCGTCCTCATACGTGACACTGGGAGGAGCGCTCGATGCCGCGTTACGTCTGCCACCAAGCTGCTGTTGTCTCTGATGGATGTAGTCGGTGATGATGGAATGGGATGCAGCGTTGTACATCGTCGAGTTTGTCCTAGCTGCGCTAATGATGTCCTGGGCAGATTCAGAATGCCTCGAGATGTCCAGAAGCGTCTCCATGGGTAACTCGTCGATTTTTTCGACATCGCAATATCGATAGATGAATATGAGAGGATGAGTATGTGCGATGCGTTCGAGAAGACTCAGTGTGAGGGATTGCTGATTCTTCGACCAGGTTTGTCCGCATTTTTATGCCATGGTCGTGGCGTGCAGTGCATCTACTTCTCTTGTTCTCTGCATATGCTGTATGTTGCGATTGATTGCAACAAAACTAATCACAGGTATACCGAGTGTTCGGCTGGACGGAAATAGCTGAAGCAATCTCTAGATCTTGTTATGGTGAGCCGCTCGCGTATTCGGTGTCTCAGATACAGCGAGGAATGATACAAGGTATCCCAGCCGCAGACGCCGACTCACGGTGATGATATCTTGTCAGTTGTCACAGAATCATGATCCAGGTGTGGCGTTGTAGATGCACAATGTTATCGACGAGCCTCTTTCTTTTTTTTCTCGCCAAATGTACGTAGAAGTTTAACACCGTGGTTTTATCGGCAGCCGTGGTGTCTGTGTCCCGGCATAATGGCCATCCACAATTGTCGAAAACAGTCTCCATTTCTATCAGAACGTAGTACAAGCCCGACTGTCCGGTATTGATGTAGCGTTGTCAAGCACATCTCATGCGTCCGTTGCGCACACGGTTATCATAATGGCTGACACGCTGACTTGTTTCCATATATGAGGTGCTAGTTGAGTCATCTATTGTATAGCCCTCTCTAGATCATCATTTCCCCCTGATGTTGGATGCGATGAAACCACGATAGGTGTGTCGTCGAGAAACACAAATCCCTTTTTTGGTTGATCACAGTGGAAATGATTGGATGCCTGCCACCTCAGCAGTTCCGTTCTTGTATAGCTGCTTTGTAGCATATATCATCATGTGTTGTATTTTGTGGGCCGTTAAAATGTCTCCGACTGCACTACCGTTTGGCTGTACCCTGTAGTGCGTGCAGTTCGAAATAAAAGTGACAGGCTACGCCACACTCAGTCACGTGCACGCTACTTCAGTCCTTCACCGCAGAAAATATATACTGGTAGACAGAATTCCACAATATACACCTGCGAAATCTCATCATCTGTGGGTGATCGTAATTACGCTCACTCTGCATTACTACCGTGCGAATGAGAATTTGACAGTTAGACCTTAGGTGGAAGAAGATATTCAAGGAATCGTGGTAGCAGGAAGCTGACCACCATACGATACCGCATAATAAGACCCGGTTTGTTTATCCGACTTGCCACGAGACAAGATCTTTCTCTCGACGTCCTCTTTCACTCGAACGGCGGAATGGTTCCTGGAAGAGATACCTGCCCACTCTTATTTGCATTGTACCAATCGACGTGATGAACGGCACCTTCATCAATGATCCTACGCGGCTAATGTGCTCCTCCACGTGCTCCTTATTCGCATGCGCACAGTGCATATGGCCACTCGAGTCGACCATGAATGCAATACGCTTCTCGTCTGTGAGCATCCGCAGCCGTATCAACCGCAAGGTAGATCCACGACCCAGTCGCTGAGGTGCGCACGAGAACGTTGACGTGCCCGGCCAGGTGGCCAATCGTATCGACCAGGTAGAGGCTCCCGTCAGCGAAGTAATCCAACGCGCGCGGGAAGGGCCCGATGGACATGTTGAAGTCCTCATCAGCGAGAAAGCACGTGCAATCGAGGAGGGTGTTTTGTAGGATGTCCGACTGTGGGTTGGCGGGGAAGCCATCTTTCAGCAGGTGCTCGCTTCCCATGCCGACTACGGATGTGGCGTTCGGAAACACTGACGTAACTCCAATTCTGTTGCACAGGGAGTCAGCCCAAGCGAGGATAAGGGATCAGATTGAGCGTATGCACCGATCGAAATGCAGATGGCTGAGGATGATTCTGGACATGGTTTCGGACGGGATCCCGCCCTCAGCCTCCAGGGAGAAGTCGGCGGTCTGGGACACGCTAATGGTAGCCACTTGGCAATCACGCCTCGGACTGCGGGCGGGTAACTTTCAATGTCTCGGTGCAAGCCCAAGTCGAATACCAACTATTCACGAGTAACCGAGTGGCGCAGAGAGAACGCAAGAGATGGGCAGACGTTGATCTCTGAGAGTGTGCAGTCCGCAGCGAAGAGGTAAAGAGGGAGATGCATGATGCCCGCTTCCAGGGCGGAGACCTCGATGAACGGCTGATTTGGTTCAGGAGGGGATAAAGCTCTAGATTCGGCATCTTCGCTATGTGTTCGAGCAGCTGTAGGCGAAGGACAATATAGATAAGGTTCTCGCGGTAGAATTTCGTACTCAGATGCGTAACGGCATCACCTACATGAGTACGAACCATCCTTGTAAAGATGGCATCTAAAACAATTGTCCTCGGCTATCGCGTAGCTTGGAGTGCCTTTCCGGCATGCACGGGTCACTGATGAGCTCATCATTGGATCCTAGTAAGACCTCCTAGAGTTGCCTGATGTGACAAGGCCCGAGGACGTGTATACGCAGTGTTGCCAATTTTCACTGCTCTGCAGTCTCGTTCGCTAGTTCGATTGTCGAATTGAGTTGCTAACCTTCTTTTCCCTTGCCGCTGCGAGTCTCAGTCCGCCAAATGACGCGCAGTCATGAGGCTAGATGCGATGAAACATGTACAGTGTCTCGGAGATTCTCGACCCATTCACCCGTCAAAAAGAGCATGAAAAGCAAGACAAGAAGGCAAGGGATTCCAGTGGAACTCCCGCCGGGCCCACATGAACACGTTGCCTGCCAAGCCTTGATCTCAGCGACGAGAGTATAGGTCTGTCTGAGAGTGATGGCGTGAGCGCTGCATCGTTACCTCATCGACTACGTATACTCTGATTCGGGTAGTTCTACTCGATCAAAGCGAGCCCCCTTTTGAAAAAAATCGCATTCACGGACTGATTGGGTTGCTGAGGTCGCGCACAGTAGGCTCGGTCTGAACAATACAAGAAAGGCAGAAGCAGAGCAGAAGACACAGAAAGAGAATGCGAAAGCAGAAAAGAAGGCCAGCGCAGAGCACTCTTCACGGATCTCTCACTCTCACATTACGCTCAGGTAATCGAACAATCGAACGAACAAACGGGACGATGCATATGAGTCGCATACTTTACATAGGGTGACGCTGTACCTACCAACGCCGGTCCTGGCACGGACATTGCGATTTCACTTCGGAGACTGCGGTGAGAGCATACGCCAACAACAGCTCGTCTTGCCAATAGATAGAATCGAACGAATGATAACGCTGCCCCACGTAAACATGCAGCAGGACATTACATGAGCACATACACGTAGCCGCCACAAACAAAGATTAGAACTATTGATACGGAACAATTTACACCGTGCGATGGGCCCATGCCTATCGACGCTTGCCCAGGATCTTAACGCAAGCGGCCTTGACCACGTTCGCTGCCTTCTCACAGTCCTTACGCGACATCGCCGCACTGATCGCGAGGCGAATGCTCGGTCGCACATCCGTCGGCTCCTGACCGCGCAGCCGCTTGGCTCGCGTGAGCATCACGCCCTGCGCAAGCGCCTCTTCCACGACCTCCTGTAGCAACCGTTCCTCGAGCGGGCCGTCGAATTGCACGCGCTCCCGCGGGTACACCGATGCCGGATTCGAGAACCGCACGGACGAGGGCGAGAGCGGCGATGCGGGCGTCATGGGTGTAACAGGCGAGAGTGTGGCGGCTGGCGGGGTGGCGGTGCGCACGTTGATGTGGATGAGAGCGCTGGCGGTGTGCGAGGGGATCGTAATGCAGTCCACCTTATCTAGAATCGCGCGGACCGCTCTGACGTTCTCCTGCAACGTGTTCAGAATGGATGGTGTTTGCCGCAGGATATTGATACCCTCTGATGCTGCAACAGCCAGCATCGGTGGCATTGAAGCCGAGAACACGAAAGCGGTACCGTTGATGCGCTATGTTGAGGCACATGAATGACTGTGGATGAAATGAGCTGACACTAACACTAACCTGGTGCTTGACCACGATGTGCGAACCGGCACAGAAGCCACCAGCTGACGTGAGCCCAGTGGCCATCGAACCCACGAGCATGTCCACTTGCGAGGCCTATGAGGCTACGATGAGTCAAGTTTTTCATGCAGCACTGCAGAACGATTGCCTACCGGAACGTTATACAGTTCAGTCAAGCCGCGTCCGGTGCGCCCAACGCTGCCAAATGAGACACTTTCGTCGAGAATCAACCGGTACTTATACTTCAACTTCAGCTCCACCAGCTTTGGCAAGTCTGACATCACGCCGTCATGGTCGAAGATACCCTCCGTCACTATGAACCTCCTGGTCAGCGGCATCCTCTTCTTGCGACGCTCCTTCTCGACGCTCTCGAGGACATGCTCCAGGCTCTCCATGTCATTGTGATCATACCAACGCACTGTGCAACGAGAGATCTGCAGACCCTTCTGGATGGCAAAATTAACGCCGCGGTCGGCAACGATGATATCGCCGCGCTTGCAGAAGGCGGGAATAACCGAGCTGACGGTAGAGAACGCCTGAGAGTAGATGATCGATGCCTCGGTGCCCAAAAAGTCTGCGATGTCCTGCTCTAGCTGGATGTGTACATCTGTTGTTTCCAATTAATACTCATAACGAAGCAACGAGGGGATCAGACGCACCCTGCGTGCCATAGAAGCCAGCAGGACCACAGCTACCAAGACCGTACTTGCGTAGCGTTTCCACACAGCGCTCTTTGATTTTTGCGTTACCAGCAAGGCCTGTGAAATTGTAGGTGGCAAGGTTGAGCACCGTCTTTCCGTTCACGAGCTTGGGCTTGGGTCCTGTGGGTCCCGCGATGATAGGCACAGCGTCCAAATCTGACTGCTCAGTGACATCAAGAGGCGGGGCCAAGGGTTCGGGCGTCCATTCATCCACCAAGTCATCGATTTCCTGATGATTCACGGTCAGCACAGCATTCGAGCCAACCTCTACGTGCACACAGGCCTACCTTTTCGCTGAAGTTAATGAAATGCTTGCCAGATGTCTCAGCCTGTGTCCTTGACTGAAGCAACGTCCGAATGGCGAAGATGATCAGGATGACTTCGAGGAGCGTGCGGCCAGGGTCATCTCGATGCGATGACCTGACGTAGCGTGCAATTACCGCGGAACCAGGTATCTTGTAGAACGTCGTCTCGAAGGTATCATAAGACTGAGCAAGGAATGTAAAGAGAGGCTCTAAGCTTGATGACGTCGCACTCATCGTCGCGCTCATCGTTGCGCTCATCGTTGTCAGCGGCGAAGTAGGAGGCAACGGATAAGGCGCAGATTCAGGCTTATTTTACTCGGTAAGGATATTCTTTGGCAAATAAATAATATGGACCTGTGCGCGCTATACCCCTCGTGATCGTCGCGTTGCCTCGACTTTCAATTCTGTCGCGATCGCCAACGACGAGGTGCAGCCCTGCGCTCGTCGAGGGCAGATGGCATACTCTGCTTCTCACCGCAATGCTGCCTCAATGTCTACTACAAGTCTCGTACCTCCACAACCGACGCACGCCAGGCAGCGGCGAATGACAACCTCGTCGCTCCCGCCTCCGTCTCCACTCAACCTGGTCAGTTATCGTGGAACCTGTCGACGGAGCATGACTTACGCGTTGAGCGTGTCCATGAACAGCCAGAACCAGTCCAGGGGTACCGACGACCACCCTCGCCGCTTAGGAACGGCACAACGATTGATCCCAATACTGGCGAGCTAAGCGATGCTGGGTCCATCCAACGCTCGGAAGATGGAGATGAAGGGCGCTGGACGCGATCGCATTCTCCATCTCCCTCTGTAGCAAAGTTTGCTGCTAACATTGCTCAGCGGGTCGGCTCCCTGATGAGCACCGTGAGCCCTCGCTCCCATGCCCTTCCTACCGATGATGAACTGGAAGCAGAAGCAGAGCGAGAACGTGATAGGAGTAGGAGAGAAGCAGAACGGATCTTGATGATGGAGGCTGAGAATAAACGAGCGGCAGAGGAATGTGTGATGCATTCTTCTGGTGACGGGCCATCTAGCTCTCTCCTTCCACCTCCTCCGCTATCACAGACGATCTCAGCTACTCCTTCTTCTCCGAAATCTTCTCAGAAAGAAGGGAGCTGGTGGGCCATGGCCAAGAATAGGCTAACACCAACCAAGGAGCCGCTCACGCCAGCACAGCAGATTATAGAGGAGACCAAAGCACGAGAGAAGGAGCACGAGAAGGAGAAGAAGAAAGCCGGAAAGGGAAAACAACGCAAGGATTCATGGCCTTCAGCGCCGGACGCGAAGTTTGACGATCCAGCGTTCATTCAGTTGGGCCTCGCTTCTTCGATCACACCGCCACCTCCGAAATTTGTATCCGCTGCTCCTTCTTCTCCAACACCATTCAATTTCCACGGCCTCCCAGGCACTCCTCCGAGTCTCTCTACGTCTCCCTTGCGGTCCATGGAGGTTCGTAATTCCTCGCCAACGAGAACTCCCGCTCCAATGTACGCCCAGTTCAATGCCCAGGGGACCCTTGACGTTCCTGGTACTCTACTGACGATCGTCCAGCGTTTCGAGAAATTAGAGAAATGGACAGTCGGGCACGTACGAGCACTGGAAGAGCGCATGGACGACGTAGAACGCTGGCTTGTTGAGAAGGAGAAGGAGAAACAGAAGGAGCAGGAGCAGCCTGCCGCTCGACAGCTTCCAAATGGTGATATGGAAGCAGGGGAAGGAGATATGGGTGAGATTCGTGAAGAACTAGCAGAACTCTCGGGGCGTGTCACGGAGCTGGGACGTGAGATGGCGAGAATGTTGACTGCTTCCGCCAACCTGTTGCCAGGTCCTTCACGCAGTACGGCTTCAATCGCACGGTCACCTACCGCCACTTCCTCCGTTGCCGTCTTCTCAATCTCGCAGAATGTGTCAAGCAGCCCTCAAACAACTCCTCCGAATAGCACAGGCGCTATTAGTCCGCCTCCATCAAGGCCTGCTATGCCCACGCGGACGTCACGCACCCGTCTGCCGTACCCGACAGGTGACTATGCTACCCCGCCCGACTCGACTCTACTGAGTCAAGGCGTGTTTTCGCCGGGCAGTTCACCTCCGTCGTCCATCACGTCTGCAAGCAAGGTGCCTCATATGTCTCCTTCGGATCTTCCTCCGAGCGTGGAACCTCCGAACCCTATACCCTCAGGGCTTCCTCGTACTGCATCTCCCAGCAATTCTACTGGCTCAGCCACTGAGTCACCACCTGCTACAACCTCTGCCATCACGGCTACTACTTCAACTATCAGTGTGGTCCGTAGTGCCAGTTCGGTTGAGCTTCCCCCTCCGATAATACCTGCAGCGCGTACTAACAGTGCAAGTCCGACACCACGGAAACGGTACACAGTCGCTCTCGGTGGACCGATCATGTCCGCAAGCCGCTCAGAGCAGGAACGACCGATGACTCCTGCTTCCCACCCACAGACGCGCGAGCTCAGCACAGCGTTCTTCTCAACATCATCGAATGCGACCACCGATGACGAGGATTCGGATGCCGGAGGCGCGAATGATGAGACCATCGGAAAATCTGTTGCCCGCCGCGGAGGTCTGGCCACCCAATCTGACACGTCCGATAACGGTCACGGCAGGACGCCATCCGCGTCGTCCGCGACAAGCCAGGGTAGTCAACTAAGGCGATCGCGTCCACGAACGATCTTCCGAAAACAGCACCCCAGCAATGGCCATATCGCTGCACCGTCTCCGATTACTCCTCTTAACATTCGTCTGCGCTCCAGATCCAGCGACCGGTTTGGTCTTGGAATATCTGATTCTAGCGGCGCACCAATCACGCCTGTATCGAGCAAGTTTGTCGATCCACTGGTGGTCCGCAGACAGACGAAGGAGGCGTTGGCCGGAACCGTACCCAATCCGCCGAAAGTGATGCCAGGAAAGCCGAAGGTGCCCGTGGGAGAACTGGTGGCTTACTTCGATCAAGAAAAGGCGTAATCCAATTTGATAGATCCCGGTTGAGCACCAATGATGCCAGTTCTGGAGTGACTGTGATGCATGTACTCTGTGCTGTTCTACCTCACTCTGTGCTGTTCTACCTCCATCTTGCTACTTTCCTGTGATATGTGTTTTGTATGTTACCGGCACATGGTGCATTGCTGATACCTTTTCATTTGATACGCCCAATGCGGTATGATACCTACTTTATGTTTGTTTGGAAATTTGTTGCTTGGACATAGGCAAAATAGCACCGGCTAATTATTACTGAATGCAATATAAATTAATTATTCAAAAACGACGCGCTCACGTGCTTGACGCGTCAGAATATCAACGGTGAGTGAAGCGCCCATTCGAACTACTTGGCTATTTCTCTGTGTCTCAAAGTTCACTCTCGCCTGTCGCAATGTCCGATTCGAGCACTCATATCCTTTTCAACTCGACTGCTCTGCATTCTCTGAAGCGCCAGCAGTTGCTCAAGCTGTGCAAGATCCACTCTGTCAAGGCAAAGGGGAAGAATGCAGATCTGATAAAGCGGCTGGAGGAGCACGCACAAGAGAATCCTCAGATGGCTCTGATGGACCCTGCCATTCTTCAGGCCCAGCAGATGATCTACAGTGATGTCGGAGATATGAGCATGATGGAGGAGGATACAATGATGTCGGATGTGACCAGGGTGGATGAGCAGTGGGAGATGGTCACAGATGATATTCCACATAATTCAGAAGTGACAATGTCTTCGAAGAAGCGTCTCCAGAGTGCAAATGTCGGTAGAGAACCCGGCACTCCAGGCCCAGCCAGTGAGTCCCATCTTGAATGCACATAACAGCACTTCGTGGAGGTCTTTCGAGAGCTGTCTATACGGAATGGAAATATTTTGAGTGACTTTCGTTGCGGTCTCACTTATACTATTTCTGCCATTGCATGCATGATATTGATTGCCTTTAACCTATAGCATCTACTCCTCGCGTGCCTTCGTCCCTCAGGATAAAAACCAAACAGACACCTGCACCCGCGCTGGGCACCAATCCCGCACATCTCGAAGGCTCACAATTTCTAAGCGCAAGACAGACGCCCGCTTCAGAGGAAAATATCAACATATCATTCTCGGCGCCCCTGCCTGGAAGCTCTACACGCTTAGGAACTCCCGCTCCCGCAGATGCCCTTCTCGGATCGGGCAAGGGCAAGATGACCACCATCCGACTCATCTCACATGACACAGACCATGCACCTTCACCGCCTCAGCTAGCGCCTTCCATGACCACGTTTGACTCAGCCTTAGGCTCATCACGCTCGCACACTCCGCCGGCCAGCAAAATCCAGGTATGGCGCGCATCGCCCACCCAAGGTGAACGGCTTTATCCGAGCATCCCGTACGAAGACATCCAGAGCCTGCAAAGCTTCGTGGTGCCAAAGCCGGCAGAAGTGAAGGGGCGGAACGGAGGTGTCTCTGCGGACAAAGGCCTCGATATGCCCGGCAGCCTCACATTCCCAGCAGACAAGCCCTCGCCAACAGACCAGTCGCAACCCCAGGCTGTCACGACGACGAGCACAGCGTTAGCGGGGACCTCCAATGTGCTTTCTCCTGCGCTCAAGCCCAACACGTCGCCAAGCAAGAAAGAGACGCTCGGAATCCCGCGCAGCCGACCGTTCATCTTCGGTTCGCCGCTATCCAAGCATAGCCCGTCGAACACGGACTTTGGCAAGGCCGCTGCGTCCGTGCTGGAAGAGATGAAGAAGAGGCTGGCCGAGCAGAAGGCGCAGAAAGGAGCGAGCGAGCAGAAACCGTTCACGGAGCGCGTCGCACGCTCGCGTGCCGTTGTTGAGCAAGGGCAACAAGCGGGGAGCACGGATCGGTTCGCAAAGGTGCACGAGCAGACGTTCAGCAAGATGGCCCCGATCACGAGCCACTATGCCGCGCGCCGTGTGATGCTGCCTGAGTCGAAGAAACGCGACCTGGCCACGCTGGGCGCTGGTTCTGCCCCGGGCGTGCAGAGGAAAAATGACAGCGTCGCAAGTGCGCTCGCAATGCACGGCAGTGGGGCCAATGGAGACGAGGATGCGGGAGATCGCAGGCTATCGAAGCGTATGCGTACTACGGACGCCACGGATGTACACGAGGGAAAGAGTATCTCCTTGGAGCCTGATGCCGTCACTGCGGACACAAGACAGAAGCAGAGGGAGCGGGATGCCATCCGCAGGAAGGTAGACACCCGCAGGCGGAGCAGCTGGGACAAGACTAGTCCCGGTCGCAAGGCGATCATGGGTGAGTTTATCTGGTCATCGCGCTTTATGAACCTGATTCATTCTGGGTAGCCAAATCATCACGCACTGGCTTGTTTGTCACTGCGAAATCTGTTGTCCGCAATGTCCTGAGCAGAGGTACTGCTTCTTCAGGAACGTCAAATTCTGGCCCATGTACCAACGCAGACCCGTCCACTGCTAAGCCTCCCCCTGCACTCAAACCGACAACGGGTGCGAGAGCTGCAACGTGGACAGCCTCGCAGCGGACACGAATGGTCTCCGACGCCAGTAAGCACAGCTTGAAGGCGCGCACCTCTGTGCCCCAAGCATTGGCACGTGAGCGGAAGGCACAGGAACCCGTGCATGGGACGAAAGAAGCTACAAAGAGGACGAATGCAGGAATTCGGTCTGCAACCGCGGCGCCTTCCGTATCTGCAAGTGAAGACACCGTGAAATCTCAGTTACACACGAGCAGCAGGCCTAATATTCAGCCTACAACAGATATGCTCGCATCGAGGATTTCCTCGGGCGTTGCGTCCGTGCGGGGCATTCCATCCACCGGGAGCAAGAGCTCCTTAGGATCTGGCTCTCGCGTGCCAGTACCGTCCTTGAACGGCAAGCGGAATATGAGGTGCAAGCTGCCGATCCCGAAGCCTGCAATGGTGGAAGCTGGAGCCGCAGAAAATGGTACAAGCGGTGCTGGCGATCGGAAGGGATCATCCTCTCTGATGGCTCCCACCGCCAGTTCTCTGGCCAGGATGCAGAGCGTTGCGAATGCAGGCGGAAAGGGTTCAAGCTCAAGCCTTGCCTCAGTGAAGGAGCAACCCGCCAAGAAACTTCAGGCCAAGAAGCCCTCACCTTCCTTATCGTCGAAAGCAGCACTGGATGTCATCACAAATAGTACCAAGCGTCAGCCGGCCACCAGGATATTTGTTCAGCCCCTGACCGCAGCTACGTTCACCACTCCCAGTGTCATGGCTACTCCCGTGAGGAACTCTTCCCTCGCGGAAGCTGCTAAGCTTGCCCCGGGCACTCCCTCTGCGATATCCCACCTTGCATCACCACCTAAACCGCCGATATCTGGTACGGCACAGAAATCCAAGACTCCCTTGCATACCTCAACTCGTAAACTGTCAAGCATGAGCCCGAGGAAGACATTCGGAGGTCTCAAGGCAGGCACGGGAATGGAGATGTTGAACAGCGCGAAGAAAAAGGCTCGGCAAAGCGAGTTTGCTCGCCGAAAGAGTCGTGTTGGTGCTGATGGACAGCCGAGTGTTGGAATGGAGATCGATACTTGAATATTGTCTACTGCGAAGGACTAGGAGCTTTAGGACGACATCGTATGGAGGCATGTTTTGTACAGTAAATTTATCGGATGCATATTTAGGTGACTGGCTAGATCGTAACAGTTGCGGGCATATGAGGCTGAAGGTAAACTATCATTGCGACTCGGCATCTGGCGGTTACAGCCGTCACGCATTACAGATGAAGAGCGGGCATACAATAATCGCATGTTTGTCTCTGCAAACGGCCATGCAACGTAAGAATGTGCATCCTCAGAATTACATACTGGACCTACGAAATTCCGTCTGAACAGTGGAGTAATTGTGAACTTGCGCAATAATTGCGGACGCAGTCAATGTTTCCTGTCGACGCCAAATTGTTCAACGTTAGGCCGCAAGGCCATATTACTCGTACTGTGTACTTACATATTTACAACGTGCTTTGCTCTCCATGTTTCATCATGGACTGTCTGAGCCTCTGGTAGCGTTGTCGTACTTTTTGCGCTAGTTTCTGCATTGTATGACAACGCCTTTCCGGTGGTCAAACGTGATGAAAATAACTCACCGAAAACAGATTGGCAACAGCGGCAGTGACGCGTTTCCGTCTCCGGGGATGACTGCCTCCTTCCCAAGCAGGTGTTGACACTTCAATCGGGCTGCCGACAACCTCCTCCAGTAGCAGATCCTCCTCCGTAGACATTGGCTGTACAAACATGAATTAGTATTTGACAATGTTAGAGATGCGCTTGCCGACAGGCAACATGCTGAAGTACTCTTCTCCATTGCGTCGCTCGTGCACCGACTGCCTGTAAGGGTATGAGCTCATTGCCGGCTTTTGTTGGAGTAAGGAACTGTTGAACAGTCAGCTCATCTCTCTGATATGATGTTCAATAGAGGAACTGGCGTACTGCGTGTCTACAGGCACCGGTAGGCTGCCATGCGAGGAGCACAAATGCAATCCTCTTGATGATGTACTAGACAGCGTATGCACAGAGGACTTCGACGAGGCCCTATAGATCCAGCACCAAGGAGATTCCAATAAACTGGCAGAAGGTAGGCTGTAGGAAGAAGCCATCCTGATGGACTCTTGGCTTGAAGCAATATTGCACGGAAAGAGTAACAAGGAGTCACATCGGGCCATATCTTTAAGAGTGAGGTAATATGGCTGTTCCTATCAGCGATACGTACCTTCTCACCAGGCTCGGCTTAGAGACGATCTTTGTGCAACACCGAGCTGAAAGCCATGGCCCAATTACTGATACATCATGTGATATACGGACGACGAAGTGTTGGGCCGACTGTACAAGGTTTGATTACTCAATGTCTCGAGGCTCTGTGAATCCAGAATTGCGATCTTCCGAGACAAATTGAGTTTTCGAGCGTGACGACTGTTGCCAAGGCGATTGATGCTAGATTGAACGAACTCCTCATCTTCTCCGCACTGAGATGATTATTCATATGAGGTTGTTGTCTGACCAACAAATCGATGCGATGATGCACATAGAATTATTGGGTCCGCAGATCGTCCAAACACAGCCTTTCTGGACGAAAATGGTATAAACCACATGGATCGATGAGTCGACCAAATCACTACGTCCAACACTTCAGTGAAGAATCAACCACAACGATCGGTGAGACACCTACGATATATTGAAATACTATTCATCAACCCGACAATTCAACGATTTCTCCATGTCATTGCTGTGATCTTCTGTTGCCAACCGTACCCTTCGGCGCAGTGCCCGTTCTCGGAGGGAATCGCGTAAGAAGGAATGAACAGTGTCAATAACGCGCTTGTAAAGCTGGAGAGCCTAGAGCCGATGCATTTTGACGCCGTGACATTCCCATCACGTTCGAGGTTGAAATATGTCCGTGAGAGCATTCTGCAACAGAATCATGACCCACTGTTGGAGACACAATGTTGCGCGAATAATCGGCGGAACAATGCTCGATTACAGGAATCACTTCGGCTCTCGGTTCTGCCGGGCCAAATTGAGGGAGCCAATCTGGCGAAAAGGCCGGACTGAGCGCGTTTTCGGAGTTACCGGCGGCGAGCGGATATCCTCCTGCTATTGAGGAAGTATTACCATATCTCGCAGCCGAGGCTGGCTGGTACTCGGCGGTAACCCTAGTGAGCTGATTGATCTCACGAGATTCATTATTCCCCGCGAGCCAGTGAGAACTCCGTGAGCCACGCTTCAGTGACGTGGGAGCCTTCAAGGACTTCCTCGACAGATCCAACCGTGGAAGGTTTGCAGAGTGCCTTGTCCGATTGGCCATGCGATGAGCGATCTGTGAGAAAAAGAGTGGATAACGGGTCCTCACCCAGGAGGTTCTTTGCTAGAAGACAGCTTGGATGATGGAGGTTTCACCGGTCCTATCGACGTGCGCCCGTGAGCTTCCGGATTCGCAAGTCATAGCTACTTGTGCTCAAGCTTACGATTGAAAACCTTTACGGCATCGATTGAAGCATCACTCGCGCGATCCTCAGTCAGTCTGCCACGATCCTTCGCTTTGGTCTTGCCAGCGGTAGTTCTTTTCTTGGAAGATACAGCTTGCTTGCGGGGGTTGCTAACCGAGCAACCAGCTGATTTCTTACTGCTTTCTCCAGTGCTGCTACTCACGCAGTCATCGTTGGAGTGTTCCCCTGCCGACGGATCCACTCGAGCCGTTTCGCGCGGTGCCTGAGATCTTCGAATAGTCGTCTTGGTTGCCTTCCCTTTTCTCCCTGGTGCCGCCGGCAAGGGGGCTGCGTCGGCGGAGTTAGCGGACATCTCGGCCATCAAGTCGTCCTCATTTCCACTGAGATCGGAGTCGGGAATAGGAGCGACTTCGCCTTTTCGCCGATGACAACCACGAATCACATCCCCCCACAGGATGTATGTTCGGCAGGGTCTACATTGACCCCCGCGAGGAATGAATTGGGAACTAGATGCTTCCTCGCTATGGAGAAAATCGTCCGCGAGGCAGGTGAGATGAGAAATTCCGGTACACGTCTCAGTTGGGCATAGAGCCACAGCCAAGGGATCCTGAACGGACTTTCATGAGCACGGATAAATGATCCTGAAATGAGCTGAAATGTACCGCATGACTGATGTCAATAACGCCATCGCAAATAGAGCACTTGGGCGTTTTGTTAGACGCATATGTATCGGACATCTTGCGCAAGTGACTGGAGGTAAATTGAGCTAGGCAGATGGAGCAAAAGAGATGCTCGTAAGAAGCGGTTCACCACACTAGCCATAAAAGTTGAACCTACCATCAGAGATGTCAAGCGAACCTGCATCGCTAGATCCGCGAACCCTAGGCTTTCTGTCCACTCCCTTTACTTCTATGGAGCAGGTAAAACCTGCAGGGAGCTCAAAGGTGTGAGCTTCATCCCAAGCATTGAGCCATGCGGTAATGGCATCCTCAGTGAATAGCTTGACATGCAAGGGCCATGTGTTGTAAGGATGAAAACCAAGCATTTCTCGAACTATTCTGCAGCAACCGGTTGGATGGAGATACCAAGACAAGCATAAACACACCGATGCATACATTATTTTCTGGTCGGCTGAGAGCTGCTTCTTTTTTGGAAAAATCCGCTGCCCATGCTCGCCACGAAGATGTCTTGAGCGCCAAGGATGTTGCCACGCCCATTCAAATTGAAGAGCAGCTATCCGTGACGGAAAACCGTGCACGAGCATTTGCATCACCCAAGGTCGACCACGACGAGTTCGAGCGGCACCGCATGTAATCTCTCCATTGTGTTGACTGTGAATCGTCAATGTGTAGATAGCTTAGCTATTGACCGTGGCGGAACGTACCGTATGCGTCGAAGAGGATTAACGGTACTTCCTACGTAGGTTGTACCTGCGATGTCATGGTATAGACATCAGTCTAGAAAGTTTGCACATTATACATGTAACATCGGAGGTGACCGCACTTTTGGCGCCCTTCAGAAGATAACAAGCGTAGAATGCAGGGAAGCGATGACTTGCTTGACCTTTGGTGGACATACTTGAACTAGAGACTTGTGGACAAAGATGAATAGAGGAGGTGTCATTGAGGGTTACGCTTGGCCCGAGTAATGCACAAGCGCTGAAACGCGCGATGTCACAACACGTGGTGTTTGTCACGGCTACTGGGTAAAATTGGAGGAACTCTGCGCATCCATTAACCTTTTACCATCGGATGATAACCTTATCAAGCACCTTTGGAGTATTGTTTAGCTTGTCCGCTCCCTTCATCAAGGTTTGTGATCATTGTCCCGACCAGACCATAGTATCCTAAGGCATAGCACCTGAATTTGTCCCAAGGCTGGCGATAGAACAGAGTGGGGGCTTTGTAAGATCACGACTGAAGAGAAGAAGAAATGCATGTTTCAGTTTGTCATCAGCCGCACGAGTGGAGTCGACGGTCCAACTGAGAATGTCGCATCGATAAATTAATTAATCCTACGTTTTCTATATAATTAGGCAGCTCATCCGCAGGATAAAGCTGTCTCCAACTTCGTATGCAAATATGCAAACCTCACTGATCGTTTTGGTAATCCATCTGGTGACCGATGTCTTTGTACAATTTCAAGACAGTATACCACGATCCATCACTGACCAGGCACAACGACGAGTGATAGCAAGATACACAGGCTAACTTAACGCTTTCTGCGCAGGAGCTGCAGCGCCAGTTCCTCTTCATCTTCCAGTCTGCTAAGCCCGGACTGACCATTGCCATCCCTCCCGTTCGCAGTCGATGTTTTGGTCCGCTTCGAGGGTCGTGGTGCCGCCTCAAACCCTTCATCTTCGTCAGACTCTGACGGCACATCAAACTCTACGCTGACATAGCCGTTATCTTCCTCTAGTGGTGCCAATGTCGCAACTGGCTTATCTCCGTCAGAGGCATCGTAAGCCATCTCCTGCACGATCGACTTAACAGAACGTTCCATGCACAACACAGCAAGATGACTTACTTCACGTTCGCGCTCCTTCCTCTTCCTTTTCTTCTCCCTCTTCTTTTCTTTAGCCTCCTCTCTATCCCTCACATCGGCCTCCTTCATTTTGCCCCTTGCTCCCTCCGCGAACTGCCTGCCAGCCTCCTTCACATCGTCAACGCCCTTGAATACCTCATCTGCAGTCTTCAGTTCGTACAACTGATGTGCGTTTCCTTCCTCGTCAAACACTAGCTTGCTGCCTCTCGGACCCGTCTTTGCCAACGCTTTCTTTGAGTTGGCCATCCTTAGCTTGCGATTCGAGGCAAATTCGGACTGTGGGAGTGCATTTGGATCATCAGGAAGCTCATGATCTGCCCGCTTGAGCGTGATGAAATCGTCCTCTTCCTCGCTATCGGCGGCATGATCGACGAGTTTGGTATAATGTTCTGACAGGATGTTTTGGTTCTTACGCTCGAACATGCGGTCGTACTTGGTGCGAACACGATCCGGCTGCAAATTACGTCATTAACACAAGTTATACCGCAGACAGTAAGACCACGAGCTACCCTCTCCTGACTTGCGCTAATTTGAGTACGACCGGACTTTGCCGCATGTGACTCGAACACCGCATTGCCCTCTTTCTCGCTCGAGCTGTCTTCTGCCAGGTCGTTTTCTGCCAAGTCGTTTTCTTCGCCACTTTCGTCTTCACTTACGTCGGACTTCTGTCCCTTTTGGGTGTGGGCGCCGAGGACAGACGCATTCATAACAGCATGCGAGGCGTTCTTCTTCTGCTTAGCCATCTCTCTGCCGAGGAACTTGATTTTGGGCATACCGGGTAAACCAAGAGCCTCTGCAAAACGCTCCACGGGCAGCTCGGTGAGCTTGAAGATGGACTTGTCTTTGTGCAGATGGACCGATCGCAGGTAAGAGACGAAAGCCTGCGAAGACAATCAACATGAAAATGTCAATGAGACAATATCATGGTGCAGAAACTTACTCGCTGTCCAAGGTATTTAATCTCCGGATCCTGGAAAGCCAGTTTTTGCAATTGATTCTCGATGCTCTGTGTTTTGCTCGCCCTAATTTTGATCTTCTGGATACTGATATCTCTCTTCTCCAAAGCCTTCAACATCCCCTCCTCCTCGCTGGGCATCAGGAGCAGCAAGCCTTTGCCCACACTTTCGTACCGTGCTGTCCTGCCGACACGGTGGATGTACGTCTCCACATCCTCTGGCGCGTCGGCCTGAACTACCCAGTCCACAGCCGGGAAGTCAAGCCCTCGCGCCGCAATGTCCGTCGCAAACAGAACGGCATGCTTCATGCCCGTAAACTTCTGAAACATTGCCAGGCGCATCATCTGCTTCTGCTTTCCATGCAGATGTAGTAGAGGAATACCGGGATGCATCCGGCAGAAAGTCTCAAACACGAACCGCACTTGCTTACAGCTCGAGAGGAAGACGAGAACCTTGCTTTGAAGATGTGTCTTGATGAAGCTCCAGAGCACATCGAGCTTTTTGTCGAGCTCGACTACGCTGTAGTGTTGCTCGAGGCCCTTGGGTGTCACACCTTCGCCGTCGCCTGACTGCATTCCGGTATAGACAGGATCCTTCAAGCTGAGCCGTGCGAGGTCCGATACAGATTCGGTCTGGGTGGCGGAAAAGAGGAGAGTTTGGCGGGACTCAGGAAGATGCGACAGAAGAGCGGAGAGCGTGCGACGGAATCCCATGTCCAATATGCGGTCAGCTTCGTCAAGGACTAGATGAATACCTATCAATATGGGCTTCCACAGCACCGTCTTCAGAGGAAATGCGCACCGAGCATCTGCAAATTATCACACTGGAACCCAATCGTCTGATCCATATGTTGCAACAGTCGCCCGGGCGTAGCAACAAGGATGTTCATGCGCGACAGCCGCTCACGTTCGTCCTTGAGGTTCTTCCCTCCAATCACCAGACCTGCTGAGAAACTGTGATACCCGCCAATCGACCGGAGGACATCGAATATTTGCACGGCCTATGAGAAGTACGAGCGTGAGGGCAAAAATTGATAGCGATGCGCTTCAGACGTACAAGCTCGCGCGTCGGAGAGATGATCAATGCGCCGAGACCATCTTGCGATCCCCACTTCTTTCGATACAGTATCTCAAGCACGGGTATGAGGAAAGCAAGCGTTTTGCCGCTCCCTGTCCGAGCCGCGCCCAAGACGTCCTTGCCCTTCAGCGAGACCGGCAGGCTTTTCGCTTGGATGTCAGTCATCTCGACGAAGAAAGCCTTCTTCAAACCTAAAAGTGGCATTGTCAAACAATGAGAAACCGTTAGGTCAGGAGTTAGGGCTTCTTGTGAGACGCACCTCGTTTAGTGTAATCCGAGATGGGCAGGTCAGCAAATGCCTTCAAGTCAGGCGGTACCTCCTAGACATTCACTCTGCATTAGTCCATGAGTGCTTTAGAAATCGCAGACTGTGAAAGTATCTCACAAATTGCAGAGCAGCTTGCTCCAATGCCTGTATGCTCTTAGCCTCAGTCAGCTTTCTGACCTTCGAAGACCTGACCGCAGGTTTCTTCGTCTTTGCATGCTTCTTCGCCTTGGGAGCGTTTGATGGTCCTGCTTGCACCATACTATTTTTGTCCCCAAAGATCTGCACGGTCACCGTCACGGAATAAGGAATAGCGGGTAGAAATGAGAGCACTGAGGGCAGAATCAACAGAGCGGAGTGGCTTCAGGTGAGGTGCGGCCTTGGCGCCCGTAAGCGCCTAACCGGTTCCTCGAGTCCGTCACACTCTCGTGCTGCCCCTTCAACCTGTAATACCGCTTCTCATTCTCTGCGTGCGGAATCGGCACTAGATCGCCTTTTCTGCTGAGGCTCGTACAGTTCATAAGCATGACTAGTGTTCAAGATTATGTTGTTATTGCCGTCGTGCCGCTACAGAACATCTGGAACCGTTTGGATCTGTTGGAACGTTTTCTACTCGTTATTTGACTTTGTCTGGTGAGCGGGATAGACGTTGGATGGCTGCAATTTCAGTCCTCAGTCCTCGGGCCTTGATCAGTGCTGTTAATGGTCGTATAATTCATCAGAAGTAACATGCTATCAAGAAGAATCCACTATCATGTCCTGCTCCTTTGTGACAGTCGCCAGCTGGGTTACATTATAATAGAGGTGTCCAACATTCTAGCGAGGAAAAACGCCACCAACGATTTCGTATGACGTATGCCCATCATACCAGTTGATCTGGTCACAGCCGGAGTCAAATACAACCTGCCCATCCCACTCCACGTCCGGCACTACCTCGCTCAGCAAGTCGACATCTTCTTGGTCGAAATTCACGCAGTCTGTCACATACAGTTTGCGGATCCCGGCCCCGCACTCATATCGCTCGATCATGCACACGCAGAACTCGTCGATGCCAGCATGCCCTTTGTAATCTGTGTCTGATGAGCTATCTTCCCTGTCCCAGCGCACCGATTTCCAGTCAGACAGACGGATCTTGTCCAGGCGAAGTGTACGCAGGCGGGGAAGAGGCAGGACGTGTTGTCGGGCTTGGGGCTTGAGTGCATCGAGGTAAGACGGCGCATCTATATCCTCTGAGATGCGCAGATCACGCACGTTCGCCATGTTGGCGAGGAGCGACCGCCAGTTGGTCGCCCAGCAGATGCCGACGTCGTCAACTTCGACTTTCCGCAGTCCGCTTGCGTCGAAGTGGTTCATGAATGACACAAGCCGCTTGACTGCGGCTTCGCAGTTACGTCCGAAGTCGATCGCGATGCTACGCGCCGTTGACCGCGTGATCTCAGCAGTGTTCTTTCGATAGAAGCTTGCGCGGAGCTGGGACCGTGTGCCGGAAGATTCATGCTCATGTATGCGGAGTGAGTACAACGAGGACATAATGGATGCTGGCAGGATTGTCGAGAGGCGCGTAGAAACCGTGTCAGGATCTGATTTGCATTCGGCAATGAGGCTGATTTCAGACAGGTTCGGGAAGAGTGCACATTCAAACAGCTGGAGACACAGGTCGACAGGAATTTCGATGGATAGCGCGCGCAGAGAAGAAAGGGTGAACGTCTTGGTTGGTACCGGCGCATTGTGACTGATAAACTGGCCCAACAGCTCTAAAGTCTCAAGCTGGGGAAGCTTCTCGAGTGTGCCAAGAATCACCTGAAGGCTTGTTCTCCGAACATCAGGTATGCATGCGAGCTTGAGATGTTTGAGCGATTGTATAATGAGATCTGTCCATTGGAAATTGTACGATTCGAGCTCGAGTCGTCGTAGGCCTCCCTTTAGATCGCAGGAGCGCAAGATGGGAAGAAAACCCGAACGTTGCCGGTCCGCAGGAGACCTCCAGTCGCCTTTCACCGTGACCGCTGCGAGACGGGGCATGGGACCGTCCAGCATCTTCATGAGCTGCATCGCTATCTTCTGATCCCCAGCAATGGAGAGGGAGGCAATGCGAGCGCGCTCCTTGGCTACTGATTTAAAGACACGTATTCTGTCCTCATCGGTGCTGTTGTCCTTGCTGTCTTGATGAAAGGGTTTAAGTGTTACGTAAACAACGAGCGCCGCACGCCCGGAGCGCTTGAGCAGCTCTGTGACCCAGTCGTCGCAGGCAGTTACGTGCAGGCGACTCCAGAGTGTGGCGTCGTTGAGTCCAACAGTCCTCCAGCGCATACAGACATGCGTGGTGGTGATCCATTGGTAGGGCTTCGTCGAGTCCGATGAAAGCACGAGATATTTGAGAATCCTGGCGAGAATCTCTGGGGGGAGAGCACTGGAGTGATCATGAAGCTCAGGGGTCTTCGTTTCCCGTTTCTCGGCCATCATGAGAGATTCAGCAGCGAAACAACGTCGCTTTGATATATACCATCCACTGCTTAAAAGGAGCTCTCTGGTCACTGTAAATCAGATCGGTTGTGGCTCAACTGAATCTGCGTACCTGTGCACGTCAACGACGACCTAGAACTTCCTAATCATTGTACACTGGTTTCAGTGACGGGATAATGTTTTCTAAATGATCACACGCACGTCTATGTCCGAGTAGTAGTCGTTACGAAGCGGTCATGAGACAATGGCCACTTCCTTTGTTCGTCCGCGTCAGGGGCCATGAGCGAGGCGCAATGTATGATCATCTCTGGGCGCTTGCTCTATGTTTGGCAGTATTTGATGCTGGTGGCTGCTGTCTTTAAGTTCCATATAAAGTTCATGATTGCAGTCTCTCACCGCAGACATGAAGCGATTTGCACACGTGGCAAATGCTTAGCAAATGTCAACGGGTTTTTTTGCCTTTGTGATCTCAATTTGCTATGGTTCCTTCCCACATTCCGTATTAAGTATTGCATATAATATGTTGAAGGCAGAAATTTAAATCATATATTTTAAGAAATGACACCATTTTCAAACTCACCAAATACATTTAGAATTTGAGTGCTGTTGAATGTAATCATACATTTTTGAATTCCAAACC